TTTCAATAACCTCCATGTTATATTTGGAAATTTGAGAATAAACTACGATAGTTATATATACGTGCAATACATTGTCATTTCAGTAATTACGAGTAGTACTTGTCATTCAGTTATTTTAATTATCACGCTTTACTTTAATTCAAATCAGCAGATAATAACCTGTATTTGTTAAAAAGATCTTTAATAATAGCCAACGCTACATGTTTCATCAATCAAAACACGTATTAGTTTTTATCGACATTTTGGTTTTAAGAATCATTCAAATAACTATCAAACTTGCTGAAGATGGGGAAGGTTATTATTTCATCGACCTACTTTTATTAACACATTCTTACCGTTCAGTAGGTTTTCGCCGTGATGTATTATCCCTTCGGAAAGAAGATCTTGGGGTGTACATGCACTCTTCGTAATAGCACATAGGAAAGTCATTTGACGGTTATAGTCAAGGACTTTTAATAGCTGCACTTGTTTTAATTAATCGTCAATTAATTATTAAATCTATAACGCTGCTATGCTATGGATTAAACAGATATAGACAAGGGAGGTAACTTTTATTATATACCAATTCCGCGAATTCAACAAACCGCGATTGTGTCAGAAGAGAGAAAAACGTAAAAATTACAACCTGTGAAATTAATCCCCTATACAGTATTTAATTCAGTCAATTCTCAAAAGAGGATGCAGATAATTACTGATGGAAGAGAGGAATGTTGCCATGAAAGTCATATTGTAGTGTTATATAATACCATATAGATACAATATTGATATGACCCCCCCCCCCCCCCCCCCAAATCTATATTAACTGAGGCGAAGTCAGCTTTAATCCTCTGATAAGATTTTGAAACTTGCTCTTTCCTGCTCAGTTGTACAGCTGGCTTCAATTACTGCAGACATACTTTTTTTCCGCATGGGATTATTTCAAGCTTATGATCTAGGCGGTCACAAATTTTTTAGGGAAATCACAGCGTACTTAAGGATGACGGACCTAATTCGAAATTTCGAGCCACTGCTCAGAAAAACTCGCATATGCCTTGAATCAAATTGACTTAATTATGTATTGCTAAAGACAAAAGATATACATTTTTAATTCTTTTAAAGATATTCAAATGTTTCCCCTCAATTAAAAAATATTGTAAATATTTCGATTTATATTATTTGTTAATTTTATAAATAAATGATTTATTTGTCCAAGGTATTTTCATTGAAAATTTCCCCCAAAATGTGCCATACACCTGCGTTTGACATGCCCCTCTGAAAAATCTTAGCCGATGACCCATTTATTTTTTGGCATAATTTGCTGGTAAATTGTCAAGTTAACATTGTCCTTGAATATGAATAAAAATTCTATTGCAGAATTTTTTTCAATGATCACTCTTATACCCTACACTGGCAATTTCCCATTACTTCCTATAGTATTTATCGATTTCCATCGCCAACATTTGAAACGCTCCCCATTAAAAATCTACATCGATGACCATATGATTTTTTTTTATTGATTTTAACTCACCAAAAGTCACTTAACCTCATATTAAAATTTGAATAAAAAATCTATTGCAGAAATGAATTAGGTCCGTCATCGTTAAAGTGAATGTAAGACATATATATACACAGTCCAAGAAATCCTTGTAATTTTCTACCCATGGATTGAACAAAAATTGTGATTTTGCAGAATTATGACCTTGTGGAGAAAAGTATACCATTACAGTATTTGTTTTATTGTTTGTGACGTCACAGTCACTATTGTACATGCATGAAGTTCTGTCCCTCAGGATAGTATTGCTTCAAAATCGGTGAATGTAGAGAGTTATAAACCATAGATCTGCATTTTCATAGATATATAATGCTTCAAATATATATATATATATATATAGAGAGAGAGAGAGAGAGAGAGAGAGAGTACAGATAAATTCATTTTTATAAGGATACCCACTTCTGCCCCAATCCAAGGTTGAACTCTCTTCCTACGGAATCTGTCTCTTAGCAGTACATAACAGAGCGCTGGACCGCTTGGCTATCTAGGCAAGTCATAAAAACTTGCTTTCGATGCCGATGGAACTCTTGCGGCACCACCCTACACTACACAGTCATTGAATCAGATAGCAGGGAAGCATGAATACAAATTTAAAATACTTATACATAAAAAAAAAATTATAATGATTTTGTAAACTTAGATGAAGACTTATATTATCTTGATCGGAAATGAATGATCTTGGATGAACCCTGATTCAGAAGCCTAATATACTGTGTTCATTTCTTTTATGTCAGTATTGAAATTTCACCAGAGATTTTTTGTGAAAATATTTACCGGTATTAATAAATTTATCATATGATCAGCAGGATCAATCCAGAAGCCTCCCTACCTTTATTATTTTTAGGTTTCTATTGTCTCTATTCTTTACTTACTTGACTTACTGTCATTTGAGCAGCTCATTCCTACAAGAGGCAGTAAGAATGTTCTATAATGATGTTCTTTACAATCTCTGTTGAAATCTAAGAACATTTTACAGGCATAAAAACATTTGAGGTTTCCACAAGGCATTGCCTTTTAAATGTGTGTTTATTATAAATTGCTTTTGACAAACTGGTTTATACCCATTTATTACTCATACTGATGAAAAGTTGATTTATGGATATTTGTATTATAAAGGTAGATTTAAAAAGCTCATTATGTGTCATTTTGAATGTACAGTCAAACCTCATTATCTCGAACTCAATGGGACCAAGAAAAAACTTATCTGAGGCTTCAAGGGTAAAATACTTGAAGAATAAGTGGTTGGGACTTCCAAATCACTTTGATATATCCATATTCAAGATATCAGTGTTTGAGATACAGAAGTTCAACTGTAATTTTAATTTCATAAGAGTGGTATATAGTATTTAATGAATTTGAAAAAAAAAAAAAGAAAAAAAAAAAAAAGAAGCAGATATTGAAAATTTCTAAGTGGTTTATAAGCGATTGTCAAAATGTTTAAAACTATTTAAAAAAAAACTATCTACCTCACCTACCCACCTTAAAAAGTGTGGGTCAGAGTACATAAAACAAAAAATTTTAATGATGGTCTTATAAAACGTGTTATGGAACTTTTTTATCTGAAAATTATCAAAGCTACAAATTTCAGGGATATTATTGCAGGCATACATTGTTGCACTTTCACAAACTAAAATATAGCCTTGATATTTAAGAAAAGTGGTTGTATTAATGATAAAAGATATAGAATTGAGAAATTTTTTAAGTCAGAATAAGGAATGTATGAAAATAAAACCAACACACCAGTGTCATCGCTTCATGTTCATTCATGTGTGTAGTGTTATCAAATCAAACACCCCCAGCAAAAGTGAAAACCTAAACCTAAACAATAACAGAGCTGGTGCCCATGTTTACAAATACAGGTATTTGTTGTATAATGTTTTGAAAAATGCTGATGTCATTGAATATTAAGAATTTTCATGTAGTTGAATTCATTTAGAAATAAATAGAAAAATTAAAAATTGTAAACAAACCATCAGTACATTGCTGTGTCCATGCCTCTTTATGTTAAAGACACTATAAAAATTTGTTGCAAAATAAATGCATACACTGACATTATAGTTGAAATTCAAACAAATTGGAAAAAAATCCAATATACAGGTTGTTGTCATGTTTATCTGTTGATTGTTTACAAATTCCCACTTTATTGGCATCTACATGATCATAAGACAAATTGACCATCCCTGACATATTTATGGACAATTTTACAGGTAACCTAGTTCTTATTTAGTGCTTCATTAGGTTTTATGTGGCATGACGAACATCAACTGATTGGAAGGATTTTCATAATTGATTGATTTGATGCTCTTATTCTTTCTTGACAAAATTTCTTTTCGAATACTTGTCAGGACAGTGTATGGTAAGAAGATCACATTTTTGTTTCATCTGAGCTTGAGTCTGTTTATGCTGGGCAGTATTTGTATTGTATGAAGTGTATTAAAGTACATTTTACAGGTAAACATAATATAAACATAATCTCGTAATATTTAGTTTCCTACAGGTAGTTTTTAGAATGAAGTGACCGAGAGAGATATATGACCTAGCGTCTTTATTATTACAAGTAGAAAGGTTTTTTTTTCTGAATATAATTTCTTTAATTGTGCTGTTTTGGAATACATGTATATGGGATAAACTGGATAGCATACTGTAAAATGTTTATTTTTATAAAATGCATACCATCTGTTGCTCTGTTGAATGGAACTATATATTAACTTTAGAATAAAGAGTATATTGATATGGGAGATAGCTAGAGAATGGGATTATATTGCCACATTAGCAACATTTTATCTGGGTGTCACTTAAGGTGAATGTACTGAGCTTATCAGTCCATAGCACAGAGAGCATGCATATCTATTCCTAGTGTGGTTTTAATTGGAAGACTTTGAACCACAGCAAGGTATTCTTAACATTCTACACCCCAGTCTAAATTTTAGTTCTTATCATTAACAAATACCTTGCTGTTTAAAATTTGAAGATAGATGAAGCATTACATGATTGTGTGTAGATTATGGCTGGAACATTTTATTTTTCAAGCTGCAGATAATTTTTTTTTCAGTGACCATCATAAGAAGTGTATATTCTTATGGTATATAATCATTGCTGTCAATCAAAGTAATTTGTTTATAGAATATTCCTGTTCATGTATATTTCAAGCATGACCTAGTTCATTTTAAATCTCAACAAACTCAGTATGTATTATCATTCTTCTGTGAATTAGAGCATTCACTCTTTTTTTTAATTGTCAGGGACAATTTTTTTTAAACTGCTGAAGAATATATATAACTTAAGAATGCTTTAGAGATATAAACAGATTTGTATATATGCTCAAGTTCAAGGGAAGTACAATTTATTGATGTATTAGATAATATATTAGCTCAGGAAGTGTTGAATTGATGTTGGAATAGAAAAAAGAACTTGTTTTGAGGATAATTTTATAACTGCAGTGATTTCACATTTAATAGAGTGCACATTTTTTTTTTATAGAATAAGAAAGGACTGTATAGTAGAGAAGCACCTGATACAGAATGGCAGAATTGGCAGATGGAGGGGATGGAACAGTTAGACTGGAATCAGTCAAAAGGTACCATAACCTGTAAAATATACACTATCAGTAAAAAATGCTGTGTAGGAAATAGTTCAAATTAATGAAATATCAATTAAGTTGTCATACATTAATTGGCAACTTCTTGAAGTGGTTTTGGCTGTCAGTAGCAGAATCAAAGGTTTACTCCAGATGAGAAAAAAAGATAACATATAGATTGAGTTAGTGGTATGAAATGTGTTACATAAAGCCAGAATCAGTTTAAAGGTACAACAGAGTTACCTATTAGGCTGGAATCATGTAAGAAGATCGACACACTGCCCGTACCAAACATTCTAACAAATGCTCATGAGCAGCTCATGAGACTCACATGAGAATCTAGTAAGAAATGTATGCAAATTAGGTAGAATTTGATTTTGCTCATGTGCAGATTGTTAGTCTTTGTTAGGGAGGAAAATACTAACCAAAATGCACATGTGCAAAATAATGCTCACCTCAATGCTCATGAGCAAAAGTCTATTCATTTGCTCACGTATGAACAGCCTTATATAAAGATATAGCATTGGTAGTAATTTTTCTAAGTTCAGTTTTCTCACGTGAGCAAGAGGTTAGGAAATTGGACATAGTCAAAATTCAGTATTACAGGTAGAACCAAAGCCAAAGAATTCTAAGTCTCATTTCCTCATGTGAGCATTTCAAATGCTCACGTGAGGAAATACAATACTTTGTCACTCTATGTGGTCCAAGCTTTTACAAGCCTTCATTACAATTGCCCATGTGTTAACTATTAATGCTTCCTGATGATAGCATCACAAATAATTGGGGGCCAGGCAGGAATTTCTTAATTTCTTGAGCTTCTAATCTTCATCCCATCAATTTGCAAATGCTTTTGCTCTACCTAAACAACCTGTTGTGTCCCCCACAGTTGCTTAATCTAGGGCAGTATCCAATGAGGGGAGCCAGTCAGGATTTGTGCGCGCTTTCAGACCAGTTCAAAATTTCAATCCAAAATGTTTGTGAGGGACATGAAAGTATATACCGGTAGATTTATACAGTAAAGAAGTGAATTGAAATATATGCTTTGGCAAATACATGTCATCACCATATATTGAACTGGATGTCAACATTTTAAAAGTTACAAATGTATCTTATGTCCATGAGATGAGGAAGTATTAAAGATCAATTACGAATGACCAAGCAGCCACAAAGAAAAAGAACTGTGATATATATTTAGGAAAATCTCAAAGATTTGCTGGTACTAAAGTATGCTGAGAAAAAGGTAAGTGCATGCATGGGCTTTACAATCCCCCTCTCATTTCAGATTACTAATTATAAAACATAGTATGTTTGTGTGTTAATTATTAATTACCCGGTAATACTTAATTTAGATAGAAATGCAGTATGTTATCAGTAATCACAGTTTAATATATAAACATAAATTTACATCATTACATGATGTAATTAATGTTTATATAATTATAGTTCTGAATATAGAATCAAACATAAAATCCTTAATGTATTGCAAATTCTCTATAGATTCTTTTAAGAACTATAAATATGGTAAGTTAGATTAGGTCAAAGTGTACATAACAGCTCAGTGCAGTAATCTATAATTTATCAGTCTATAATAAGATAAGTTGCTTAATATTGATGCATATGATTTTTTTATTGACTGGCCTTTCATGACCAATTGAACCATGAAAAATATAATAACTATAAATTCAAATTTTTTGCAGATAAAAGTTGCTGATCGAAGGATCTGCAGGTTAACCCCGGCCCCTTACATATAGACGGAGTTCTGAAGTTGGCACTCATTTAAAGGAAATGCAAGGAAAAGGAACTTGATGAAATGATTATGATTCTTATGACTGCTGGAATATTTATTTCACACCCAAGTATGATTGCCACACATTCAGGAATTGGAAAAAAATCTACATAGACTGACATATCAGAGACAACTTTAATCCATCTAGTGCAGTCAAAAACTGTTGACTGGACATTTACATTGGATGTTCTAGTGTAAATCTACTGGAAATTTAACTTTTTGATAATTTATACAATAATGTATATTGTACATAATTAATTAATTATACATGTATAATTAAGATTAATACAGAGAAATGTGTTCAATATAGTATATACAAGTTGTTCATTTAATTTGATTTTAATTTTCATTTCATTTTACGTTTGAAAAATGAAGTTCATTGAACATTTATGCATGTATTTACATGTTGCTCAAGAATATTTAAAATGTTCAATATTATTGACAAATCATATTTTAAATATACATGTATATATTATATTTGTAATCTAAATTTTATTCTATTGTTGTTTGTTCAAGTGAGCAATTGTTGCACATGAGACTAATGAGCCTCATGAGACTAATGAGCCTCATGTGAGCAATATTCTAGGTGAGCAAAATGATTCCTCACATGAGCAAAAAATGCTCATGTGCAGAATCTTGCTCATGTGAGCATTTCACCTAATTTGCATGTTAAATTGCACATGAGACTCACATGAGCAACTCACGTGAGGAAATCTGGTTAGTCCTCACGTGAGCTGCTCATGAGCAAATTGTGAGAATGGTTTGGTATGGGTGTGACAAAGACACAGTTTTTGAAGCACTGGTCTACACTATAGACAAAATTGTTAACGCAACACCATAAAGAAAATAATGTTTAAACCTTTTAAAGACTTGTTTATAATGAATTTGATGTACAAGGGTTGTCCCAGAAAAATGTGAACTTTTTAAATATTTAAATATGTTTGTATGCATTCCAAAAAAAATCTGACATCCTAGATGACATTTGATCATAGAAGAGTGTACAGTTGGCAGTGAGTGTGGTGTCTGCAAGGTTGTCCTTTTGAAAGGTTGTAAAAATAAATTTAAAAAGTTAAATATTTTTATTTTTCTGTTTAAAAAAAAAAGTACTGATACTAGATAAACAAATATGAAAGAGTCTTTTTGTGGTGACTATGGTATTCAAAATACATGTTACAGTTATTGCAAGATTACAATGATTTATATATATATATAATAATAAGCCTGCCAGTTTGTATGTGGATTGATGGCTGTTTTTTCCTGCATTTTCATGACTGAAATGACTGTAGTGACTGAAATGGGTCATTGAACAAGTACAGCCCAGTCAGTATAGCTTAAAATTTGTGTCTTTTCAGCAAACCAGCAGATTCTGTGGTGAGAGAGAATGGGGACGTCCAGGAGAACAATAACATTACTGGTAAACAGAATACTGAGGGTGGTGGTGGCGAGCCAGCCAGTGGGACAGAACCACCAAGTGGTGCCAAAGCAGGCATTAGCAAAGGTAATTTTTATTAATAAAATAGAGGACTGATAACATAATATAATATGCATGCATATTTTAAAGTGGCACCTCTCTTTATTAATTGGCCTACAAAATTGTATAAATGTATCTTATATGATTAAAGTGAATGAATTTTGGTAACTAAGGCAGTCATGTAAGGAAAGGAGGCTGGACAATTTCAAAGTTGTTTTTTAATTATATGCACAAAATTCAAAATGAATTATCTCCAAAGAATAAGCAATTCAGAATGGCAGTATCTGTCATGGCTTTATTCTTGTTTAACATTATAAGTTAATTACATAATAAAACAATGGTATCAAAACAATGGACAATAATCAAGTATTATAGCAAGTGTCAATGAGTAAGCGCCGATCCTCAATCTGGCATTTGGCGCATACAGTTTGCAGAAATGAGGAGCCATATGGTGCTGGCAACCCTGGAGGGTAAACAGAAGTTGCCAGCGATGGCTTGTTGCAAAATTCTGCAGTGCGCAGGCATGGATTGCAGGCTTGAAGGGTCACTAAAGCCATGACGATGGTCGATGTGGCACTGGAATCATAAAATGATAACAGCAGAAACACAGAAAAAAAATACTACTATATGTATTTACATGTATAAAACTTATCCGACTAATGTGATGTATATGTATCTAAATGTGATAAATGATAGTTGGGGATCTATGTAATGTTGATGTAGCCTAATATAACAACTAAGATGGTGGGGGTGGGTGGGTGTTCAAAATTGATGAAGCGGAAAGGATGTGCGCGCAAGCGCATTTAATGACCTGGGGATATTTGGGAAATTTGGTTGAAGCCAGGAGAGTTATCGCGCTTAGGCTATTCTTCTTCGATAACTGGCACTTACTGCACATAGCAGTAAATGCAATTATCTCCAAAGAATAAGCAATTCAGAATGGCAGTATCTGTCATGGCTTTATTCTTGTTTAACAAAATAAGGTAATTACATAATAAAACAATGGTATCAAAACAATGGACAATAATCAAGTATTATAGCAAGTGTCAATGAGTAAGCGCCGATCCTCAATCTGGCATTTGGCGCATACAGTTTGCAGAAGTGAGGAGCCATATGGTGCTGGCAACCCTGGAGGGTAAACAGAAGTTGCCAGCGATGGCTTGTTGCAAAATTCTACCAAGTGGATTGCTGTACGCGAATTTCGAGACAGCAATCCATCCGCCAAAAAGTGGCGGAAAATTTGGCAAACAAGACATCATGTCTAATGCAACACAATAATTAGCAAAACAATTCAATGCAATATACAGGGTAACAACAATGTGTAATTTGGCAAAACAATTCAATACAACATACCAATATATCATCAAGCATGAACTGAGGGGAAAAATGGGGAGGGGGGGTTGTTGGGGAAAATGAGGAATGCAATGCACATGTGTCTACTATCAGAAATTTGGGGGGGGGGTATTGGGATGGTATAATGGGGCCATTTGCAAGCCATGAACAGATACTGCGTTAAGGTGAGGATGGGGAAAACTTTTTGACTTGAAGTGAGAAACTTGGACAATGCTGTTTGAATTGTAGTTGTGAAAATAGAATTCCCAAGATCTGATAGATGTACGCAATCGAGGAATAATTTGGGCTGATCTATTTTAATATCAGGATGACGTATGAGGGCCCCATTTAACTTCTGAACAACAAAGCAGCCAATAGAATTATTTATTCTTTTTCTAGATTTCTCTGCAGCTTCGCTGGAAATCATGTAACGCCAGTATTTGCGAGGGAGTATATTTGACCATACTATAAGTGTGTTTGGTAATTTTTTATGAAGGGAGGCTAATAATGCCTTCATGGCTAGTTGTAGTTTTTTAAGGGGCTGAAAGCCAATACTGTTACCACCACAGTGAACTATTAGCATTTGAGGCATGATATCATTATGGCGATTTATCAATCTGGCAATGTGCTGATCAAGTTGTTCCCATTTTAGTCCCCCAGATCCAGACCAGGTAACATCTATCTTTAAGTGCTCCAGAGACAAGTTTTGGCCAATTGTTGAATGTATGCAGTAATCTTCGGCTCGTCTGATAATGGAAGATCCAACGATCCATACCTTGCAGCAAGTCCCTGCAAACTTAGCTTACAGTTAGTAAGACTGACTATTTACAGGACTACAGTATTCGGGCAAACATAAGACTTGAAAGCATTGGATTTCCATCTACCCATTGTTTTAATTTCTTGCTCTGGAGTACCTTGCATATACAATGAAGTTGCCGCCCCTATGCGAAATGAATGGGATTTGAATGTTGATGTGTCGAGCTTGAGGAATGATAGAGCTTTCTTTAGTACTTGATTGAATTGATAGTATGTCGTTGGCGAGCCATCCATGTGACATAAAAACTGAGATGTTTGAGTTTGTGATGGTCTATGGGTCATGTAAGCTTGTATGTTGTGAAATAGGACCTGATTTTGCTTTGTGCTATTAATTTGCATTGTTGTGCCCTTGCCATGCTGATCTGTTTTGGTTTTCCCTAATGTGATCAGTATGGATGATTGTGATATGGATACATTCTGTATTGACAATGGGGAACTGGTGAGGTTTGCCTTAGTGGAAGTTATCTCCCCGACTCTAAGTAAAGCGAAGAATGCAAGGCCATAAGCAGAGGAGAAGAGTAATTTCTCGTAATAATTTCGGCATACGTGTTGCAACGAATCTATTATCTTAACTAATAGGGGAAATGTTATCGGGCTTCTTGAATCTTTTCTATGTTTGAGTTGTTTAAAGCCATGGAGCATTTTCTTGACTATGAAGAATTGACATGGGTCTGGGAAGTTACCTAGTTTTATGGTGAAGCTTAAGCCTGCTAGGTACATTTTGGCTGTAGTGTATGTTGTCCCCTTTGATGATAGGTAAGCGATATAGTTTATTAATTGGTCTACGGGAGAGGGCCACAATTCCTTCAAGTTAAAAAGTTTTCTAAATTGTGAAAAAGAGTCGAGACCTTTCTGGTATATTTCTTGAGTGTTATGGGAGACTGATGCTCTGAGTAGCTGTTCTACTTCCTGCTCAAATGGTTCCAGAATTCCGGAGGAACTTGGCAGGGATAGTAGTCTGTGTGGGGGGCCAGCTTCCTGAACTTTAGCCACTGAAAACGAGATATGGCATCAGCAATAGAATTGGAATGACCTGGTATGTGTTCGCAGCGCACTTGGATATTGTATTTTAATATTTTGTAAAGAAAGGGTCTGAGAAGGGACATAACTCTTGGTGACTTTGATGTTTTTTGGTTGATTATCTCTACAACTGCCATGTTATCGATATGCAAAATTATTTTTCTGCCCTGGAGTTTGTGACCCCATATGTAAAATTGCAAGAGCGACTGGGACTAACTCCAGATAGGTCAGATCTCTACAATCATGATGTGACCATTCTGAGGGCCACTGTAGGTAGGACCATTGTGAACCAAATATGACCCCACATCCGAGTGAGCCGGAGCTGTCAGAGGATATATGGATAGTGTCCTTATCTGACCAACGCATATCTGGGAATACGGTAGTGCCATTAAAGTCGGACAAAAACTCGAGCCATATAGCTACATCTTCACAAAGTGCCCTTGATATAGTGATATAATGATGTTTTTTGTGTCCCTGTGATAGGCTATCATAGAATCGTCTACAAAAGGCTCTCCCGGCAGGTATTGCCTTGGAAATAAATGCCAGGGATCCGACTAATGATTGCATTTCTTTAAGTGTAATTTTGCGACGCGAGGCAACATTTTGAAGTTGGGCTTTAAGGGCGTCAAGTTTATCTTTAGGAACAAAGATGGTTTGGTTGCTGGTATTGATCCCTAACCCTAGAAACGTTAGACATGTTGTAGGACCTTCGGTTTTTTCCTCTGACAAGGGAACGCTGAGAGTTTCGCAAATTATGTCAAACGTTTGCATGAGTTTTTTGCACACAAGGGTGTTTGCGGGGCCTGCAAAAAGGAAATCATCAAGGTAGTGGACTAATGTGTCAATTTTGGCTCGATCTTGTACGATCCAATGAAGGGCTGTTGCAAATTTTTCAAATGTGGCACAAGCTATAGAACATCCAAATGGGAGGCATTTATCGAAATAATAATTTTTAAAATGAAAGCCAAGCAGGGAAAAGTCTTCTGGGCGAATAGGAAGGAGTCTGAATGCACTAGAAATGTCTTTTTTGCCTAGTAGCACCCTGGCCCAGTTCTTTTATCATTCTTACTGTCGAGTCAAATGATGTATAATGAACAGTGCATAGATCTGGGTCAATAAAATCATTAATGCTATTTCCCCCAGGTGCAGATAGGTTACAAATCATACGCCAACCCCCCTGCTTTTTGGGAACAATACCTATTGGGCTGCACTTGATATTTGACATGGGAATATTTTTGAAGGGCCCAGCTATTCTGCCTAATATTACCTCTTGATCGATTTTTTCTTGAAGCTGATGTGGATTTGTCTGCGCGGATTTCATGTTTTTAGATTTTTGAAATAAATTTCCCGAATACCCAAATAGTGAATGTTGAAACCAGCTTGAAAACCATTGATCAATTCATGAGCTATGTGTTGTAATGGGTAACTTTTAAGCATTGATTTTAAGATGTTAACGTTGACTGGTGTTGGAGCCAAGTCCCAGAGGCCTTGGGTGGTTTGGAGGGAGCCCTCTACCCTGAAATCTGCTTGGGGGCTGGCGGGTTTGTTCTGCTTGGGACAGTCGAGAGCTCTCTGTGCGAAATGGCTGATTGTTGTGCCAGCGGCAGTTTATGAGTGGGTGACTATTGGAGCATTTTATGCATGCATGTTGATAAGTGCAGTATGGTCTGCCGCATGTACCTTTGTAATTGAAGTCAAAGCATTTGGGTGATTTAGATGTATGATTAGGTGCTTGCTGGGATAGGGTGGTTTGGCCATGGGTCACATACAAAAGCCACAATTCTGCATCGACAGACCCCCAGTCCAGTGTGTGGTTTCTAGATCGCTTTAACCTGAACTGTACGTCGTAATTGAGCCAGTTTAAGTTTGTTGATCGCTGTGCAGCAGTGCGTATAATGTTAATGTATTTAAGTATTGACTGAATGTGTTCTGGGAACTTAGTTAGGTATATGCTAGTAAATATTAGGAATGCGTTTGTCCATGTTTCTATTGATGTTATTTTGATTTCCTTATGTTTGGGTTTCAAGATTAGTTCACCATTAACAAATGCCAGCTGTTGCTGGGACTCGTCATTTGGTTTGAGGGGGAGCAATTTGTGCAGGTGAATGAATGCATTATCAAAGATATTTTGCCTCAAGCTATCCGAGACATGCACGCCCAAAGCGTCTGAAACGCTGTTTAAAGCATTTGGTGTATTTGCATCAAAATTGATATTAGTACATGATGCTGATGTACCTGCAGAGAAGACTGAGGGGTCAGATGCTGCCATTATTGACGTAGCTGGTGCTGTCATCTCTGGAGTTTGGGTTGATAGAGCTGGTGCTGTCAACGCTGACGTTTGGGCCGATGAAGCTGGTGCTGTCAACACTAAAGTTTGGGGAGTGTGGTTTTCCTGGATGTCATGCTGAGTTGATATGACTGGTACTGTGGGTGCGGATGTGACCTGGGTCCGTCTCGTCGTAGTATTAGAGATTTTCGCCTTTTTGGCGGCAGCTTGGGCACGTCCGGGTCTAGCGTATGGTGATTTGGAGACTCTTTTTGTACGGAGCATTTTTCTGCAAAACAAACGACTGTGTAATCTGGTGTTTACCATTGTACGTTTTTTTTATTATTATTATTATTATTATTATTATTATTATTTTAAATTAGTTGCTTGAGTCTGTGACTGATTATGTGCCAATATTATCGTAAACTGAGCAGGAAAAAACAAAATAAGTTTAAACCGATTTCTTTGTTATAGTTGAAATGGCGCCATTAATAGATGGTGATCTTGAATTGAGCCAGCTAAATCTGCTGGCATCTGAAGATGCTGAGGCGAAGGAAACGCCCAATTCGCTTCCAATGCCTCACCGGGTGTTTAATACATACCGATGTCCTGAGGAGCATACAATAATCCTCTTGATTGAGATAGGGCTTGAAGCTGATTTCTTGGCGATGTTCTCTGTTCAAAATTGATGAAGCGGAAAGGATGTGCGCGCAAGCGCATTTAATGACCTGGGGATAATTGGGAAATTTGGTTGAAGCCAGGAGAGTTATCGCGCTTAGGCTATTCTTCTTCGATAACTGGCACTTACTGCACATAGCAGTAAATGCAAATATTTTTCTTCTGTCAATCATTTTTTTACTTATATCTTGATAAAAAAAATGTTGCAAGTGTTTTAATTTATTATATTTTATGTTAAATAGTGTAATCTGATTGATTTAAAGCACTAACCAATTCTCAGTGTTACCCTCCGCATTAACAAAACACTCTGCAAAGGGTAACAATAACGTCACATTCGTGCAATTTATGTGTGTACAGTTTGCTGTAGAATTCACAACACATCAAACATGCATGTGTTTGAAATAAGCCAAATAAACATGAGAATGTAGCTTGAGTCCAAGTTAGAATGAAAACAGAAGAAAAATGTTTGTGAGTGTGGAAATAAAGAAATTATTGAAGTTAAAGGACTTTTCAAGTACAGACTTGAAAGGTCAGTGTTTCATTTTTTAAAAAAATGTAAGAAAGTTTAAAAGCCTTTCAGAACAAAATCAAAATCAGAATGACAATTTTCAACTTTTTATGCCCCGCCATGAATATGGCCAGGGCATATCAGGGATAGACATTAACTTTCAGATTCACTTGCCCTTCGGGCAAGTGATCTCAAACTTTGACTTGTCCGAATACAAAACTTGGTTGCCCCAAATTAGGCAAGAACATAAGAAGAAAAAGTTAATTTCTGTAAACGTTACGATAAGAAAAAATGTGATCAAATACCAGCTACAAGTCAATGAAAAAAACTTGATGCTGCATTTGTACATAAATGTATACCACTGTACTTGTAAGTTTAACCTTTTAACACACACTGCCATGCAGCAATACCCCTTTCCTTTTAATTTCCTTTTCATAAAATTTATATTTTTAAACAAATGATTTCGGTAGGCTACGAAACATACATCTTTATCCTGATCATGATACATTGAGTTACACTGTACTTACATTCTGTGCATGAATAAATAGTCTAATTTCCTAATAAGAAGTTAACAAAATTTTGGTAGATGTAGAGCGTATATACTACGAAGGAAAATAACAAACCCGATTTTTAAATGAATGGTATAATCCAGAAATGCTATCAAGGAATTCCGTATGCAAAACATTGTCAATAAGGTGCGTGGCGGGAATCAAGTGTTCAATTTATTGTTTTATTTATAAATTAATGTAAACTAAATAAATATGTGCATTTCTATGAAAAAAATTCACTTGCCCGATCGGACAAGTATGTCGACAATTTCACTTGCCTGAACTGAGAATTTGCTTGTCCCGGGCAATTGGACAACCGTTAATGTCGATCCCTGCATATAGTGTTTGTCATGTTCGTCTTCCATCCTTCCGTCCTTCCGTCTGTCCATCCGTCACACTTTGCGTTTAGCTCTGTTCAAAGCTCAGTTTCAAAGAAACTATCCAAGATATTTTTATCAAACTTCATATGCTGATAGATATTGATGAGAGCTTTTCAACTGCATCAACATTTTTTGACCTTGACCTTTCCTTTGACCTTGACCTCACTTTTCTTGAATTAGTGTTTAGCTCAGTTTTAAAGATACGATTCAAGATAGTGTTATCAAACTTCATATGCTGATACATACTGATGAGAGCTATTCAACTGCATCAACATTTTTTGACCATGACCTTTCTTTTGACCTTGACCTCACTTTTCTTAACTTAGTGTTTAGCTCAGTTTTAAAGATACCATTCAAGATAGTGTAATCAAACTTCATATGTTGATACATACTGATGTAAGTTATTCAACTGCATCAATATTTTTTGACCTTGACCTTTCTTTTGACCTTGACCTCACTTTTCTTAAATTAGTGTTTAGCTCAGTTTAATGAAACCATTCAAGATATTTTTAACAAACTTCATATGCTGATACATACTGATGAGAGCTTTTCAACTGCATCAATATTTTTTACCTTGACCTTTCCTTTGACCTTGACCTCACTTTTCTTAAATAAGTTTTTAGCTCAGTTTTAAAGATACCATTCAAGATAGTGTTATCAAACTTCATATGCTGATACATACTGATGAGAGCTATTCAACTGCATCAACATTTTTTGACCTTGACCTTTCCTTTGACCTTGACTTCACTTTTCCTAAATTAGTGTCAAACTTTATATGCTGATACATACTGATGAGAGCTATTCAACTGCATCAATATTTTTTGACTTTGACCCTCCCTTTGACCTTGACCTCACTTTTCTTTAATTAGTGTTTAGCTTAGTTTTAAAACCATTCATAATATTTTTATCAAACTTCATATGCTAATACATACCGATGTAACCTTTCAACTGCATAAACAATTTTTTTTGGACCTTGACCTATCATTTGACCTTGACCTCACTTTTCTTAAAATTTGTGTCAAACTTCATATGCTGATACATACTAATGTAAGCTATTCAACTGCATCAGTATTTTTTCACCTTGACCTTTCCTTTGACCTTGACCTCACTTTTCTCAATTTGTGTTAAAATGTTGCATTACTAATATACCCTCAGCGGGGCATTCATGTCCTATGGACATATTTCTAGTTTAGATTTTTCAATCAGCCATTCAGTATAATAAAATTAAAAATGCTTTTTTTCGGGGATAACTGTTGAAATTGACATCCAGAGAGAAAACCATTGTCAATCAGTGCGTCAGCGAAATGGGACAATGGTTTTCTCATAGGATGTCAATTTCAACTGTTACCTCCAAAACATGCACATTTATATAATGTTACTCTGATAGAAATTTAATAAACCAAAGAATATATACAATGTCCCCTCATATTTACAAAGGTTTCAATTTTCCATTTCTCACACTGGAATTTTTCATTATACACTTATCTAGAAATGGTTTATTCATGATCATTGTAAATTTAAAGTCTATTGAGTACTAATAAGCAGAATAAGATTTTTTGTGTTTTTCACTAGATTTAGATGATTTGGCTCCAGCTGCAAACTTTATTGTGACAAAGGGAGATGAGGCAGTCAAACTACGCATGAGTGAATCAGGGTATGGTTCAGAGAAGCCTGTTACTGTACCGTCGATGCTGTATCAGACAGTTCAGAGAGTGCCAGCCCATCCTGCATTGGGTATATCCACTACAATGGTCAACCGGAACATGATATTGTACAATTATAATATTAAGAATACACTCTATCGATTTTGAAAAAAAAGTGTCTAAATAAAACAAAAAAATTGATTACAGCTGTGAAACGTGGTGGGATATGGGTGAAGTGGACCTATGAGCAATACTTTAATGACACTCGAAAGGCAGCTAAGGCTCTCATAAAGGTATTAATGGTCATAAAGATATGTATATTTAGAAAGAACTTCAGTTTTCATCTATTAAAATGATTTGTCAGATTTGTTTAAAATAGTATTTCAGCTATTCTGTCCATCATTTGAATAAGGACCAATTTAAATTGTAGCAGTCCAACAATGCTACTGTCCAACTAAGTCTCTGGATTTTTATGATATTTAGAGATTGTACATTTCATGAAAATGTTTTTGGTTATTAAAATGACCTTGTTAGCAAATATAACCGATTACTGGATTGTATTTTGACTGATATATTTCATGCCAATTGTTTGGCCTTTGCTTTTATACTAAATTTGACTACGGAGTATTCCATCTAACTTATCAGTGCATAGGCTCATGGCAGGTGTGACTGGTTGACAGGGGATGCTTACTCCTTCCAGGCACTTGATTTTTTGGGGGTCTGTGTTTTATGCCTATTCATGGATTTGTATTGTTATACCCCCACTCAGAAGGAGAGGGGGGTATTCTGTTTTACCCTTGTGTGTCTGTCTGGCTATAATAAATTTTTGTTGCAGTTTTCTCAGCAACTACTCTTTGCAGATGCTTGAAATTTTAGCACACTCTTCGTTTTGGCATGCCGTATGGTTGGATTCATTTTTGTATGAATCTGATGTCAACTTCCTTTTTATCTGTGCATCTGTCTGTACCAGATTTCTGTTGCAGTTTTTTCAGCAACTGTTCTTTGCAGATGCTTGAAATTTTAGCACACTCTTTGCTTGAGCATATCATATGATGGGATTCATTTTTGTCAACTTCCTGTTTATTCATGCGTCTGTCTGTCCAAATTTCCATTGCAGTTTTCTCAGCAACTACTCATTGCATATGTTTCTTTAAATTTTAGCACACTCTTTGTGTAGGCATTCCTTATGGTGGGATTCATTTTTGTACGAATTCGCTGTCAACTTCCTGTTTATTTGTGCATCTGTCCAGAGCTGTCTGTACCAAATTTCTGTCACAGTTTTCTCAGCAAGTACTCTTCACAGATGTTGAAATTTTAGCACACTCTTTGTTTAGGCATGCCATATTGTGGGATTCATTTTTAGCTCATTTCAATGAAGTTGGGAGGAACTTCTGTACTAACCTCGGTGAAGGCGTTGGCATCCCAGTTTAAAGTTTTTGGAGCAGATTTTTTTCAAGTATATCCTATATTAATCAAATATGCATGGAGGATGCTTCTAGTATGTTTCATTGTACCAGTCAAAGTTTCTTTCTGAACCAAACTTGCATGGATGATGCATCATATGGGATGAACAATCTCAAACTTGCTACAGATGCTGGATTTGACTTACATTTTCTGGATAAGTGACTAGTTTAAAGTTTTTACAAGTCCATTCCCATGTATCCGTAAGCCCTATCAGACCAAAATTGCATAAATGTTGCATCTAGGGATGCACTTTACTTGATTATTAGTTTAGTGTGGGACTTTGCCTTATTTAAAGACATTCGTTGAGTTGAGCTCTGTAATCTCGGATTACCTATGTTTTCTCATGAATAAGTTTTGTTTGTGTGTGTTTTTTTAACTATAAGCAAACTACACGTATGTGAGCTTTTTTTCCCATTTAATATGGTATATATGTATAAGTAGGTATTTTCATTAGTTAAACTAGTTTACTTAAAAATTGTGTTATGCATGCATTTTATTTTAAACATTAATTTTGTAGCTTGGATTAGAACCAGTTCACGGAGTAGGAATTTTGGGTTTCAATGCACCAGAGTGGTTTATTGCTAACAATGGTGCCATATTTGCTGGGTAGGTTTCTAATTACACTTGCTTTTATCCAGTAAAGGAAATTTGTTTTTATCATTGAAGAAATTATTAAGTTATCAAATGTTTGAAAAAATATTGAAAAAAAGAATAAAAAATTAAATTTAAGCAGTGAATATGGTTGATTAGGAAGAGAATTGTATAGTTTAAAATGGCCCCATTAGGTTAAAATTGTTTAGGTTCAAAATATACCACAATATGGAAGTTTATTTACACATTGTCACAAAAAAAAAAACTCTGAGGAGTAATATGGTCCTTTGAGCCTTTGATACTGGATTCTTGAATTCCTGGATGCCATCTCCTTAAATTGTGTAAAATACAATGCTATCAATTGAATATTATACAATTATTGCTGTTTTTGATGTCATTATGATGATTTAGCCAACTGAGGAGTACAATATTCATCGAGCCCAAGGGGCAAGGTGAATATTGTACTTTGAAGGTATTGACCTCAAAAACAGCAATAATTGCTTTATTAAATGATTCAATGATTAAATGATACAACATATTAAGCAGTTCATGCCATCTTACTTGTTAACATTTGCTGAAGTCCTAGCCAAATGCAATGAGAGAAGCAGGGTTAAATAAATATTAGCAGTCATATTTAATTTGGAATTTTTTAAATCTACCTTTGCTCTGAAAAAAAAAAGAAATGATGTCAGGCTTTTTTAGAAGATGATTTTGAAAAGGGGGGTGGGGGGCATTATCAGGGAAAACTGACAGCTGAAAAAAAAATCTTTGATTAGCCCCAAGGAAAAGAGAATTCTTTTAGCTTCAAATTTTGTTTTGGGGTTGGGGTGGGGGATTAAGGTCAATTAGTGGGGGACCAGCCTTTCAATGATTTTTTATTTAGTCTAAATTAAAAGTAGAAATTTACATTCAGGTCCCATAACCCCCCCCCCCCCCTCAACCAGCTCCACCCCAAATTGTATATTCCCTAATGTTAAGTTCACCTGAGTGGAAGTCCATAGCAAGTGATATAGCTTTCCAAAACTATTTGTATCAATTTGAAATTTCCCAAATGAATCTATTTTTAGACCAATGTAGAGAAAATAAATCCTTATATTCACCTGGAAGGTCACATGCAGGTGAATATAACGTAGAATTTTTTCTACATTGTTGGATCGCAGACAATCAGAGAGATAGGAATTATTCAATCATATATATATATATATATATATATATATATATATAAAAAGCACTAAAAACCAACAACACTGTATATCCTAAGTGTCGGATCTACTAAGTAGATACAAGGTCACGGATGGAAATTTATATAAAGCACTAAAAATGACCAACGACACGAACAATAATTGTCAAATTTTCGGGACAACCTGTCCCTTCCTCAGGACAAAGAAAAAAGTTAAGAAGTCATAAAAACAAAGGAAATAGAGAAGCAAAAACAACTAGCACTACTGCTAAACTACCAAACACTAAATATTTACAATGTTACATGTTTAATTTGGAGTTTATAAACAGTTGTGAACAAAGAAGTCCGGAGCGCTATGAATTGCGTCCGGTCTATCGGGTGTAGTCTGGTGAAGTGTGATTTACATAATTCAACGAATTAATTATCGCTAATTAATTACGGCCAACAGTAAATCGTACATTGTCTTATTCTCTCAAAATAGCGTAACTCTACATGATAAAAAGAAATTAAAGAAAGATAATATGGAAGGACAATTTTGAAATATGAATTTGGATATTTTATAAATTTGGAAATCGGTAAAAAGAAATAAACAAAAATGTGAGCTGTAAATATTTGGGTAGGTTGTTCCAGGATTACTAATACGAATTAACGGCAAAGTTTACACTATATAGAGAGAATGAACTTGTTTGTTACAATCCGGGATTGGGTCTAGTTCACGTTCATCCTGGTGAAGTCATTAAGTTTGTTAATACCATTAGGGCGGAATGACTTCAGCCTGTGCATCCAGAACTTTTCCTTGCCTTTTCTCTGCGCGTCTGTCCATCTTGGATTATGGTCAATAACCACCACTGTCATGTCCTCCCATTTGTGACCTTCAAGGTTGAAATGTTCCCCAACGGGTTCATTGAGTTTTTTGGTCCTAATGGTAGAACGGTGATTATTGACCCTCCTGCGGAGATCTCCTGTTTCACCAACATACTGTTTGGAGCAAACTTTGCAACTGATGAGATAAATGCAGTTGTCTGTTTGACAGGACAAATTCCCTAGTATTTTGTAGCTGCGGCCTGTAACGGGGCTGTTAAAACTGTCTGTGTCAGAGCTGTACTTACAGAGAAGACATCTTCTGTCAGAGCAAGTTTTAAAGCCCCCGTTAGGTAATGGATTGTCCAATCTGGTTCTTACTACCATGTCCTTCAGGTTCCTCGGGCGTCTGTATGCAGCCAATGGGGGCTCCTTAAAGACCTCTGCCATTCGTTTATTTGAGTGGAGAATTGGCAGATTCTTTTGAAGGATACCGCTGAGGTTCTTAAGGACGGGATGGTATGTGGTTACCAGAGGGACCCTGCCGCTATTGTCTTTTTCCTTGTAGCGTAATAGGTTTTGCCTGTCATGTCCCGCCATCTCATCAATAGCAGTTTGTACGGTGCGGGCATTGTAGCCTCTCTTGCATAAGTGGGACTTAAGGAGACCGCTTTGTTCTTGGTATAAGGCAGGGGATGAACAGATGCGCCGAATTCTGGTCTCCACACGAAACCCACAGATTCCCATCTGTATCTTATGCCAACTAGCTGTCATCCCCCACACACATTCAAGGGAGTGCCTAAGGGTCTAGCCACCAGAATTCGGCGCATCTGTTCATCCCCTGCCTTATATCAAGAACAAAGCGGTCTCCTTAAGTCCCACTTATGCAAGAGAGGCTACAATGCCCGCACCGTACAAACTGCTATTGATGAGATGGCGGGACATGACAGGCAAAACCTATTACGCTACAAGGAAAAAGACAATAGCGGCAGGGTCCCTCTGGTAACCACATACCATCCCGTCCTTAAGAACCTCAGCGGTATCCTTCAAAAGAATCTGCCAATTCTCCACTCAAATAAACGAATGGCAGAGGTCTTTAAGGAGCCCCCATTGGCTGCATACAGACGCCCGAGGAACCTGAAGGACATGGTAGTAAGAACCAGATTGGACAATCCATTACCTAACGGGGGCTTTAAAACTTGCTCTGACAGAAGATGTCTTCTCTGTAAGTGCAGCTCTGACACAGACAGTTTTAACAGCCCCGTTACAGGCCGCAGCTACAAAATACTAGGGAATTTGTCCTGTCAAACAGACAACTGCATTTATCTCATCAGTTGCAAAGTTTGCTCCAAACAGTATGTTGGTGAAACAGGAGATCTCCGCAGGAGGGTCAATAATCACCGTTCTACCATTAGGACCAAAAAACTCAATGAACCCGTTGGGGAACATTTCAACCTTGAAGGTCACAAATGGGAGGACATGACAGTGGTGGTTATTGACCATAATCCAAGATGGACAGACACGCAGAGAAAAGGCAAGGAAAAGTTCTGGATGCACAGGCTGAAGTCATTCCGCCCTAATGGTATTAACAAACTTAATGACTTCACCAGGATGAACGTGAACTAGACCCAATCCCGGATTGTAACAAACAAGTTCATTCTCTCTATATAGTGTAAACTTTGCCGTTAATTCGTATTAGTAATCCTGGAACAACCTACCCAAATATTTACAGCTCACATTTTTGTTTATTTCTTTTTACCGATTTCCAAATTTATAAAATATCCAAATTCATATTTCAAAATTGTCCTTCCATATTATCTTTCTTTAATTTCTTTTTATCATGTAGAGTTACGCTATTTTGAGAGAATAAGACAATGTACGATTTACTGTTGGCCGTAATTAATTAGCGATAATTAATTCGTTGAATTATGTAAATCACACTTCACCAGACTACACCCGATAGACCGGACGCAATTCATAGCGCTCCGGATTTCTTTGTTCACAACTGTTTATAAACTCCAAATTAAACATGTAACATTGTAAATATTTAGTGTTTGGTAGTTTAGTAGTAGTGCTAGTTGTTTTTGCTTCTCTATTTCCTTTGTTTTTATGACTTCTTAACTTTTTTCTTTGTCCTGAGGAAGGGACAGGTTGTCCCGAAAATTTGACAATTATTATTGTTCGTGTCGTTGGTCATTTTTAGTGCTTTATATATATATATATATATGTATATATATATATATATATATATATATATATATATATATATATATATATATATATATATATATATATATATATATATATATATAAATTAAGGGAGAGCATGTTCCTATTCTTTTGATTTTAAAGCTAAAATAGACAAATTTTGAGTGTAATTTATTCTGCAGTAGAAATTCATGTACAAAAATTAAAGATTATTCACAGGGATGAAAACAGTCTTTTTCCCCACAATGATAAACTTTTTAATGAACATAGAAGCTGATAATGACAGCAATATGTATACATGAATGCCTTTCTTAAGTATAATCATTTGTTAATTGATGTTTATCATAACAAAGTAAATCAGGTTAGCATAGCAGCTTCATGGGTACCTCTTTTCTATCTCCAGGGGATTTTCAGTGGGAATTTACACCACAAACAACCCTGAGGCCTGTAAGTATGTGGCACTGAAAGCTAAATGTAATGTCATAGTGGTGGAGAACAATCAACAACTGAAAAAAATTCTCCAAGTTTGGGAGGAGCTGCCCGATCTGAAAGCTGTGATACAGTATTCAGGAGAAGTGGCAGAGAAAAGAGAAAATCTGTATTCGGTGAGTGCTGTGGGTGTATTAAATATTTGAGTACTAAGAAAGTGTTTGAATTTACCCCACCTCTGTTGATTTTTCGATGAAATCCTGGCTTATGATTGGTTGAAGTCTGTCACGTGAAGGGGGTGTATTACTTATACCTAGTCGCTTGAAAATCAATACATGGTCGATACAGAGTTATCGTTCTTTTGTAATGTTAGAACAACTCGAGTTCACGCGATTTGCTGAGTGTCGGTTGACAATGTTACAGTTAACTAATGTAAGTAACGAAGATGGAACCTTTTTCTCCCTTTACTGAAAGTCTTCAAAACTGTCAGTACGTTATTACAGCACAAAACCTCGCAAAACAGCATTACGTCACACAATGTGACGTCATAATAGGCATTGTATGAGTGATGAAACATATATATAGTGAGAAAAACAATTTTACCAACCACAGACAATGCATAAATATTTTATCGATGGGGTAAATTCGTCACATAGTTTTGTAGTAACAGGGTACAGGATGATACCTGGTTAGTAAATTCCATACCTGGCGAGGCGAAGCAGGTATCATCCCGTACCCTGTCACTATAAAACTATGTAACTAATAATACACTGTAATTTGATTGCTGCAGTTTTAAGGTAATTTCCCATACCATGTCTGTATGAAACTTACATATTCTAATAAACCCTAATATATACTTTTATCCCATGTTTACCCCTTTATCCCATGGATATCAGTCATTGGGTATTTTTTTCATATCCCACTTCTGTGACATCACAATGGGTTTTGTGTGAAAGTGATGAAGTAAAATAAGTGGATTCCTATATAAAAACAGTGTAAAATATTGATGGTGATGCATAAAACATGGGATAAAAAGAATCTCCTATGATTTGTAGCTGGATATGATTTTTATCTAACTCGTGTGTTTTTATCCCCTTGCCAAGGCTCGGGGATTAAAAAAACACACAACACATTATATAAAAATCATATTCAACTACCAATCATAGGAGATCCTATATACACATGTATAACTGAGGATTTGTTTTACAAAAAAGTCCTTTTTATGGCACAGTGTGTGCTAATTATAGAGCACAGCAGCCAAAAGGCATGTCATGTTCAGCTCTACTGATTAAAGTGCAGAAGTGCAGAAGACATGCAGTGTTGTGTAAATCTGTGTGTTTGTTCACAGTTCTTCAATACAGTACTCCTGCTACTGTTTCAATTGATTTAAAAAAAACATGGTACAAGTGGCCTACACAAAAAGAAAGAATTCAGTGTATCAGATTTTGATGATTCTTGCCATAGTTACTTTAAATAAAAGTTTCAGTGAAATCCCTTCAAAACCTATAATTTTGTCCAATTTCAAGAAAACTTAATGCAAAGGTATGTTACTTAAATACAGTCAAACCTTGTTATCTCAAACCCGATGGGACTGAGAAAATACTTCGTGCTACTGTTTCAATTGATTTAAAAAAACATGGTACAAGTGGCCTACACAAAAAGAAAGAATTCAGTGTATCAGATTTTGATGATTCTTGCCATAGTTACTTTAAATAAAAGTTTCAGTGAAATCCCTTCAAAACCTATAATTTTGTCCAATTTCAAGAAAACTTAATACAAAGGTATGTTACTTAAATACAGTCAAACCTTGTTATCTCAAACCCGATGGGACTGAGAAAATACTTCGAGATATCCAAAGTTTGAGATATCCAGGGTAAAATACTTAGGAATAGGCGATCTGGACTTCCAAATCACTTCGACATATCCATGGTATAATTTGAGATATCAGTGTTCAAGATACCGAAGTTCAACTGTATACACAATTTCAACAAAATTTGGTACACAAGTAGACTACAAAAAGACACATATTTCAATTTATTGATATTTGATTTCAAAGAAAGGTTTGTCAAGGTTGTTAAAAAATCTATTTTAAAAAATCAGTGAAATTCTTTCAAAATACAGTTCCTCCATTGATTCAGCAAGGCACTGGATCATGAAGCAGTCCTTGACTTTTCAAAGTCAAAATTTCAGTCATTCATAAACTGAATATTTATTGTAAAGTGACACATGAAGATACATAGTAACAAGGTACAGAAACAAATTTTAATATTATTTCCAGTTTTATTTGTTTTTCTGTAATGAAATTTTAAAACAATGTACAAAGTTTGACTGTATTAAACTTAACTAGGATCTTCAATCAATGAATGTTGCTACTAAAGTTACGTACAAACCAGTAGAGACATGGTTTTTCAGAGACTTCTGGTTGTGAGGAGTATTTGACTATACAGTCATGTATATTATATATGATTGATGGAAAAAAATTTATGTGATACAAAATATGAATACTTTAGGTAGTTAAATATTTTTATTAGCTCCCCTGAACCTGTACCAAATACATTAAATTGTCATATAGATAAGCAAGTATTCCAGTGAAGGATAGACAGTCATAGCCACCAGGACTAGGATAGGGCCCAAATAGGCAGTAATTTAAAAGTTTAAAATGTGAAAATATAGGGAAAAAATTCAAAACATAGGGAAAAAATTTAAAATATAGGGAAAAATTCAAATATCTTTTTAAAAAAGGAATAGCAGTGCTATATTTTAGAATTGGTGTAGATTATATACATTAAACCATTTTTTCTATATTGTGAAATTATATTTTTTTCAGTGGAAAGAATTTATGGAGCTATCCAGTGATGTTACAGATGACGTGTTACAACAGCGACTTAGCCTACTGGCGCCCAACAAAGCCTGCTCCTTAATCTTCACTGTAAGACAATATACAAAACTTACTACATAGTTATGTTACAACAGCGACTTAGCCTACTGGCGCCCAACAAAGCCTGCTCCTTAATCTTTACTGTAAGACAATATACAAAACTTACTACATAGTTACGATACAACAGCTACTTAGCCTACTGGCCCCCAACAAAGCCTGTTCCCTTATTTTCACTGTAAGACAAGATACAAAACTTAATACATAGTTATGATACAACAGCGACTTAGCCTACTGGCCCCCAACAATGCCTGCTCCTTAATCACTGTAAGACAATATACAAAACTTACTACGTAGTTATGATACAACAGTGACTTAGCCTACTGGCCCCCAACATAGCTTGCTCCTTAATCTTCACTGTAAGACAATATACAAAACTTACTACATAGTTATGTTACAACAGTGACTTAGTTGGGCCATCTCATTCATGTGATTTTTCTGGTCTTTCTTTAAGCTTTTTAGCAGGTCTTTTAAGAATGTCAAGTATATATACCAGTAGATGTAAAGTTTGTTCAAAGTAACCCCCCCCCCCCCCCAAGAATTATTCAGAACAACAATAAAAATTATTCCAGACAAGCCATATTAATTTATCATTTGAAATGCTGCCATAAGACATTTAAATGTAACCTTGTCATTTTTCTTTGAAGTACATGTAGTCTCCATTTGAAGTACACAGGATACAATACATGTAGATGTTTTCTCTTTCTCATTGTTTGAAAGAATAAATTACACTCTCAAACTATTAAGGATCAAATTAGAAATCAAAATGTCTTATTAATTTCCACATCAACATTATAAATGGAGCAAAGTTGTACTGAAGTCCTGCCATCTCTGTTCACATGACTGTAAGTTCAATACACCATTTTTTTTCATTTATCCTGAAGTTCTACTTACAACCCATTCTACCCAGTAGAATATGAGCCTGTCTGGTATTGTAATAGTAGACAATGGGTGCAACACAGAGGAATATTGCCCAAACAGAACATGTAACATATTCCATAACCACAAATGTGAAAATATTTTCAAGAACTTGCAGTGGTGAATGTGCAAAGAAAATAATAAAAGGAATATACTCAATCATCCAGCATATCAAATAGAACTTAGAGATCCTGTTGACGGAACCAACCATGTCTAGAGAAAGCATCTCTAGATTGTGTGATCTGTCCCATTCTCCCAGGAATACACTTGCATCCTCTATCGGCTCTTCCTTTGTGTCATTGGACCATTTTATAAACAGAAGTACAAGTACAGCAGGTCCAGTGTTCAGACATTGGAAAAAAATGAGGGCTGTGATTGGGTCGGCAGATGGCAGAAAAAATGACAAATCATTCACTATCATTGAAAAAGCCAGTGAATAAATCCAGATTGTTAGGGCCATTATGACTGTTGTTTGTCTCGTCAACAGTATGCGACAGTATGTGGGGTATGCACGAAAGAAGTACTTCATACCCACCAGAAAGGCAACATGGTAACCAGTGGATAGTTCTGAAATTCTCTCACTAACAAGGTATATGGTTCTGTGGAGGTTGGAGTGGGATCCATCAGCGTTTGTGTCTCCATACATTCTCCAAATGATGCAAACAACCCCAAGTAGATTAACAATAGACACCAGAATTATCGGTATAAATGTGATTGTTCGTGTGGTTGCATCTCTCATGTAATTTACTATTAGTATTAAGTTGGAAAGAATACCAAAAGGACAAATAATTCTAAGAAACCAACAAAAACATTTTAGAAGGATGGGTTGCTTGCAGAAATCCTCTTTAAATTTCTTCTTCATTTGAGCACTTTTTTCCTTGCTAATCTGTAAATTAACAAAATATTCATGCACCAAGTGAGTCACATTAAGCCAATTTTTATCAGACATATTTTCCTTGCTCTCATTTTCTGTTTTACACAAATTATCATCCCTCAGAACTATGCCATGTGTATTCCAAGGAATGACAGTGACACAAATGACAGTATCCACTACAACACACAGTGTAATAAGTATCAGAACATTAATGGCCATCTTGGCCAAGTATTCAGTCCTTATTTTTGATAGTGTATCTTCCTCTGTATGTACTTGGTAACTGAATCGTGATAACAACGAGGGAGTGATAATCTGCAAGTACAAAACAAAACGCCTAGGAAGGAAACTCCAGCTTTTAGTTAAAATAATTTGAACAATACGGCATTATGTATGTTATATAGGGTTGAGGAAAATTGTTTATGTGCTGTATTGAACTACCATTTTACAGGATATTATTACAGTCAGTATTTGTTGGTTTTTTGCTTGCCTAAATATTTCATTTCCTAATGATAGATGCATAATTAAGGTTCTGCAATTCTTTTCACGAAATCAGATACAAAATAACTAAGAGTCTAAGATCATAATCTACAATAAAGATGTCTTTAATTATATTTTTATTTTTAATTCTAAAATACAGGTATCTGTATAACCATCAAGTTTTTGTTTATTTCTATAGTCACATGAGTTAGTCCACCTATTGTGATTCTTTTTTGTCCAAAACCAGTTATATAAAGTATGTGAAAATTATATAAATTTCAAGTTTCTTGTCAACAATTTACAATTGAACCAATTTCAGCCACAGTGGAATAACAATCTTAAGAGTATGTTGACCAAAAAATAAATAAATGAATAAATAAAATCTGAACATATGTATGCATGTAAGTATTAATCATATGTTTGGAACTTGAACCAGAGCCTGAACATCAACCAAGCAAATTATAGATGAGTATAAAAATCCTCTACCAGAATATGTTTTTAATGTCAATAGGTTGGTTTTATCTCACAGAAAAGGGTTTAAGACCCCTCTACACACTGCCCACTAAAGAGGTCTGACTTTATGCAGCTGGGGTAATCTACCCTTATATTAGTCTAGATCTGCAGTGTTTTCTCTAAGATCTAGCTATCTGCCAAATTGACCACTTCAGGCGATCAAAATGCCACTTGAAATAAAAAAAAATCAATTGTTGTAAGGTTTACAGAGATTTGTCACAAACTTCATCCCAAAGCCTGTTACAATTGATCTACTTTGAAATAAGGAGAAAACTCTGGATCTGAATTGTTAAAAAATAAATAATGATAATAAAATTGACTGTGTAATACTCAATTTTTTATCAATTCAAGCATTCTAGGCCAAGAAAAATTAACTGAGCACTTTTTATTTGCATGTATTTTCTCCACTTAGCTAAACAACAGTGATTTCTGTTCAGCAATAACTTTGTTGTCTTTGAACATTTGTCCTTGGGGAAAATGCCAGATTTAGTTGTTTATAAAGGGAAGAAGTCAGAGATATAATGGTGTTTTGTTATGCTGGGGGGATGCTTAATTTTTCTTGCAATTTATGACAGCCCAACCAATTATGCATTTATTTATTAAATGTGGTTAAATGGAATGGCTTTAAGTTGAGAGATTTTTTTTTTAATAATTTTAGATAAATGTGGTTAAATGGAAGGGTTGAAAGTTTAATGATTTTTTTTTTTAAATTATTTTAGAAATATAGGAATTGAAAACTTTGACAGTCTACCAGTAGCACACTACCTAATCTGCTTCGTATTGTAACGGGAGAGGAGAAAAATGCAGCGGACCAGACCGGGATTTGAACCCGGGCCCCCTGAATCTCCAGTCAGGTGCTCTACCAACTGAGCTATCTGGCCACCGTCGTTCGAACCCGTCTGACCGCCACATTCCTCCCTCCTTAAAGGTCTTTGGCCCCCCAAAGACTCCAACCCAGGCTCATCCGTGGCAGGCCTCTCACCTGTCACTTCCAGGGCATGGCACGGCACCAAATGTATCAGGAGAGGAGAAAAATGCAGCGGATCAGACTGGGATTCGAACCCGGGCCCCCTGAATCTCCAGTCAGGTGCTCTACCATCTGAGCTATCTGGCCACCGTCGATCGAACCCGTCTGACCGCCACAGTATGCTGGGTCTGACCTATATTTTCCAGATGAGTAAATACTAACTCTACCTGAACCAAACTAGCATGAATGATGTATCTAGGGATGGACGCTAACAGACTTGCTTCGGATGCTGGGTCTGACCTATATTTTCCAAATGACTGACCAGGTTAAAGTATTTTGAGTAGCTCTATAACTATATGGCCTGTTATGAGACTTGCATAGATGATGCAAGAAGGGATGGACATGTACCAGACTTGCCTCAGATGTTGGAACTAACCTACATTTTATGAATGAGTGAACTGGTAAATTTTTTTGGAGCAGGTCCATTCCCAAGTAACTATAAATGTCCTATTCAAATCAAACTTGCATGGATATTGATCTCAAAAGGCACACAAACTAGATAAAAAATTGGAGTGAGATTCATCTTACTTGTGGATAACATTTGTTGAGGTGAGCTTCACAATCTTGATTACCTATTTTTTTTGTTTGTTTTTCAGTCAGGAACCACAGGAAACCCCAAAGGAGTGATGCTTTCACATGACAATGTAAGTTGTTAACTTTAATGGTGAGAAAGTTTTATAAACTTGTCTTTTTTTAAAGAAAGGATGGCAGATAATAACGTTAACATGAATTGGTGCTAAATTACACATATCCTTTAATTTAAAAAAAAAATTAAATTCATAGTTCTCTATTCATGTATGGTTCTCTATAAAGTTGTGGGTAGAGTATAGGGTATGAGATATATTAACCTTAAACTAATTAACTCTGATTTCTTGCTGTGGCAATTGTTGTCATTGAAAATGTTGTTTATCTGCTAGAATTTACAGTGAAATTTCTCAAATATTCCTTTTTTTTTATATCAGATATATTTAGAGAGTATTAAACAATTTTCCCTAGGCAGTTAACATGAATGCTCCCATTTTAAAATTGTTTGATGTAATTTCTGCACAACTACACATAGCTAACCTGGACAGCAGGAATATTAGCCACTAAGTTCAAAGTCATCATGGATGCTGAAGTTGTGGTGACTTATCTCCCCCTGAGTCACATAGCAGGGCAGATTGTAGACATATACATTCCAATGAAATTTGGTGCCACTGTTTACTTTGCAAAGCCTGATGCACTAAAGGTTTGTGGTGCTGACAAATGTGTAATGGCACCAGAGTCTCTTGTTTTGGGTGATGGATGTTTAAGATTATTATGGGGAATAATGCTTGTAGCCTATCTGGATTAAATCTCCAACACCGATCTCTGTCTCTGGTGCCTGTAAGATTTATGTCAAGCAACATACAAGTTTATCAGGAGTTTGGTTTTCATTTTAAAATAAGAAAAGCAATATCAAATTTTCCCCATCATTCAATTAACAGTTGATACCAAACTTGAGGTAAACTTGAATGTTTCTTGACATAATGATCTATCTGTCCCCAAAAGGACATATAGAATAAATATGCAATGACTTGGTATTGATTATGATTTTAAATACATGCTTTCCAGTTGACTTGGACAGCAGGAAAAGCTGCAAGTATTCTGAGCTCCAAGTTTGCTTCCGACACTGTAGTTACTTATCTGCCCCTTAGTCACATTGCGGGCCAGATGACCGATATTTATGTCCCCATCCAGAATGCCGCCACAGTTTATTTTGCCCAGCCGGACGCTCTCAGGGTTTGTTAGTGCATGTTTGGTTGCAAGGAATTTTAATTTGCATGAAACTAACAAATTAACAATAAACCTAATTACGTGTTTGCATAAATTAAAAGGTATATATTGCCTGTGAACACTACTAATAATTTTTATCCTCAAATATAACGCACTAACAAATCTCCAGTCACCTTACATATTTATTTTTAAATTTATTCCTAACAGAATTAAATACATCATTTTGAGATGGTGGTGATGTGTTTTCTCAGAACCATGCACTTGTATTTATAGAGACTTAGAAATTCTTTACTTTCATAATAACAGTTTGTAAGTTAATGTCATCTGTGTCTGATACATACAGAACAAGACTTGAATATAACTCTAGTTATTTAAAAAAATCCTTTAATTACTTTTTAAAATTGAAAATACAGTGGCGCCTCGTTTATCCGGACGCCTCTGTCCCCAATGAAATCATCCGGATAAATGAATTGTCCGGATAATTGACTCACATCTCAAAAAGCACTCTCTAAGCATGTACATTGTATATATGCACATTCTTGTTTCAAATATGACAGCAAAGAAAAAAAAAACTTTTAAATTATATTTTAGTTTATTGTTTTAAAAGCAGTAATTGATTAAAGAAAAAAATATATTAAAATGTAATTTACACACACAAAAAAAAAATGGATGGGCAATTTTATGCTGAGACCTCCTATTTTAATTCGCCTTCTCTTTGGCCTGTGACTTCATGGGCTGAGCAAATTTTGATCTACAGTTGTTTTATTTAGCCATATATTATAATTATTGAAGCTCATATGATACGACAGAACTGTTCAGCATCATCATTAAAAATGTTCAAATATAAACTAACCCCGTATATTCATTACACAGGGTTACTTTAAAATTAACTGCAAGCTTACTCAAACAAAGTATTAAAAACATTCGTAAACACAAGCCATCTTCATGATTATCAATATTTTTTTTTCTACAGACACTAAGTTTGAATTTCGATCATTAAAAATACCTTGATAAACGTAATCAACTTCTGTACGTAATGCCAGTTTTATATATCTTTTCTTAAGCAATGGTCGTTTGTAAACGGTAGTACATTAAATAGAGATATTTCTTCAGTTATGTACCTTTCTAAACTGTCTTGTGGGGAAAAAAGCATTTCAAATACATTTACGTTTTTAGAAATGGAAAACAGTATTTTAAACTAACGCAATCAACATGATAAAGAGCATTACGAAATCACTCGTTATTTATTGTTCATTTTATTTACAACTCTCCAAAATTCTCATGAATTTACCAATGTATATACGGTTAGCAATATGATTTTGAACAGATTATTATTTAATTAATGCACAGTGTAAGCTAAATATTAAAGATAAACGTGTGATTGAATTAGGGTAAACACACGCTAATTATAGACACTATTGTTTGTAGGTCACAGGTAACCGTCTTCAAACTGACTGCATGGCCAATGTTTTTACAACAATTAACACGAATGCAAGCGAAGTGTGAAAAAGTCGTTTCTTGAAAAATTACCGTCCGGATAAACGAGTCATTTTTCAATGAACTATTACATTTTGTAGTAGAAATTGACCGTCCGGATACGGAACGCGAATTTCCGGATTAATGAGACAAAATAACGTGGAAAAAATCGGTTCCCAAAAAATATCGTCTGGATGGTGAAGCATCCGGATAAATGGCATCCGGATAAACGCGGCGCCACTGTATATATTTAAGGACATACGCATCATACCTTACATAATGATAATTTTTCAAGATATTCTTAATTTAAGATTATAGTGCCATCAGATGTTCATAGACAAGAAATCAGCATGCATTACTAGGGGTTTTGAAAAGATATTAATTGATGAAAATTCTTGTATAATTCAAAGAAAAACACACAAAAATTATTGAAGATATATTCTAGATGTTTTGTTTATCCAAACTTGTTTTAGAGGAAGTGTACAACAGCATAACAGCATATATAGATATTAAGAAGTAGCACACAGTTCCTTTAACTATTGGAACTCTTCAGCTCCAGGGAAAAGACAATAAAGTTCTAACTAACATGTTGCATATCTCCTTAATGAAACTTTCAGGAACTTTCATTGTAGGGTGTGTGTCTTGTGCTGCATGATTTAACAATGAATGCTTTCTTGGTTTATGTGGGGATGAATGGTTGCATCATTGCATATTACAGTTATGCCTCATTAATCCATTTCTGTTCCTGAGAAAATTGTCCCTATTAATGAACCATTGCATTACTGAAACCTACTTAGTATATATAATTGTAAATTGTTACCTATAAAGAGGGCTAAGGGTCTGGATTATTAGAGCTCGGATTAATGAGGCTTCACTGTATATGGTGATACAAGTGATATAAGCAATTCAATGAAATGACCACCTTTAACTTTTAAATAGAATTATGTAATTATTATATATTTTAGGTAAACATATCAATGTAAGATAGTTTGTTAAATTCACTAGTAACAATGATCAATTGAAGCCACAACACATTCATGATTGGTTTCAGCCATTTTATTAACTAAATGGTCATTATTTTTAGCTCATCTCCATATGGTCAAAATGAATTTATGCTATACCCCTGTTGTTGGTATCATTGTATACGTTTAAGGAGCAAGTTTATTCACAAGTAACTTATAATGAGGCCTACTTGGACCAAACTTGCTTTGATAATGCATCCAGAGATGCTCACTACCAGACCTGCCTCGGAGCTGGATCTGACCTACATTTTTTGGATGATGACTTGGTTAAAGTTTTTGGAGCATGTCCATCCCCAAGTAACTATAACCCCTTTAGTGACCAAACTAACATGGTTGATGCATGTAAGGATGCACACTGCCAGACATGCTTCAGATGCTGGATCTGATGTATATTTTCTGGAATTTTGGAGCAAGTCCTTTGCAAATAACTATAAGCCATAAGATGACCAAACCTTGATTGATGATGCCTCAGGAGATGCACACTACAAGACATGCTTGAGACCTTCATCTTTCAAATGGTTGAGCAGGTTTAAGTTTTTGGAGCAAGTCCATTCCCAAATAAATATTGTGACCAAACATGCATGCATGAAGCTTTTCTAAATGGTTGCATACTACATGACTTGCTTCAGATGCTTGATCTGACCTGATCATTTTCAGGATGATTGACTAGTAAGATTTTTGATCAGGTCCATTCCCAAGTAACAGTAAGTCCAACCAATCTTGCATGATGATTCATCCATGGCTCATTACGAGCACACTCATTAGGGGTGAGACTTTGATTTACTACTAGAAAATGTTTGTCAAAGTGAGCTTTGTAATCTTTGATTTATACCTATATTTGTCAGAGTGAGCATTGTAATCTTTGATTTATACCTATATTTTAGGTTTGGTTGTGACTATGTCATGTTAAATTTTATTGGTTGAGACATATCATGTAGATAATTGGATGAGGCTTTGCAACATGTTTATTTTGATTATCATCTGTCATGTTGATTATTGGATATAAAGCTTTTTTATATTGATTACAGGGCTCACTGTTAACTACTCTAAAGGAAGTAAGACCCACAGCCTTCCTTGGTGTCCCCAGAGTATGGGAGAAAATGATTGAAGGAATGAAACACAGAGCCAGAGAGTTTGGATTCCTGAAGAAAAAATTCAGTGCTTGGGCAAAGGATGTTGGCTACAGGACCACATTGGCAGAGATGAACCAGTAAAACTTATTAAATCTAGAGTTCTTAATGTATATTCATTTCTACTTTGAGAAACTTGAGTTAAAAAGGTCATAATTTTTTTGAGAAAAAAATCAATTTAAACCTGAAGTTGGGTAAGAAATAAATTAAACCTCTATGTTTGGGGAGAAAAATGAAGAACTATGACTTTTTTCCCTCTTTTACAGTGAACCTGTCCCAGGAACTTTTTCAATTGCCAACTTATTGTTAAAAAAGGTGAAAGTGGATTTAGGCTTTGACCGTTGTAGATTTTACTTGTCAGGGGCAGCTCCTATTATGAAAGAAACCATTGAGTTTTTTTATGGCTTACACATACCACTTCTGGAAGTGTATGGAATGAGTGAGAATTCAGGTCAGTGTTTAAAAAAATATGGGGGTGGGGGTGGAGAGGGGTTGCTAATTATACATAGATATTTGGCTAAATAATGAATGATCCTAATACATGTGTATTCTGGTGTGCATGTTTGTAAAAAGAAAGATTGATGTTTGGAATTCCTTGTGATGTCATAGACTTTTGCAAATTCTTCCATTATTTATAATCCCTGCAAACAAGGCTTGGGGGTGTATAGGAATCATCTTGTTCATCTGTCCATCCATCTTGTCTGGGCTGTAAATCTGTAATGGAGAATCATTGGAAGCTCATACTTGGTACAAAGATTTTATATGACCTGAAGGGTTGCTATGACCTTGACCCAAGGTAATTCTGACAAGTTCAAGGTCACTGGCAGAAAAAATGCAAGATTTGTGTCTGGACTATAACTTCTTAATGGAGAAGCATTAAAATTTCAAACTTAACACAAAGATTGCTTGTGACATGGATGTGTCATGACCTTGACCCAATGTCATTTGATTAAACTAATCACAGATATTATCTGTGATCTGAGGATATGTACTGGCTTGACTCAAGGTCACTCAAGCAAGTTTAAGGTCACTGGCAGAAATATAATCATGTCTTGGTTATATCTTCTTTGTTATGGAAAATTACTGGAAGTGCTTACTTGGTACAAAGATAGTTCATAACTTAGAATGTGTCTTGACCTTAATCCAAGGTCATTTTGGCAAGTTCAAGGTCACTGGTAAAATTTTTTTAATGTTTTATGTCTGGTTTATAACTTAATATCGAAGAGACATTGGAAGTTCATACCTCACACAAAGATTGGTTAAGATCTAAAAGTAAGTCAAGGTCATTTTATCAAGACTCAAGGTCATTTTATCAAGTTCAAGGTCACATTTAGAAAAATGTGTAATTCTTGTCCTGATCATATCTTGCAATGGAGAAAATTAGAGGTTCATACTAATCACAAATATTACGTGTGATCTGAGGATATGTATTTATCTTGATCCAAGGTCATTTCATGAAGTTCAAGTTCACTGGCTGAAAAAGACTTTTATTCATGTCTGGTCAATAATTCTCAAATAGAGTACTATTGGAAGTTGATACTTATACAAAGATTGTTTATGATTAAAGATTGTGTCATATTCTGTCATTAGGTCATTTTTGAAAGTTCAAGGTCACTGATGGAAAAATTGTCAAATCCAAATTCACTGTATATATTTCTAATGGAAAAACATTGAAAGTTCATACTTCACAAAATTATTACTTATATCCTGAAAGTGTTTCATGATCTTGAAGCAAGGTCATACTGGCAATCCAAGGTCACTGGTAGAAAAAGTATAAAATGTATGTCCAGTATATTATTCTCCAATCTTTAAGTATTGGAAATTGAAACTTCAAAGATTATTTGTGAGCCAAAGATATTTCATAATTTTGACCCAAGGTCATTGTGGCAGTTCAAGGTCACTAAAAAGTGTAAAAATTCATGTCGTAAGGTCCATAATTTTATAATGGAGATGCATCATTATTTTGACCAAGGTCATTTTGGCAAGGTCAGGGTAAGGTGCCACAATGAAGAATCAAAGATTTACTTGGGAAAAATCTATGAAAATCTTCTTCTCAAGAACAGCCAAGCCATGTTTAGTCATATTCATATGGAGACATCCTCAGGTAGAGTAGATTCAAGTTTGTTCAAATCATGACCCCCAGGGGTAGGATGGAGTCACATCAGGGGATCAAAGTTTTACATAAAAAATTTTATTGGTGTCTTGAAAAATAATTACGTAAAAAGTGCCAAATATTCTAATAGAAGAATTTATTTCTTCATTAACACAATCAACTTTGAATGAAATGCAATGAAAACAGAGTTCAGTGTTTCTAATTTGTTTAATTGATTAAATAGACCAAAGAGCATACAATTATCAAAGTGAATTTGCTTTAAAAACATGGTAGCATCACAGCAATGGACAAAATGGCCATCTTTTACTGTGTTAAATTTAATTTCATTATGGGTGAGGATTTGAGTGGCAGTTGGCCGAGTTACACAAGTGGCCATTTATTCCAGTTAAAATATTTAGGAAAAATCATCGGGGGGAATTAAAAGTGGCCGCCGCTGGTCACCAGTGATCATTGATTTCAAGTGGCCACTAAGACAGTTTTGACTATAGTTAATCTACTCATTGGTAAAGTACCTGCATAACTTGAGTACATGTAATTCATCATTTACTTGTAGGTCCACACACCTGTTCTCGCCCAGACAAATTCAGGACTTGTAGTGTGGGCACAGAACTCCCAGGGGTGAAGACAAAACTGGCAGATATAGATCAGGAGGGAAATGGAGAGGTACACAGAATTATTTTTTGTTACAATAACAATGCCTCTTTTGTTTGAATGACACATATGCTAATAATGCTTATACATGTACTACATTTAAAGTTTCCATGAATTTAAACACATTTTATATTTTTGAGTTAACTTCGATTTCTCATCAACTTATCCTTCTTCAAGCTGGATACAGGTTGTGTGTTACTCTTTTTCTTTGCATTATATAGATTTGTATGTATGGCAGACATGTTTTCATGGGATACCTAGATGATGAAGAGAAAACAAAGGAGGCATTTGATGATGACCTTTACCTTAGGTCAGGGGATATTGGAAAGAAAGACAAAGATGGATTCTTGTTCATCACAGGAAGGAAAAAAGGTATCCAGTATTTCCCAAAAAATAAAGAGTTTTGTAAAGATCAACCTATCAAAAAATGCATGTGTATTATCAATGTCAGAGTAAATTTTTCAAATAGATATGTATTAATGTGGATATGAAAATGTCATTTTTTGGGGGGGTACTCTATGTGAGTGATATTTACATTTATATGGTTAATTTTAGCATTGAATGCTTATTACTGAAGCCCTTTCCTGTGGGGTCCCAGTAGTGATCAGTATGTCGATCATTCATCTATCTGCTATTGCTTGTCTGGAGTGTAATTTCTTTACCCCTTGGTCCAATCTGGCTCTTACTACACCCACAGAGTACCTATTAGTTAAAGGTGTGCAGTGATCTTTATCAATGTTTGTAGTATACAGTCAAGGTCAAAACAGGCAGAGGTTTACAGGTCTCTGTGTAAAGTCTTTGTGTGAATCATATTTTCTCTCCTCTTGACCCAAGTTTGCTAATGTTTCACTTGCAGAGTGACCTTAAGTAAAAGGTGACATCAAACCATGTCAAAAGTGAAGGTCAAGCAGTTCTATGTGTAAAATCTTGTCTGGAGTATATTTTTTATGCTTATGACCCTATTTGGCTCACATGTAGATTTCCAATTGAGGTTGATCCAAGTTTGGATTCAGTGGTCAAGATCAAAACAGATTCTAAAATTCTTGTCCAGATCAGGTTTTCTTTTCCCTTTGCCAAAACTGGGTCATCTTTCACCATAAGAGTAACATTGGGTAGAGGGTGCACAGTGTTTGAAACATCATTTTTCAAGGTCAAAACAAATATTTGTGCAAACATTTGATGTATAATTATTTTTCTAAGTACATTAAAATTCTGGTAGTCTTTAACTTAATAAAATGTTGTTTTAAATCAAATGAGGGAGAAAGTTTTTTTTTTCATCTTCCTTTTTTTTAAACACAAGTTGAGCTGATTCTCCTCCTTACATTAAAATAGAGACTTTTTCTAAGCACAAAATGTTCCTCTTCAACAACTCTACTTGTATCTCTCTTATTTATGAAAAGTGGGGCCCTTTTTAAGCGCTAAGCGCAGTGCAAAGCGCTTACTGGCATCTTAATACTACTTCCGTTCGCGATCCAGCGCCACTAAGAAAGTTAGATAACTCCACCGAGTCTTCTAAAAATATGCAACTGGAAATCCCCGATTCTATCTTGGTCAAGTACTGCGTTACGTGCATTTCTAATTATAGGTGTCAATTAGTGAGATAGAGAGTACGAAAATCCGCTCTTAGTGGATAAGGGCGGTTCTTATCTCTTCATTTCAAAAACAAGTCGGCACACATTACTTGTGTTAATTCAAAGAATTTATTAGAAAACCATCTTTGGTGCGAATATATCTTAAAAAAAGATTCATTATATGTCATGTAGCAGGGTTCGAAATTCACTACATACAACTCGCAAAACGCGAGTTAGAATTCCCCAATTGCGAGTTAAAAATTAGGTAACTCGCAAAAACTTGCGAGTTGATTTTTTTTGCATTGAAACTATAGCAAAATTATATAATATGACAGAACACAATGCCTTTGATTTAAATCAGTAATTTAAATAAAAGTCACACTGTAGTTGTATTTTGTGTATTGTACAGTAGTTACTTTTTCCTTAAGTTACATGTATTTAATTTATATAAATTTAACTTTATATGAAAATTGCGAGTAGTCTTATAAAATTGCGAGTTCACTTTCTTGGTACTCGCAATTATTTGCGAGTTGTAATTTTAGGGAGTTTCTAACCCTGATGTAGTGTAGTGATTGAATATGTACATATTTTCAAAGCTCAGATGGGATTTTAATAAGTATACTCAAACTGAAATTAAGTTATTTAGTAGAAAATTTCGCATAAAGTTGATTTACAATATACTTACGTTCTATATAATTAATATCCATACTAATAATATTTCTTCTAGACCCTTATTTCAGACTATGTAACTAAAAACAAGTCTTTCTATTATCACCCTTGTACCATATAGAGAGCTATCAATGGTGTTGATTTTCACATCTCAGTATCAATTAGTAACAGACTAGCATGCATTCATGGACTGTCTATACTCGTGTTATAATCTATACTTGTAACATGGATAAAAAAATATTATGTAAAGCTGTGCGTACATGTAGGGCACGTAGAGGCTGTGTTTACAACTAATCCACTTAGAGAGGATAACGAATTTTCTCGGAAACATTGATGACAAATATGGTGCTTTGAGTGTGCAGTGCGCAAGATATGGCGTTAGATGCAAAACCTTAATTTTTTTTGTATTCCGTTTAACCGAACACACCAGTGCAGTTGATATTTTATTCCTCTCAGCACGCCATTGAATGTACTTCTAATAAATCCTTTCTATAAAATCGTAAATTTATAAATCGCTTATGAATATGAGAGAAAAAAAATGAAATGTACTGAAAACAATTCAGACAGAATATTTTGTTGCTTTTAAGATCTTTTATTCATAATTTTAATAAATATGTTATCAGTAAGGAATTATTTTATCGAAGCAATAAAAAATAATGTCTTATTTTTCTGAGTGCACTTTAATTTCTAACAAATGAAATCACAGTCAACAACTGTACAGCTAATCTTCAGTCTGAAACACTCGTGAACACGGAATGAATTTATTAATAAAAAATTTCATCAGGACATTTTTAGCTGTCAATGTTGCACATTTAATGAGAGGAATTCATATCAAAGTCATTTTAAAGTGTTCAAAATTGGTCAAAATATACATTTTCCAGCAAATGTATAGCTATGTGTATAGTCTGAATTTTGTAGGAAAACTCGTCGACCCCGCCCCTCCCCCTTTCCAATTGCTTGCGATTTACACGCAAATCTATAGCTACATTTTATGGACTCTTAAGGTGACGGAGAAGTGTAGATATTGAATATAATTAAGTGTAAACCGAGGCACTCCAGGAATCCAAGATGACGAGTGTCGAACCTTTCGTCTTTTTATGTACAGAAATATTATATATAATTTTAAAAGTCCTAATTTCAGTGACTTCTTTATTTTAATCAATGTATTCAGAGACACCTAGGAAAATACATAATACAAAAATACACAATCCTGAAACCAAGCGCCTATGGTTGAATACACTGTGACATCCATCACTGTGGACTTTTTAAAAGCTTATTAAAGACTTTTTGAAGACACGAGAGGAAGAAGAGCTGGTGAAATATTTTGCCTTACATTTGGTGAACCATGTTAACAAAATTTAAGAGAAACTCTATGTTATTGTCTTATTATATTTTTATGCCCCCGGATCGAAAGATTCCGGGAGTATATTGTTTTATTGGTTTTGTCCTGTCTGTCTGTTTGTCCGTTTGTCTGTTGTCAACTTTAACCTTGCCCATAACTTTTGATTGGTTGGAGCTATGACTTTCATATTTCACATGTGTATTCCTTGTGACAAGACCTTTCTTTGGGTACCATAAATTTGACCTTTTGACCTTGACCTTGGAGTTTGACCCACTTTTGCAAAATTTTTTGAAACTTTAATCTTGGCCATAACTTCTGAACAGTGGGTGCTTGGGATTTCAAACTTCACATGTGTATTCTTTTTGACAAGGCCTTTCTTTGGATACCAACAACTTTGACCTTTTGACCTTGACCTTTGAGTTTGATCTACTTTTGAAAAACTTTAACCTTGGCCATAACTTTTGAATGGTTGAAGCTAGGGCTTTCATACTTCACGTATGTAATCCTTGTGACATAACCTTCCTTCGGATACCAACCACTTTGACCCTTTGACCTTGACAGGAGTTTGACATACTTTCGAAAAACTTTAACCTTATTCATAACTTTTGAATGGTTGGTGCTAGGGCTTTCATACTTCGCATATGTAATCCTTGTGACAAGACCTTCCTTTGGATACCAACCACTTTAACCTTCGCATAACTTTTGAACAGTTGTAGCTAGGTCTTTCAAAATTCACAAGTATATTCCTCGAGACAACGGGAGGTCGTGAGTTCGAATCTCGGCCGCGACAGACCTAAGTCGATAAAAAATAGGTAGCAACTGTTCCTTCGCCATGCGCTCGGCACTTTGGAGTGAAAGTTGCGGGTCTTTCGGATGAGACCTTAAAAACCGAGGCCCCGTGTCACGGCAGGCGTTGGCACGATAAAGATCCCTCACTGCTCAATGGCCCTGAGTGCCGAGTAAAGGTCAAAATTTGAAGCCCTTCACCGGTATATGGTGACGTCTCTATATGAGTGAAAAATTCTCGAATGGGACGTAAAACAATATACAATCAATCAATCAATCCTCGAGACAAGGCCTTTCTTTGGGTACCAAAATTTTTCATCTTTTGGCCTGGATTTTGACTTGAATTAGAGAAACTGTAACCTTTGCCATAAGCTGCCATACGGGGGCATCAGTGTTTCACAAACACATCTTGTTATAGATACTTTACTAATACGAAGTATTGTGACTAAGCCATTTTAATTTGAAGTTAAGCAAATTAGGACTGGAACATGAATTTTCTATAAACTTTTTTTTTGTTTGTTTTGTGTGTGTGTGTGAGGGTGTGTGTGTGTGTGTAACGTCCTCTCGAGAATTTTTCACTCATATTGAGACTATACAACTTGGCTATAGAGGGCTGCAAATTTAGACCTATGCTTGGCACTTACGGCCTTTGAACAGTGAGGGATCTTTTACGTCCCAGCGCCTACTGCGACACAGAACTTCGGTTTATATGGTCTCATCCAAAGGACCGGTCTCCACGTCCCACACTGGGATTTGAACCTGCGATGTAAGGATAAATTTGCATAACTATTGAAATGATGTAAAAGAAAAAGAAAACTAGAAGCGAGTGCTGCTCATAACTGCAAACTAGTTTTCAAAGGAACGCCGGGGCGAAGAGTAAATTTGGATTGTGCACATTGCTCCAAATGAACATTTTTCCATAATAACTTCCGGGAATGCAATTTAACACAAATATACTTTTTTTCCATATCTGCGGAATTGCTCTTACATGCGATAAACAAAGTAAACTTTAAAAAAGTAACTGACTTGCTTTAATGAAATTGTGTAATAATTTTCTCTCTCTCTTGATTTAATAACGACTTATAACGATGTCTTGTGATGACATAGACTTGAACCTTCAAATATATCCTCGTGCGTTTTAAATAGGCAGATACAAGTTTTATTTTAAAGTGAATATGTATCAAACAGCTGTGCTCGCCTCAGCGGTTGCACTGTCAACATATAACTTACTCCAATACAACAGGCATTTTAAATTTAAAATAAATCTGATGAGTTTCAAATTTACAAACATTGCTTAGCGCTTCCCAGTACTTTCAGTACTTTGATTAGATTGGTCACCATCTTGATGATATCTAGTTGTACTATGTTGAAAGTTTATGAGTTTGGCATAAAACTAAATAACATAATAAAGGTGTAACTTTATAATGTTCTTGATTTATTGAGTGATCACAATATATCTAGTTAGTCTAAAATCTAGTATGCTAGCACCCAAGTTGAGCATACTAATTGAATAAGAAGGAAATAATAGAGTGATATTCTGTTGATTTGTAAGTTATGCTGTTTGTTACATATTGTTGTTGTGTTGTTGCACTCTGTTGTTGCTGTGTTAGTTGTTACATTCTGTTGTTGTGTTGTTGCACTCTGTTGTTGCTGTGTTAATTGTTACATTCTGTTGTTGTATTGTTGCACTCTGTTGTTGCTGTGTTAATTGTTACATTCTGTTGGTGTGTTGTTGCATTCTGTTGTTGCTGTGTTAGTTGTTACATTCTGTTGTTGTGTTGTTGCACTCTGTTGTTGCTGTGTTAGTTGTTACATTCTGTTGTTGCTGTGTTAGTTGTTACATATACATTCTGTTGTTGCTGTGTAGTTATTTGTTACATTTTGTTGTTGTGATATATTTTATGTTTTCTGGTTGCTATGTTAGTTGTTACATTTTGTTGTTGTGATATTTCTGTTACATTGTCTGGTTGCTATGTTAGTTGTTACATTTTGTTGTTGTGATATTTCTGTTACATTGTCTGGTTGCTATGTTAGTTGTTACATTTTGTTGTTGTGATATATTTTACGTTTTCTGGTTGCTATGTTAGTTGTTACATTTTGTTGTTGTGATATTTCTGTTACATTGTCTGGTTGCTATGTTAGTTGTTACATTTTGTTGTGATATTTCTGTTACATTGTCTGGTTGCTGTGTTAGTTGTTACATTTTGTTGTTGATATGTTGTTACATTCTGTTGTTGCTGTGTTAGTTGTTGCATTTTGTTGTTGATATGTTGTTACACTCTGTTGTTGCTGTGTTAATTGTTACACTCTGTTGTTGCTGTATTAGTGTTTTATTCTGTTTTTACATTCAGAGCTGATAATCACTGCTGGGGGAGAGAACATAGCCCCGGTCCTGATCGAAGACAACGTCAAGGAGTGCCTCCCCTGTGTTTCTAATTGTATATTGATTGGGGATAAGAGAAAATTCCTTTCCATGCTCATCACATTGAAGGTATGGCACAAGACAATTTTTTTAGCATTGCAGATTTCTGTTAGTGATATGGCTATTAAAAATTGTACAGTGCAGGGAACTAATTTTGTTACATAAACCAGCATCAGCATAAGCATTAGTAGCATCAGGATCGAGCTAGCATCAGCATCAGCATTTAAAAAACAGCATTACCAGGATCAGCATCAGCAAGCAAAGGATAAAACCAGCATTGACCTACATAAAATCAGCATTATCCTACTAGCATCAGAAAATCAATGAGTTTTAATTCAGTAAAAAATTAAAAAAGAAAGAAAGAATATTGGTTAAAGTATTCACATTATTGATATATAGTGAGATATTATGATCAAATAATTGTAAAAGGCACTTTTATTGCTTTAAACGGCAATGCTGAAATTCATTATCTACTTCCGGTAGCATGATGCTACTTCCGGTAGCATTGACCTAATTATAAAACAGCATCAGGATAAGGATTACTAGCATTAAATCAGCAAGCAAAGGAAGCATTCAAATCAGCAAGCAAAGGAAGCATTCAAATCAGCATCGATGCTGTAACAAAATTAGTTTCCTGCACTGTAAACTGAAAAATGTGTGATTAAATGTCATTGCTGATATACACATGTCATCTCCATAGAATTTAAATGATATATTTTGATGTGTCAAAAGAACTTATTTGAGCATTTTAAACATTACGCATACCCCTCAACCATTTGAATGTTTATATAATTATTATTGTGGGCTTCATCTCTTTTACTTATGACAATTACTTAAGTCACTATGTTAGGTTTATTGATAAGGAGTGGAATTTTTATCTCTTAGATTCAGGTTTTATGTAGTAATATTGATTCTAGTGCATACCTTTATTTAGAAAAGTTTCAGTCAATCACTTATAGATTAAGGGGTGCTTTTTAGTAATAAATGTAATATGTGATTAGTATTGTTGTTTCTAGGTGGATGTTAATCCTGACACATTAGAACCTACAGATAATTTAACAGCTTTAACTGTTGACTGGGTTAAAGCTCAAGGCAGTGATTCCACTAAGGTATCGGACATCCTAAATAACAAAGATGCTGTTATCCTGCGAGCCATTCAACAGGGTATAGACAAGGCCAATGAGAGAGCCATCTCCAGGGCTCAGAAAATACAAAAATGGTCCCTGCTTCCTCGAGATTTCTCTATTCCTGGGGGTGAACTAGGTATTTTTATAGCTTATAAAAAAATATTCATGAACATGTAACTAAATTATGTTCATGTAGTCATAATGATAAATTAAAATTTGCATGATTATAACATTTTGACAACAATATTATGCAACTCTGCTTTAAAATTTAAAAATAATGTTCTTTTTTGTTGCAGGTCCTACAATGAAATTAAGGAGACCCATTGTGCACAAAATGTATGCAAAAACAATTGATGCATTTTACGAAGAGTAATGAAATTATACAGTATTCTGACTTCTGTATGGGCATATGTTATCATTCAGGATGATGCACTGTTTAACAGCTAAGGGATTTAGTCAAAACACACATTAAAATCATGTTCATTCAAAGAATGAGTGGATTTAAGACTCCTGAAAAAAGCATAAACTGAGGTTTCATAAAATGTTTATTTCTTTCCATAATATAAATCACTGATATCTTAACTGTGTGTTCTCGATACATACATGAATTTGAAAAGTTCTTTACAAGGAAAAACAAATAAAAACGTAAGAGCCCAGAGGATTCCTTGAATATCAATAGGTAAACAGGGTCAAACTTTTTTAATGTCTTAATACATAGTTAGTTTGCTTTTCTTAAGAAAACTGTAGTTATATATTGAACAAAATAATGTCATATTAAAATGAGATAAGCTAACAAACTTGTGCGAAAACTTAATTTTACAAAAATATGTTCAAAACAAAAGTGATTCTTCCATATTGATGCTAGATAGTTACATTACAATATGTCTGAGTTAACCTTTATTTGACCTTGATTGACCTGTTAGAATATAATTCATCATGTGCTGTCCAACTGAGAGTGTACTTGTCAATACAATTATTCCAAAACATGACCTTGATCTAATTCAGATCTGAGAGCATGTTTGATGGGTATGCTGTTTGAAGAATTTAGCAAATTAAATCCCTTGTTATCATGGTTATAATTTTCTGTGTCCTCACTAATCTTTTAATTTAGTAATTGTTGTAAAATAACTAATACCATAATGATATACTGTACATATTAGAATTTCTAGAGAGAGAGAGAGAGATGAAGTTGATCGATAGCTCTGCTTCTATAATATTGATTAGGTGACCTAAAAACCACTCGGGGTAGATTTCAAATTCAGGATGGCAACACTAATATATCATTTCTTTTAATTTTGATTCATGACATCAAATCATTGCTTTTGTACAAATGTTCTATGTAATATAATTATTTAAATTCAATTTTGCTATTGCTTGTAAAATATTTTGGATTCACTTCATTTACAGGAATTGCGAACTTACCTCAAATATGACTTTAAGTCCACTCATTATTTGAATAGGATTCAATTGGTTGTTAAAACTGTGTACACTTCACAATGTAAAAAATATTGTTCCAACAAGTGCCTTATTGAAGATGTACATGTATAAGCAATTTGTTAATTCCTGTGCTTACTTGTGTGAATATTGGAGTTATAAGTTTTCATTGCAAATTAAGACGTGTTTTCAGGTTTGGTTTATCTTAGTCTTAACAGTTCTTTTCCACATATTTATCAGCTTTTAATCAGTTGTTCAGTTCAGTCAATTGTTACAAATCACTTGAGCCTCTTAAGAATGTGACACATATAAAGAATTTACCTTAATCAGACTGTAAAGATTCTAAGGTGATAAATTAAAATTACTCATCTTGCATCAAATGAAATGCATTTCATTAAATTTTTTTCTGTAATCTATATGTATGTCCAGGTTTTAATTTAAAATTCTACAGTTAATGTGGTCCAAATCTTTCTAATTTTTTTTTTTTATTTTAATGGATTTCTAACTGAATCTCGCATACAGCATTCTGTGATTTCTTTGTATAACTGCATACTCAGTGATGTAGTTTTGTACCAAAGAGAAAAACCAAAGTTTCTAATGTATTTACTTATACTAAGGAGCCTCTAGCATAAAAAATATTGTTATATCAAGATGTACTGTAAACTAATTTTAATTTGTTATATTTTTTATCTTATTTTTTTTTTTATATTTCAATATAGTAAAACAATGTTCCATCAAACATGCTTCTTCCAGCAAAATGATCTCCTTCCTAGTAATTTTTAAACATATGAACTTATCAGTTAAAATAAATAGAAATTGTTCTTCCCTTGCACTTTCCAAAAGAATACAGAAATGTTTGATAAATACAGTATACATTTAGCATGAACACGAGTAAAGCAAATTCACATATATAGCTAAGTTCTTTTCAAATTGGGATCCCCAGCAAAATTCCTGTATCAGTTCCTTGAAAAAGTTTATGGTTACAACAACTCTGCAGATATAAAGAATTTACGGAAAAAGCAAACTGATTTTGCATCCCTAGAGGTTAAAATTAACATTTACATCTTTTATTATAATGAATTTCTAAAGATCACAAAATTCAAAATATTAAACGGACATTTTTTGTAAGTATTCATTTTTGAGAATTTAATTCTTAAAAAAGACTTTCATAATCTAAGATATTTAATACTTCCTTGAACATTTTTGGGAGTCAAACTTTCGGGAAAACATATTATGAATTCTGCTTTTACAAATTTGTTATGTATATAACAGCAGATATTGGATATATTGAAGTAAATTCACAGGTCCCCTGGACTTCACTATAACCAAGTTTTACTGTAAATAGCGAGAAAATGATATATACACAGCAATAACTTGATAAGCACTATTGTAAAATGCATATTACATTACAAGTAGTCTTTTTTGAATGCATGTATTAATTTTATATTAAATATTAAAAAAAAAAACATGATGAGAAATAAACCAAAATACAAATGGGAAAGATGAACAGGAAACAAACCAACTCTTCTCAATTTTATGTGTGAATATTATATTCTGTTATGTAAAAAGGAATTTACATTGGAGTTAGTTAGGTTTTGTTGACTTGTATTTCTTAAATTGTAGCAGAATAAAGTATGACCCAATAAAAAATCTATACCCGGTACTGTTACATTGTGTTGTGTTCCTGAATACTACATGTATCTTGTTATAAAAAAAGTAACCATTACATTGTATTCCCATGTACATGTATAAGGATTACAGAACCGAAGATCATTGTCTACTTTGCACTTGTGAGTTGTGAAGAGTAACCTAGCCTTTTATAACATACCGTAATCCAGATAGGTTTTTAGGTTGCTCGTAAGATGATCAAGATTATTATTAGTGAGCAATTTCCATCCTGAATCCAGATATACAGTGAAATGCAGTTTTTAGGGCCCAATATTCATTTGAAAATCTAAAGAACAGCAAGGCCATGATTAGTGAAGTTCAAAGTAGTTCAAATCATGGCCCCGAGATGTAGCAATTTAATTTGACAAGGGAATATGTTGGAATTTTTTATAAAAATTCTATACCAGTGGCAGAGCTACACTAAATCATATTAATATGCAAACTTTTCCATACTTCATTCCTTCAAATTATAGGCCCTGGAATTTGGGTGAGGGTAAAATTGGAAATCTGATTTTGCATAATGCATGTTTAAAGAAAAAATCTAAAAAGCAAGGCCATGTTAATCATATATATTTGAAGCACTCCCAATTGTTATGAGGATTTAGGGGTAGGGTGCAGCCACAATATGATGTAAAAATTTTAAAGGGTAATGAAGGGGAAAAATCTAACAAGAGGCCCATGGGCCTTGAATCGCTCTTCTGATAAACTGTACAACCTATCACTTCTATTTGAAGCTTCGAAGTATCCTGTATATTTACATAAACCCTTGAAATTCCAATTCACACTCTGAGAACCCAAGATGATTCTATGCCAATTAGTACCTGAGAGTTGGTCATGGTGACCTACTTATCACTTGTCATTCTCTGAGGACCCATCAACTAAGTTTGATGATTCTAAGCCAATTAATACCTAAAATGTTTTTTAAAATTATAATCATAAAATTTTATAAGTAGGTCAAAGTGACCTACTTTTCAATTGTTTTATTCCAAGGACCCAAGATGCATCAACTGACAAAGTTTGAGGATTCTAAGCCAATTAGTACCTGTAATATTTAATTAAAGCCATATATTTTCAAAAGTAGGTCACCGTGACCTACTTTTCAGTCAACCTACTCCGAGGACCAAAGATGCATCAACTGACAAATTTTGACGATTCTAAGCCAAATAATTCCTGAAAATATTAAATACAGCCATAAAATTTCAAAAGTAGGTCACCGTGACCTACTTTTCAGTTGTTGTACTCCGAGGACCCAAGACGCATCAACTGACAAAGTTTAATGATTCTAAGCCAATTAGTACCCGAAATATTTGATTAAAGCCATAAATTTTCAAAAGTAGGTCACAGTGACCTACTTTTCAGTTGTTGTACTCCGAGGACCCATGACGCATAAACTGACAAAGTTTTATGATTCTAAGCCAATTAGTACCCGAAATATTTTATTAAAGCCATAAATTTTCCGAAAGTAGGTCACGGTGACCTACTTTTTAGTCGACCTACTCCGAAGACCCATGACGCATCAACTGACAAAGTTTGATGATTCTAAGCCAATTAGTACCCGAAATATTTAATTAAAGCCATAAATTTTCAAAAGTAGGTCACGGTGACCTACTTTTTAGTCGACCTACTCCGAAGACCCAAGATGCATCAACTGAAAAAGTTTGATGATTCTAAGCCAATTAGTACCCGAAATATTTAATTATAGTCATATAAATTGAAAAGTAGGTCACGGTGACCTACTTTTCAGTTGACCTTTTTTGAGGACCCAAGATGCATCAACTTACAAAGTTTTATGATCATAGGACTTAAAATGTCCAAATTATGCCTCTAAAACGCTTTGAAATCGAATGCCTGCAAAGTTCAAAAAGTAGGTCACTGTGACCTACTTTTTAATAAATATGTTTTATGGCCCCAAGATGCATCATCTTACAAGATTTAATGATTCTAAGCCTCCCCGTATTCGAATTAATGACCTTAATTGTTTTAAAAAAGATTAGCCATAAAATTCAAAAAGTAGGTCAAGGTGACCTACTTTTTAGTTGACGTACTTTGAGGACCCAAGATGCATCAACTGACAAAGTTTGATGATCATAGGCCTTAAATTGTTCAAAATATGCCTCTAAATCATTTTGAAAAAGAATGGCCGCAAAATTTAAAAAGTAGGTCACCGTGACCTACTTTTGAGTCAACATGATATGAGGTCCTTAGATGCACCAACTGACAAGATTTGATGATCCTAGTCCTTATAGTAAGCAAAATATCAACATTTTAATAAAATGTAATTTTTGGTCAACTTTGAAGTGACCTTGAGACCACGCCCTTTGCCCCAGGGTAAATCCCCGTGCAAATTTTAATCTACAACATATCCTCATCCTTTTGTGTAAGTTTGGTGATAATCTGCCCAGTGGTTCTTGAGAAGAAGATTTTTTAGCAACCAGTACTTTTTTTTCTATTTTCCTAATTATCTCCCCTTGTTAAAGGGTCACAACCCCAGTTTTAGTATAAAAGGGAGCCCTTGGGCCAAGGATACCCTGTGACAAATTTGACAATAATTGGCCAAGGGGTTCTTGAGTTATGGCCCATATTCTAAAAAGTTTACGCACACCGCACACCGCACAAATGGACATAGCATTAGCTCTTTGAGCCTTTGGCTCAGAAGAGCTAAAAATGTTATAATGCCCTGTTCAAATGAACATGCAATGAATATTTACTAGGCAGTAAATAAATGCAAAGTAAAGTAATGTGAATTAAACTAATAGCATTCACTCGACAAAGTAATGCCCATTAAAATTCAATATCTATTAACTTAGGCTATTATGACATCATTTGCAAATTACATCACCATATGCAGAGTAAATATACATTGAACATATAATGTCATAGTGTCAGTACACATTTTTGATGATTAACATAATTTTTCTTTTGTTTTTCACTCAAAAATAGCATAAGTACCTATATCTGACCTTCATGTGACTTTATTTAGCTAATATGCATGCTTCACACCTGCGGATTTAAAGCCAAGTAATTTGATGTGCAGTAAATTATTGGAAATTTAATTCCCATTAAATTTTCTATGCTAACTTGGTTCAGATTTAATTTATATTTACATTGTATTTAACTCATCTTTAATTCAAATTGAACCATCTTTGTGAACAGGACATAAAAATAGAAAGGCCAAAGTGAATCAAGTGAGGACTGTGGCCCATGGGCCTCTGATTGAGCTTTATGTGGTTCACCTGATATTTAATTCTTATGTATTAAATTGTGCAAAATTGTGATCTGATTATAACATTTTCATTTTGATAAGCATTGGTATGTATAAGACAGGTTCATACGATTTTCTTTTAGTCCATTCAATATAAAGGAGCATTTATTTTTGAAAACAAGAAGCTTGAACATTGCTGCATTAAAATCATTCATTTTCAAGCTTAATTTTAAAAAAATTTTTCAAATAAATTAAAATCTAATTTCAATAGTTGTTCCTGGCTGAGTTATGGACATCCTCAAAAGGCTACAAAACCTTGCCCCCATCAATTCGTTGAAGTTTTTAAGTGAATTAAGTGTAGTTGAAACATAATTTCTTTACTACTCTAGAACTTATGTCTAGCTGGAAACTAGTATTTACCAAGACTTTGTGTAATAGTGAACAGACAATATATAAAATAATTTTAATATTTTATTTGCTTCCTTGACAGGAATACATGTACATATCTTCTCATCAATTACATCTAAATAAATCACAAATATATTTTCTCTGACTAAATTTGATAAGCTCAATCTCAAAAGCTGTTTTTTTTTTTTCAATTTAATGTTTTAATTGTTTTCAATTAAAGCTATTTTATTTTAGTTGCTCATTCTTTTCACCATATCCTGTGTAATTTATCATATTTAAACATTCACATTTTACTGCTAGAAAATCATTAGACAGTACTGGTAATTTATCTTTGGAAATCAATTTTTCCAACAACAAAAATCATGTGTGAAAATTCAGTTAAGTCCTTAAAACATACCAAAATGCAATGTATTAAACGATCACTAAATTAAAACCAGTATACAATACAGTGAAACTTGTCTAATCCAGATGTTGTGTATTCTGAAATCTTGTCTAGTATGATGTAAACTTCAAGCCCTTTTTAGTAAATTTTATTGTTTAAAATGTTCTCTAAACAGGAATTTTGTTTAATGTGGCAAATTTCTACAGAACCATTGGTGTCTAGATTAGACAAGTTTTACTGTATTAGCTAATATAAACCATTTAGCTACCATGATTTGTATCATCAACAATTATATATCATGACATTGGTAAAAATAGTTCTCTGCAAAACACAACCCAGGAAATGAGTATGGGAATTTAAACTTTCACTTGGAAATATAAGAGGTACTTGAACAAAACATTCATCATTAAAGGGAACCTTAGGTCAAAATGTTAATTTCTGTTACATAAAACCTCACATCTCATACAAAGAGCAGCACCTTATAATGGTGTGCTGTTGATAAAAGCAGTTAAATTTGATATTAATTGCTAAATTAACTGCTGATGACATAGTACTTCTAATGTATCCAGCCAAAACGTTTACAGGTGTAATAGTAATAAATGTAATAAATACTAGCAAATGAATGAAATATCAAAAAAGTAATTCTAGACCTAATAATCCCTTTAGAATTTAAATAACTTGAAGCAACTTGAAACCAAAATATTATCATTGGTTAATTATTGATGGTTTATCAAGGAACTTTATCTACAAAAATCTCAATTATTTTGATGTCCACTTCATGACATTTACAAATTACATCTTTATCTTTTTTAAAATAAAAGGAAATTTAATTAATAAAGGATGCAGAAAATACAAACACAGAAAATGACAAAAACAGCCCTAAGGTTTCAATAATTAAACATTACATGTAGATGGAGGATAAATTCCAGTAAGAGATCAAGTACCCTAGAACTTCTAATGTCTAAGAGCGTGACTAGTTCATAATGGCAACAGAACTGTAAATACTAGTTGTAACTACCATGATCAATCTTAAAAATATGATCTTCCTCTAGGAAAAAAAAAACTTTAAAAAGAATGCTTTTGCAAGTAGAATTTGAAGATACTGGTCAGACAAGAGCTGAAAGCAAATGTTAATTATATAACACTTGGTCTCCAAGTACAACTATACAACATTGCTTTCATGGATATACATGTAATAGTAACATGGTTAATAACATACAAAAACAAAACATTCGGAAAATTCTTGAATTCATTATCAAGACAAGAGGCCCAAGGGCCTTAACGGTCACCTGAGTATGATACAACAATTTCAAGGATGCATAGAGTATAAAATGAACTGAAAGGTGAAGCTTTGTTGCCCAAAAGCAAGAAAAATAGGGTGATCATGATCAACAAAATAATTGGTCTTAATATTCATTAACAGTTCATAAATTAGGTTCTAATCTGTTCCCCATTTATCACTATCACCATACAGTATGTTAATAAATTATCAATGCTTCTGTACTATTTTAATCCTTTGTTGAAATCTCTTACATTGGCATCTCTTGGTCTTTGATGAATATTTAACAAGACAAGTTATTTTTGTCTCATTTTTATTTATCTACTACTTACAAGTCTATCTGATCATTAAAACTATGAAAGTACTTTTTGTATTATACAATAAAAGTTTTTGCATAATTCTCTTGTTCTATTTACCTTTCAAGTACATTATTTACAGTGATAAATTATCAAAAGTAAATGACAAAGGGGAATAACTCCTCTCAGTAGAATTTAACTAATAGAGCCCTGGCCAGGACCAGAACACTTGACCAAATGGTCCAGATGTTCAAAAATCTGGTAAAAATTCCCTTCCTTATAAAAACTTTTACTCTGTTTGCCTCAGATATGCCCAGGTGCGGAGAAGATTTTTAAATAAATAATGCATTTTTACTACAGATTCACTATATTATCAATAGAGCCCCCCCCCAACCCCCCACCCCCAAAACACCAGAGCTTCTGACCCTTGGACCATATGTTTGCTCATCATCACTTTGTTTATCTGCTTAACACTAAGGAGCAAACAGGATTATTTAATAGAATTAATGCATTTTCACTAAATTATCAAGAGCCCCATCCTCACACCAGCACATCTGACCCAGAGGTCATGAAATTCACTACTCTGGAAGAAGCACACTTGCTCATCATAACTATACACTTAGCTTCTTTGCTTTTTTAACCAGAAGAAGAAAAGAATATTTTCAAAGAAATTTTGCTTTTTCACTTTATAATCAATAGAAGCCCCCCCCCCCTTTCCACCAGAACCCTTAAACCTGGGGTCATAAAATTCACAATTTTGGAAGAGGCATCCTTGTGTATCATAACAATGTACTTTAGTCTGTTTAAGCAATACCCAGGGGCAGAGAAGAAGATTTTCAAAGAAATAATTCACTTTCACTATAGGATCTATATAGCCCCGCCCTAGCACCAGAACTCCTGTCCCCGGGGCCATGAATTTCACAATTTTGGAAGAGGCATCCTTGCTTATCATAACAATGTACTTAGTTTGTTTAAATAATACCCAGGTGCAGAGAAAAAGATTTTTAAAGAATTAAAACATTTTCACTTTATAATCAATAGAGCCCCGCCCTAACACCACAACCCCTGATCCAGGGGCCACGAATTTCACAATTTTGAAAGAGGCATCCTTGATTATCATAACTATGTATTTAATGTGTTTCAATAATACCCAGGAGTAGAGAAGAAGATTTTCAAAGAATTAATGCATTTTCACTATATAATCAATAGAGCCCAACCCTAACACCAGAACCCCTGACCCAGGGGCCATGAAATTCAAAATTTTGAAAGATGCACTCTTGCTCATCATAACTATGTACTTAGTTACTGAATTTAATACCCAGGAGCAGAGAAGAAGATTTTCAAAGGATTAATGCATTTTCACTATATAATCAATAGAGTCCCGCCCTAACACCAGAACCCCTGACCCAGGGGCCATGAAATTCACAATTTTGGAAGAGGCACTCTTCCTCATCCTAGCTATGTACTTAGTTAGTTTATTTAATATCCAGGAGCAGAGAAGAAGATTTTCAATGAATTAATGCATTTTCACTATATAATCAATAGAGTCCCACCCTAACACCAGAACCCCTGCCCCAGGGGCCATGAATTTCACAATTTTGGAAGAGGCACTCTTACTCATCATAACTATATACTTAGTTAGTTTATTTAATACCCAGGAGCAGAGAAGAAGATTTTCAATGAATTAATGAATTTTCACTATATAATCAATAGAGCCCCGCCCTAACACCAGAACCCCTGCCCCTGGGGCCATGAATTTCACAATTTTGGAAGAGGTACTCTTACTCATCATTACTATATACTTAGTTAGTTTATTTAATACCCAGGAGCAGAGAAGAAGATTTCCAAAGAACTAATGCATTTTCACTATATAATCAATAGAGCCCCACCCTAACACCAGAACCCCTGCCCCTGGGGCCATGAATTTCACAATTTTGGAAGAGGCACTCTTACTCATCATAACTATATACTTAGTTAGTTTATTTAATACCCAGGAGCAGAGAAGAAGATTTTCAAAGAAATAATGCACTTTCACTATGTGATCTATATAGCCCCGCCCTAGCACCAGAACCCCTGACCCTGGGGCCATGAATTTCACAATTTTGGTAGAGGACTCAATGCTTATTACAATGATGCCAACAGTTTGACTGCTTGATGTCCAGGAGTAAAGAAGAAGATTTTTAAAGATTGCATTAATTTTGGTGGTTTTAGCCCCACCCCTCAGGCCCCAGGGGGGCAGGGACCATGAAATTCACAATTTTTGTTCCCCTTCACCCATAGATGCTATATGCCAAATTTAGTTGAAATTGGTTGAGCGGTTTCAGAGAAGAAGCTAAAAATGTTCAAATGTTAACGCACGACGCACGCCGACGGACAAAAACGGATAGCAATAGGTCACCTGAGTGACTCAGGTGACCTAAAAACATTCACCATTGTTTTCTTAGAAACAAGATACAGTCACATAAATACCACTTTGACACACAACATTACATACCTGGTTTTTAACCGTTTATTATCACAGTTTTCCAAACATTAGGTACATGTACTAGTACCACAGTTTCACACATTTGCATCCTTTTCACGCATTAAATGTTAGTCTATTACTAATTACTAATTAAAAATATGCTATTTGAACACGAAGTCTATTTTTTGAATCTCTTGAGACATCTTGGGACTTTGTTAGTTGTTCTAGTGTCCTCTTTTGGTGATCCTTTGCTCTAGCTTATCAAACCTGGCTCTGTTGCCTTGGTTCCCTATCGGGGTCGTGTGGGGGTCGATAAGGGGGTGCGTCTATTCCTGTTAACAGAAACAAATACTAAGCTTTTATAATTGTCATTTTATGGTAAATCCTCACAGCATAAAAACTGTAAAATACTGTAAACACACTTTTTTCCATGGGGAAATAATTCTGCAGAATCACAGTTTCTGTTCAATCTGTGAGTAGAAAAATACGTGGATTTTTTTGATTGGCATTTTATGTTCCAAATGAATTAAAAGTACGCTGTGACAAATTTCCACAGAAAAATTGTGATCGCATGCATAGCGGTAATTAATCTCACACAGAAAAAAAGTATGTCTACATTATTATAGCTCTGTAGGTGACATGCTGAAGTAAAGTATATAGAAGTACATTTACTTAATGAACCTTCACCAAAACCAAATGCAAATAATATTGAATACCCAAGAATAAATCTGCTGTGAAGTTAGCCATAATACCATTTAAGCAGAAATTTTAGCAAGGATTCAATTTTGGCATATTCAGTGAGGATGTCGAAATCGCTAAAATTAAATATGGCTAACAATTTATTCCACATTAGAGGTTACTGTTATCTTTTTATGCACCATAAAATCACTAAAATTACTTCTCATTAAAATTAAATACTAATTTTTTAGGACAAATCGTTAAATTCGTGTCTCGCTAAAAATTCCACTTATACAGTAGTACATAATACAGAAACTTATTAAAGAAAAAATTGAGAATTAAACGAAACAGAAAAAGAGTCCCTAAGCCAATATCATGCATTTACCCTGACCATCATTCCGAAGAGGAGGAGAAAGGGGTCCCCTTGGGGGACCTCGTAGATGAGGAGGTGGAGGCATATCAGGAGGAAATGGCATTCTATGTCCTGGTGACCTTGGATCTAAAGGAGGAGGAGGAAGCCTTAACCCTCGTTCATAAGGAGGTGGTGACCTTCTATCCAGTGGTGGAGGAGGCCTCCTATCAAAAGGTGGTGGTGATCGAATGTCCATGGGATGTGGAGGGGGCACACGAGAACCCATGGGTGTTTGTCGTCGATCAGGGCCGTCCATTGGTGGAACTCTTCTGTCCTCTGGGAAGGGCATTCTCCTGTCCTCTGGATTGAAGGGTGGAATTCTCCTGTCATCAGGACCCAGGGGAGGGGGTGGTCTCCTCTCTGAATCTGGACCTGGGGATCCAGGGAAATCCTCATCTCTAAAACAGTAAAACATTCAATGATGTTTGATTAAAAAATTTAGTCTGCCAAATCTCTTTACTCAAACAAAGATTTAACTAGTTACATAATTATGATTTTACTTACCTTGGACCACTTGGGGGCAAGCGGCCTCTTGAACCTGGCCTCTCCATTCCAGGTATGGGAGGACCATTCATCATGCCTAAAAACAGAAAATTTAATGATTAGCAATCCCAAACATTTCATAGAATAGTTCTTTTAGTCCAAGTAAACTGCATTTTTGCTAACAAAATAATATATTGATTGATATTTATGTTGTATAGTAGGACTGACTAATATTTGTGTTTTTTTGTAGTGTACTGCATGACTGACTGGTATTGTTGTTGTTGTTATATTGTATACTTATATTAGCCTGGCTGTAACATGTTGAAGGATTGATTTTAGATTTGTAAGTGAAGCAACGAAGACGTAGCACTACCTGGTGGAGGCATTCCTCTGGAGGGGACGGGTCTGATCAGCCCACCTGGGGGTCCCTGCATCAGTCGCCGCTCTAAATCTGTCAACCTAATTCAAAAATAGTAACTAAGTGGTATTAACCTACATATATATATCCAAGTTTATCTCTTACATGATATGGTATTAAACTAAAGTTCATAGTAAATTCAAGCCTTAAAGCCATGTCATCCTCTTCCCTTAGAAAAGTTTAAAGTATAAATTTAATCATTTTTGAAATCTTATAATCTGTAGGATTTATTCAGCACTGACTTTTGTCGTAATACTGATGCTTCATGTCTTGTCTCCTTCAGTTCTCTCTCAGCCGCCCGTGCTGCAAGCTGTGAAAAGAGAGGCCTGGATTACTGTATAACTCTCTTATAACAGGCCTAGTCATAGCAAAGTACAGGGTACTTAATACACGTAGAGTAAGTGAATTTTGTCTTAGAGATAAGTTAAAGCAAAGGCATTTTGAAGTCCTTAAAAGATAACAATAAATGATTCTTACTTTTGTATGAAAAAATTTTTACAATTATAAAAGACTTAGTATAAAGAGAACAAGAGGCCCATGGGCCACATCGCTCACCTGAGTAACTTTGGCCATGCTGTTCTTTACCAGATTTCCCCCCTTTTAATATACCTATTGTGGCCCCGCCCTACCCCCGGGGAACAAAATTTGAACAATTTAGAATCTACGCTACCTCAGGATGCTTCCAAATATGTCTCAGCTTTATTGGTCCAGTGGTTCTTGAAAAGAAGATTTTTAAAGATTTTTCTTATATATTTCAATGTAAAACTTGGATTCCCTATTGTATCCCGCCCTACCCCGGGGGTCAAGATTTGAACAATTTATAATCTACACTACCCCAGGATGCTTCCATATAAGTTTCAGCTTTTCTGGCCCAGTGGTTCTTGAGAAGAAGATTTTTAAAGATTTTTCTTATGTATTTCAATGTAAAACTTGGATTCCCTATTATGGCCCCGCCCTACCCCCGGGGGTCATGATTTAAACAATTTAGAATCTACACTACCCCAGGATGCTTCCATATAAGTTTCAGTTTTTTTGGCCCGGTGGTTCTTGAGAAAAAGATTTTTTAAGATTTTCCTATATATTTCAATGTAAAACTTGGATTCCCTACTGTGGCCCTGCCCTACCCCCGGGGGTCATGATTTGAACAATTTAGATTCTACACTACCCCAGGATGCTTCCATGTAAGTTTCAGTTTTTCTGGCCCAGTGGTTCTTGAGAAGAAGATTTTTTAAGATTTTCCTATATATTTCAATGTAAAACTTGGATTCCCTACTGTGGCCCCGCCCTACCCCCGGGGGTCATGATTTGAACAATTTAGATTCTACACTACCCCAGGATGCTTCAATATAAGTTTCAGTATTTCTGGCCCAGTGGTTCTTGAGAAGAAGATTTTTTAAGATTTTTCCTATATATTTCAATGTAAAACTTGGATTCCCTACTGTGGCCCCGCCCTACCCCCGGGGGTCATGATTTGAACAATTTATAATCTACACTACCCCAGGATGCTTCCTTATAAGTTTTAGCTTTTCTGGCCCAGTGGTTCTTGAGAAGAAGATTTTTAAAGATTTTTCTTATGTATTTCAATGTAAAACTTGGATTCCCTTTTGTGGCCCCGCCCTACCCCCGGGGGTCATGATTTTAACAATTTAGAATCTACACTATCCCAGGATGCTTCCACATAAGTTTCAGCTTTTCTGGCCCAGTGGTTCTTGAGAAGAAGATTTTTTAATGACCCCACCCTATTTTTGTCTTTTCTTGATTATCTCCCCTTTTAAGGGGACTTGGCCCTTTATTTTAACAATTTACACTCCCCTTCACCCAAGGATACTTTGTACCAAGTTTGGTTAAAATTGGCCCAGTGGTTCTTGAGAAGAAGTTGAAAATGTGAAAAGTTTACAGACGGACGGACAGACGGACGGACGGACGGACGACGGACAACGGGTGATCAGAAAAGCTCACTTGAGCTTTCAGCTCAGGTGAGCTAAAAAGCTACTTCTATTTTGAACATATAGAGAACTTACCCAGTTCTCATGAGCTTTCTTTTCATTAGCTGCTATCTGCAAAAGATGTCAAAAATTGGATATAAAAGCTACTGTAATAAATTTTTAATACTGTTGTACAATGCATCACTTTTTACCTCATATGGAGATTGTTTAAAATATCACTTCAAATGCTGTGGTTTCATAAATTTTCAAGGGGATTAGCTTTATGATCTGCGCAAAAGATACAATATCCTTGATACGTAAATTCACGGACAGCTGCCTTCTTTCATTTTTTTTATTAGGAAATTTTATAGTTCAATGATCACTTTATTTCATGATCTGGCTCAACCATAAAACAACAAAAATTGGTGTGTGACAAAAAAAATAATAATGGAACCATACACTGCATTCATGTACTGCACATTTCTCTACATTTTACTTTTGTTCACATCTTTGTAGAATTATCAGATATGCAATACCTGAGATCGGAAATCTCTCTCAGCTGATAAAATTTCCCGTTTAAGATCTTCCACTTGAGCCCTGAAATAATTAAGTGTATTTTTAAAACAATATTTAACTGGTATACAGCATTTGAATAAAGTTTAAATATTGGTTTTTTTATTTAATTCTCCTGAGGTTTGAAATGTACATAATTTTTAAAAATTTTATCAACCAGCAGTGATTTTTTTTTTTTAATACATTTTTTTAAAAGAGGCCTGGGCCTTTACAATTGGGAAAAATCGACATTTGTGTCAATTTGGGAAAAATCAATAAGATTGTAATTAACTTTAATTTACAGGTAAAATAAAATAAATAAGTAATTAGGGTCCCACAAGGATTTGGGGGTGCCCTATAGTAATCACTCTGTCTGTCTGTCTGTCCGTCTGTCTGTCTGTCTGTCCGTCTGTCATTCTTCCGTCCACAAATTTTCTGTTTTTTTTTCCAATAACTTTTTTTGTAGTTGACCAATTAAGTTCAAATTTGGTATGTTGGTTGAAGAGGCAGTAAGACATATTTTGATGCTAAGTTTCTCTATGTCATCCACTTTGGAGCTGGGGTGGTGGGGTAGATTCCTTAACTTTACATTAGAATGAATGCCAGGGCAAAGAGAGATAACTGCTGAGAATGTTCCTATTGTAAACTGTGAAAGCTGCAACTAGTCCCATGGGATTAATTAACTTTCCTCTTGAAGAAAATCCAAAGCATTATCTGTTTCTGTCAAATTGAGATTAATTAACACCTCTGTCTGCAAATGAAGTTTGTTTTGAAGTTAAGGTCAATTCTGAATGATTTACATTCTCTGAAATGTGGATTTAAATAATGTTCATACTTTATTTTGGTAAAATACACAATGAGTTATGATTTTATTAAATTCTAAAAACAAGATATACATGTACATAAAGATATGTTGTTGTTTTTTTTAAAAATTGTTTTTATTTATTTATTTTATTTATTTCTTCATTTTTTTTTCTTTTTTTGCTGCAGTATGTAAATTCAAGAATACTATTAATTTCAACAGGTAGTCCAATAATAAACTCATTCTATCATTACTGAAAAAGTTCTTATTGTAAACTTGGAAGAAAAGGATGTGAGAGCAGTACAATTAATCCCCTGGGATTAATTATCTTGTCTGGGGCAGAAGATTTTCCAGGCTTATCTTTATTTGTCACTTTAAGATAAATTAACCTTTGTCTGCAACTGATGTTTGTTTTGAAGTTAAGGTCAAGTCTGGGTGATATTTGCATTCGCTGAAGGCTGGCATTTTATAAAACACATGCTTTATTCTTGTTTAAATATACATTTAATTGAGTTATTATAGATATGATGTTTTTTACTGCCTTGTGTAAATACAGGGATACTCTTTACAGGTTGTTGGATATTTATGAATTATCTTGAAATTTTATAAATACAGTTGTTATTGCATATTCTTCTTTGTATATTTTTTAATTTTTGTAATCAATTAAAATTCTCATTCTGTAAGCTGCACCCTTATATTTCTACCCCTCGGCGGGGCCCTTGCTGACTGGTCAGTTTTCTAGTTTCAACATCATTTATTCAATTTATTGCTTATAAAATAACAAATTAGACACCCTTATCCATTAAATTTTATAACTTTCCTATTTTTTTTAATTTTTGAAAGTTATCAATGATTGTCTTTATATTTTTCATCACGGTTTTATTTTGGGAAAAAAGCAACTCAAATTGGGAAAAACTTGGTAATTTTTGACAGGGGAAAGGGCCGATATTAGGACCTAAGTTTAGTGTAGAAAAATCACTGTGGTTACCATGCCTAACTTTGAAAAATGATAAGTTTATTTAAGAGACAAATCTGTTTTACTTTGATCCATCCAGTTCCTCCTGCATCATTTTTGTTCTTGTGTCTGAGTTCTCCAGCTTGTTAATATTCATCTTCTTTAGAGCCTCCTGCTCACCCAACTCCCTAAGAGAATAAAGTAATTCTGACATTCTGACTCCCTATGATAATAAAGCATATAAGTCTTAAATATAAAACATACATATAGTCAATTTCTTGACAGCTGATTACTAAATGGGACAAATAAACTGATAGACAGAAAATTAACACAACAAACAAAATGAACCTGGCCAAATACAGTCATGAAATTCTGAAAATGGTAGGATGATGAAAACCCAAAGATACTGTATCCAACTAAAATTAAATTCATAAGAAAGTCAAGACTCCCATATCACTTCAACATGTCCCTTGTATTCCATATTCATTTATCAATGTCAAATCCATAGTTCAACTGTACTTGGCAGGGCATATACATTGTAAATGATATATAAATGTCTTATATAATTGTCAAGTGATGCACATTTGGCACTATACACTTATCTAAGATTGAACATTTGGTTATCCTCCTATTTTTGAAGTCAACCATAGTGTCACTTACCTTTGAAGTTCTAGCTCTTTCTGTTTGAAGTAGCTAGATAAGACCTCTAACTTTGTCTGGGCCTCACTGTTTTGTCTCTCAGCCTTCATTTTGTCTGACTGAAGATTTTCTGCCTTCCTTTCCAAGTCCAAGATTCTCTCTACACATAAAACATAAGAAAATAAACTACATGTTATTTTCTATCTTATACCATGTACTTAACTACAACAAGGAATTTATAGCCAATATCAAGAAATTTTACTATGAATCACTGTACCATTTCACTAGTTCATGCATGACAGTAATCCATTATTGTATTACATTACATTGTATTACATTACATTATTACATTACAGTAAACAGACCTTCCATGTCCCTTCTACTCTGCATTTCTATGTCTAATCTGTTTTCTAGTGATCTCTTCTCCTCCTCTGATGCCTTTAATTTTGCTGAAACCTTTGAAAAACAAAGCAAAAGTCCAATTAATTTTATGAGTTGAAATTCAAGAGAAGTGGTACAAGATACATGAAGATATCAAGTCTCTATGAATCAATTTCTGTAAATACACATGTACCTGTGACACATCCATCATGGACTTCAATTTGGATTCAATATTTCCAGAATCTATAAAGAAAAGAAAGTTCTGAGATTCCTTAGTTCTTGCTATGTGTCAAATTTTAAACACCATTTGCTTTGCTTTTACAACATAAAATGATGTTACTAGAAAAACCTTGAAGTGTGCATATATAACCATCAATATCTCTTTAGCAATTAAAATCCCCTATCTTGATTGCTTAACCTTAAGTGAAGTCCTAGTATGAGTAAATTAGATGCATCTTTTGGCCCAAAAAAGAATACCTGTACTTTTAATGTCTTAAGAGTTTACCTGTCTCGTCTCTGTTTTCCTCCCCTTCTTCCCCCTCCTCCCCTGCCTGGTTCTGAAATGCCTTCAGTTGGAGGAAACAGTCCCTCAGAACCTGACATCAAACACAAATCCATTTCACAGAATTCTTCATTGCAGAAAGCAACTTGAAATTTTCATTTTAGTTTTGTCAGTTTGTCATATTTTTTGGTCAAAGTTAAAAGTAAGTGAACTGACAGAATTCAAGATATGAATGACCAAGTGAAAGTTTTGGAAGTTGAGGGTAGTTGGCCTTACTTCTATTTCATTCTCTTTGTAAGCTAAGTCCTCAGCCATCTGCTTCTGTTCTCCCTTCACATAGTCCAGCTGTTCTGTCAGCTCCTTCACTCTGTCAATCACAAAAACAGAACAAGTGTATTTTGATAAAATTGTGATCAAAGCTTTAGTATGAAATACGACATACTGTAAATTTAAATAAATTTTTGTTTACAGAGATTTTGTACTTACTTCTCACTCCAAACATGAGCTTCTTCAATTAACTGAAAAATAACATGAAAAAAATGATACAGCATTACATTACAATGGTTCTTACCTATCATTTACAAGGATATCCTTGGTTCTTAACTGTCATTTACTAGGATATCATTGGTTCTTACCTGTCATTTACTAGGATATCATTGATTCTTACCTGTCATTTACTAGGATATCATTGGTTCTTACCTGTCATTTACTAGGATATCATTGGTTCTTACCTGTCATTTACTGAGATATCATTGGTTCTTACCTGTCATTTACTGAGATATCATTGGTTCTTACCTGTCATTTACTGAGATATCATTGGTTCTTACATGTCATTTACTAGGATATCATTGGTTCTTACCTGTCATTTACTGAGATATCATTGGTTCTTACATGTCATTTACTGAGATATCATTGGTTCTTACCTGTCATTTACTGAGATATCATTGGTTCTTACATGTCATTTACTGAGATATCATTGGTTCTTACATGTCATTTACTAGGATATCATTGGTTCTTACCTGTCATTTACTGAGATATCATTGGTTCTTACATGTCATTTACTGAGATATCATTGGTTCTTACCTGTCATTTACTGAGATATCATTGGTTCTTACATGTCATTTACTGAGATATCATTGGTTCTTACATGTCATTTACTAGGATATCAGAAGTTTTTACCTGTCATTAATGAAGACAAGAGAGGTTCTTACCTGTGATTTATTTGCCACTAGGTGAGACACCTGGTCTGTCAGACTCTGCACCTGAGATTTCAATGTTTTTATTTCCCCTGATTTCTCTTGTACTTCTTTGTTAGCCTGTATGTAGAAATTCAGCATTTTAACTAATAACACAATTTAGTATTTTACAGGCTGTTTAATGCTTTATAATTGTGCTTACTTCTTTCAGTTTTTCATTTGTTTTGTTGTACTTCTCATCTTTCTGCTTTATCTGTTTCTCAAAGTCTTTCAACTAAAACAAACAAAAATAAAGGAAGGTTGTGAATAATGTAGGAACCTACTGTGAAACATTACTGATGAACAGAGTCTATGGTAACCATGAAAGAATGAGGAAACTGGTAATGGTTCTCATATGAACATGCTTATCTGTAATTTGTTAAATATCACTGTAGTTCCTTCTCTCTGTACAGCATATGAAGTGATAAATGGTTAATTCAGAGTAAATGTATTTCATGTAACTCTCGTTCACTGTATGTATAACCAAGTAAAGTAAACACAGTTCCATGTGTAGCAAGCACTGCTAGAACTGAAGAACTGCATTCATTACAGTAAAACATACTTATAGCAAACATGCTTAAAATGAATTGATCCAGTCTCTGTAGCTTTAAAATACATGTATATTGTGCACGTAACTGATATAACGAATTAAATTTATAACGAAGCAAAATCGTCTGTCCTTATACTTTGTTAGAAGTGTGTTTTACTGTATACACAAATATAATTCCCATTGTTTCTCTTTCTTTGGAGGGGGGGGGGGGGGGGGGGGGACTGATTTCATTTGAATTATTGTATTCACTGTAATAGTGTTAAATCAAATATTATTGACTATTTAAATATACATTTTATCCAAGTTTAATGTGTTCATTATAAATGTGATTGAGTAAAACATTGTCAGACTGTGTTTACTATTTAGATCAGAGTTTGTCAGTCTGCGTGTACCTGGTTGTCTATAGATCGGAGTTTGTCAGACTGTGTTTACCTGGTTGTCTTTAGATCAGAGTGTGTCAGACTGTGTTTACCTGGTTGTCTATAGATCGGAGTTTGTCAGACTGTGTTTACCTGGTTGTCTTTAGATTGGAGTTTGTCAAACTGTGTTTATCTGGTTGTCTTTAGATCGGAGTGTGTCAGTCTGTGTTTACCTGGTTGTCTTTAGATCGGAGTGTGTCAGATTGTGTTTATCTGGTTGTCTTTAGATTTGAGTTTGTCAGACTGTGTTTATCTGGTTGTCTTTAGATCGGAGTTTGTCAGACTGTGTTTACCTGGTTGTCTTTAGATCAGAGTGTGTCAGATTGTGTTTACCTGGTTGTCTTTAGATCGGAGTTTGTCAGACTGTGTTTACCTGGTTGTCTTTAGATCGGAGTTTGTCAGACTGTGTTTACCTGGTTGTCTTTAGATCAGAGTTTGTCAGACTGTGTTTACCTGGTTGTCTTTAGATCAGAGTGTGTCAGATTGTGTTTACCTGGTTGTCTTTAGATCGGAGTTTGTCAGACTGTGTTTACCTGGTTGTCTTTAGATCGGATACTGTGTTTACCTGGTTGTCTTTAGATCGGACACTGTGTTTACCTGGTTGTCTTTAGATCGGATACTGTGTTTACCTGGTTGTCTTTAGATCGGAGTTCCTTTGTCTTTTGTGATAGTTCTTGTTTTACTTCTGTGTTCTCCTCAGACACAGTGTCAACCTGTTCCTTCAGAGCATTGTTGTGGAGCTGGTAAAGAACAAATTACATAAACAATCTGAAGAAAGGGGGATAATAACATATTCTTAAAGTGAAGTGATTCCACAACATATCATAGAATATGTCATAGGGGATGTACAATTTTTCACAGAATCATGACTTGATTTTTCCAATTTAAATAATATCTGCAGTAATAAGTACCTGTAAAGTTTGTAAATCTTTCTGAATATCCCCAACAGAAGACTGTGTGGACTTCTTATCCTCCTCAATACACTCCATCTTTTAAAAGTAAAATTAAATGAGCTAGAATTCAATATTAATTCAAATATTTTCATGATTATGGCTTCATTAAAGTCCTCTATGAAAATAAATATACTTGCATATCACCTTTTTTCTCAAGGTTTTGAAAAAAATTCCATTAAGAGGCCCATGGGCCTTGACGGTCACCTGAGTATAATGAGTTTCTCAGGCTATTTACCCCACTGGAACTCTGGTCTTGTGTGACAAAATTTTACAGTCTGTACAGGTTTGGCTTTTCAGGTGAACAAATAATTAAAAGAAACTAGCTACAAAGGCAAGTTGGAAATGGTCTAGAAGTTTCAAGAAAGCAAAAACTGAGAACAAATTCATCATATTCAAATAAAATGTGTGATATTTCATAATTCATCCTTACCTTCTCCTGAAGGTCACTGAGTTCATCCTCCAAATTCTCCTTCTCTTTGGTAAGAATGAACAATTTCTCTTCCAGGCCTCTAACCACAACTACAAAGAAATACATGTCCTGATCATTCATATCACTTTATTCTACCAATACTAATTTACCCTTTTCTCATATTCAGAATAAGTAATCTTACCAACAGGGTCTTGTTTCTTAGTTTTTCTGCCTCCCTGTAAAATACATTATATGGACTGGTGATATGTACCAGTAAACATAAAAGACTTTCTAGCTATAAAAAAAGCAACTGTCTTTTTTCATAAAAATTATTGCTTTTTATCTTGATGACTAAAACAAAACCAGGTTAGCACATACCCCTAAAATGACACTGCAGCAAGTGACGATCATCAGAGATGCTAAGGTAACTATGGTAACAAGAATTGTCATCTGTGGAGACAGTCCAAGTGGTTCCTGTTCAAGCAGTGCCTGCACTGAGGGGGGAAGCTGTCAAAAATACATTTATTCAACTTATACTCATATTGATTATTGATATGATATTGATGTTTTCAGACGAGTTTTTACATTCTACATCACTATAGAAAGATTATTTTCAGGGATCAATGCATACTTACTGGGATTACAAATGTATATAAGACAAATGCCACATGTAAATTTTACATAAAGGAACACTTTGGAAAAACTATAGTCAGGGTAAACATTCATTTTTATGCCCCCGTAATCGAAGATTCAGGGGCATATAGTTTTTGCCCTGTCCGTCTGTCTGTATGTTTGTCCGCAAAAACGTTAACCTTGCCCATAACTTTTGATTGGTTGGAGCTATGGCTTTCATATTTCACATGTGCATTCCTTGTGACAAGACCTTTCTTTGGGTATCATCAGATTTGACCTTTTGACCTTGACCTAGGAGTTTGACCCACTTTTGCAAAATTTTATGAGACTTTAACCTTGGCCATAACTTTCGAACAGTTGAAGCTTAGGCTTTCAAACTTCACATGTGTATTCCTTGTGACAAAACCTTCTGTTGGGTTGTGACTCTTTGACCTTGACTTTGACCTACTGTTGAAAAAACTTTAACCTTGGCCATAACTTTTGAACAATCTGTGCTAGGTCTTTCATACTTCATATGCGTACTCCTTGTGACAATACCTTTCTTTGGATACCAACAACTTTGACCTTTTGACCTTGACCTCGGAGTTTGACCTACTTCAATTTTGAAAAATTTTAACATTGGCCATAACTTTTGAACAGTTAGTGCTAGGGTTTTCATACTTCACATATGCACTTCTTGTGAAAAGATTTTCCTTTAGATACCAACCACTTTGACCCTTTGACCTTGACTTTGGAGTTTGACCTACTTTTGAAAAACATTAACCTTGGCCATAACTTTTGAACAGTTGGTGTTAGGTCTTTCATACTTCACATATGCATTCCTTGTGACAAGACCTTCCTTTAGATACCAACAACTTTGACCCTTTGACCTTGACCTTGGAGTTTAAACTACTTTTGAAAAACTTTAACTTTGGCCATAACTTTTGAACGGTTGGTGTTAGGGCTTTCATACTTCACATGTATATTCCTTGTGACAAGACCTTCCTTTGGATACCAACAATTTTGGCATTGACCTTGGAATTTGACCTACTTTTGAAAAATTTAAACCTTGGCCATAACATTTGAACGTTTGGTTCTAGGGCTTTTACATTTCACGATCATGTGTATCACTTGTGACAAGACCTTCCATTGGGCACCATTTGACCTTGCCTTTTTACTTACTTTGAAAAAACTTTAACCTTCGCCATAACTTTTCATCGGTTTGTACTAGGGCTTTCATATTTCACAGGTATATTTCTCGAGACAAGACCTTTCTTTGGGTACCAACATTTTTGATTTCTTGACCTGGAGTTTGACTTGCATTTGAGAGACTTTAACCTTCGCCATAAGCTGCCATACGGGGGCATTCTTGTTTCACAAACACATCTTGTTTTCTTACAGAAACTGTTAATTATAGATTGAATTCAATAGATGTATTTTTCCTTTTTGTTTTTGGCCTTTTCAAGCTATAAAAAATGCAAATATATTTATTTCTGATATTTTAAATATTAAATTTTTATGAAATATGTAAGAATTTGAAAACAAATGTCCAAGAGGATTCAAACCAGGGTATATAAAAATATCACTCTTGTAAATTGTGCACTAAAAGGTCACATGATGTAAACTGTTTAAAATCCCTTCTAAAGGTATCAAACTTTTTCTAGAGCCTAAAGGACATCCTGACCAAAATTACACTGAAAAAGAGTCCTAACTTTCACAAAACTGATATCCTGCTACATTTGTCAGATACATCCATATACCGGTAAACATTCAACATTGAGAATTCCACACTTTCAAATCGATACTTTTGTGTAATCTCTCATTCATTTTCTACAGATTTTCACTCTTCTTTAAGCCTTAGACTATTGTTCCCTCAAAGAAATTCTGTCTACATCAAGGAAATTTTATGACAGAAAATATTTCTGTTTTTATCCAGGAAACCACTGTCATATGAGCAGTGAATGATTTTTTTAATCATGTTTTCTTTAGGGATGTCAAAATATTTATTTTCCTTAGTCGATTATTCGATTGCATTATTCGAACGATAGTCGAATATTCGGAACATTTTCTGAAAATAAAATTTTATTTCAAACTTCACTGGTACATGACGTACTCATAGCTCAAAAACCCTTAATCTGTTTAAAAAGTAACATAAAAATTAATGTAGCGTAACGTTGGATAACAAGATTATATGAAATAAATTTAGAAATGTAATTTTCCTAAATTCATGATTTCCCCATCAATCGAATTCATAAATTGGTCTGTACATGCAGTTAGTTTTTATTTTAGTTAGCATTCAAAATTTGCTAGCCGATATTTTTTAAAGCTTATAATGTGAAATAAATTGGGGGGGGGGGGGGGGGGAGGGGGGGTTAATCTCACACTATCCAAACGCCAGGTGGCTGTTAAATTGTTAAACAGTTAGTTACTGCTTATTCATTTATTGATTGTTCTGGCTTTCAAAATGTCCTTAATTGTGAACAATTTAAAATGCAAGCGAATTGTTCTAATAATTATCGAAGCGTCAAAACATGTCACATGTTCCTTGCATTTGAGCAATCTTAAAATAAAAGATAATTGGTACATTGTATAAAATCAATTCCAATTTATTATTTTACAAACAAAGCCCAGTATATATATTGATGGTTAATTTATTACAAAAACAACACAAGCAGCAACTGCATGGTAGATAATTAATTCTCGCGGTAGTGAAGCATTTATAATTACTGTACTTTCTATACGCACATGGAAAATCAAGTTTTTTGTAGAGGAAAATTATCTTATCAACTGTCTCCGAGGAAAGACGGTTTCTCAGTTTTGAAGGTTTCTCTATTTGAAATGAGAATTCCATATCGTTATCACTCTTTTATTGCATTTTTTTTTCAATTATAATATTCGAATGTCGTTTCGTTATTCGATCGTCGGTCCATTCGACTGACAGTCGAATAGTCGACTATTCGTTGACATCCCTAGTTTTCTTAGATTGATGCGATCAGTGTACCATATAACGGCTTATTTTCACAATAATCAAATTTTTGCTTTCTTTGCGACATTTTTCGATTGCAAAAAATAAATTCGCATTGAATTGTCACCAATTATGTACCGTATAAATAACACAGATGACTTCAATAAACCACAAGGAGAATCGCAAAAATAGGAATATGCAAATTAGAATTTTAAAATGTTTTGGAATATTTTTGTAAAAAAATTGTGACACACAGAAAAATCCTGTTATATGGTAAATATTGGTAACAATAGTGAGTAAAACTTACCTTTGTTATTAAGCTCTTATGGAATCGGTCTCCCTTCATCTCAGCTCTGTATGCCATATCTTCCTTCTCCTCCAGATCTGCATCATTGATCTTCCGTGACAAAAACTCCTCCTGCTCATATGAACTAGTAGAGGCCTGCTCTCCTTGTGTTGTTGACTCTGAGTCTTTAGGAATTGTCTCTGTTGTGAATACTGTATCTGTTGATGATGACTGGATGTCTTGCATGGACACGGAAGAACTCTGACCACCTTCTCTTGGAATAAAGACCTCCTCAGGTTTTGGGGCTGGTTCCCCTGCAGACTGACCAGAGCTGGGCTGTGTGGTAGATTCTTTGGGTGCAGTAGGTGGTGGAGGAATTTCTGCTCCATCACTACCAGACAATGTTGTTGATACTATTGGACTTTCAGTAACTGTTTCTTGTTTATTCTCTTCCATAATTCCTTTGTCTGCAGTTGAGGATGTTTCTGTCTCTGGTTGAGTTGTTGACAGAAGAGGGGCCTCTGTGACTGTTTCCTCTTTCTGTTCACCAACATCTTTGGGTATTTCTTCTGGCTTGCCTTCTTCTTTTACAGAGTCTGGGAGTTTGTGAGGTTCATGTGACAGTGGTTTCCTGGATAAGAAATCAGCAGTAGAGTAAGCATCCACAGTGGGGGGAAGCTCAATCTTTAAATGATCAGTGTCAATAACAGTCTTAGAGGCATTCTGTTGGTCACCAGCAATGGCTGTATTTTTTGTGTTGTCAATTATATTTTTGTTGTCCATTCTGTAATCACTCTCCATGGAAGACATGAGCTGTTCTACTGGGGAAGTAGAGGGAACAGTTGAAGCTATCATCTGCTCCTGGATGGGTTTATCAGTCATCTCTCCATTTATCTGCTCCTGTTTTCCCTCTTCCACTGTCTTTTCCCCCTCATTAGGAATATTCATTTCTCTTACATTTTCATCATCACTAACTGAATCAAGACTGGTATCTTCTTCACCCAAAAACTTGAGCACTGACAGATTTGGTTGTTCACTGGATTCCAATGGTTTTTGCTCCTCTACAGTTTCTGCTGGTTTCTGTTTACCTTCTCCTATTTTGCTTTTGGTATCTGTGACATTTTCAGAGCTTTCCTTAACTTCTGTTTCAGTCTTTTGCATGTTTGCTTCATTATTCTCCTTAACATTTGCAGCAGTCTTGTCTTCATTATCTTCAGCATGAGCATCTTTTACTTGAGACAATGTATTATTAGCACTTTTTTCCAAATCCATCATTGCGGTCATGTTCTCTGACTTGACTGCTTCCTTTACAGCTTTTTCAGCTTGTATTTTTCCAATCCCTTTCCTTGTATCAGGCACAGAATGTTTAGAATCTATTGATTCTGTACCCACTTTTGGGGATTCTGAACCAATTTCTGAAGACGCAGTAACACCTCCAGTTTCTGTTGGAACTATATCTGTTGAGGAAGCAGTATCAACCCTGACTGATTCTACATCTGTCTTTGTTTGAGATGACACAACAGGAGGTTGAGAACTTTGTTCCAAAGATTCAGATACTGTCTTTGACTGTGCTGTGGTTTGTTTTGCCCTCTCTTGTTCTGATGAAGTAAAGATATGATCCACTGACACACTTGAAGTGTGCTGCTGAGTAGGTGTCGAGAACAACATCACAGATTCTGTCTGTTTTGCAACATTTCCTGTAGAAGTGGGGTCTTCAAACATATCCAAGGGGAATGGAGTTCCATCAATGATAGTGTAACCCTCCATAGCTGTCTGCTGTGGGGCCTCATTGACTGTGGAAGCCTCCGTTACTGAGGAATGTATTTCTGTCAGTCCTGGAGTACTTGTACTACCAGCTCTCTGCTCCACAGTTTGGGAAGCACTTTCCTCTGCAGTAAATGAACTCTGAAGAAGTGTGTCTTCTTCCTTTTTGTTTTGTATCACAGAGGATGGCTGGATCCCTACAGCTGGGGCCCCCTGTCCTGATGAAAGGCCTTCCTTGTCAGTCATAGGAGGACCAACAGGTAAACCATCAGGAAGTATACTGTCAGCATCCTTCCCAGCATCCTTTATCACTTCCTGTTTGGCCTGGGTGCTGCTTTCTTCATTACTTATCTCAGTTTCATCTCCAATCTCTGTCTCGTCTTCCTCTGGGGGTTTAAGATCCTCTGACACTTTTTTAGCATCATCTACTCCTTCCTTTAGTAAATCTGACAGTCCTGGTAGTTTAAGTGCTTCATCATCTGTTTTCACATCATCTTCTACCTTCTGAGACGGTCCCTGTTCTGAGTCTGTAACAGCAGAGTCGGGTTTTTCTGTGGAAATTGTAGAGGGTACTTCCTCAGTTGACTCTGGTTGTTTCTTTTTCGATCCTTCCTCCAGCATTTTGTTTAATTCTAAGAAAAAGAAAACAAAAGTTACTAATCATTGATAATAAAACATTAAAATTAGGTCTCTGATTTATATTTTTCTTTTAATATTGATGCTGTTAAATTAACTTTTTCAACAGGAGTATGCTCCTGTCTTCTTCTTTTACTTCATGTACTAACATCTTGATCAATTGAATATATCTTGAATATGATCTTGAATATATTTTAATTTTTTTTTTTTACAAACAATAATCTTGTAGATCTTGAGACAATCTAATTAAAATTAGATGTTCCGAATCCGCTATCGCTTCTCAAACATCTAACAACATCCCATTCGGGGTCACGTCAGAGCGACCTTTCGATTACCCAATGAAATCGCCGTCGTCGAAATCTTGGCTTATAGTTCGGATGCGTTTCTTTTTTTTACTGCCAAACCTAAACGCCCGAGAGGTTTCGTAGTAAACAAAATATGCATGGTAAAGACCGTGCTATATGTGACTTGCGGGATATATAGTAGTTTGTGCTTTTTCGTTTGCGTTATTCAGGTAAGAATGCCAGATTGGCGGACTAACGTTCAATTTATACCAAATTACTTTAATTCAACGTAAGACAGTCTCCTGAGCATCAATAATATAGAGATGTAGCCGTGGAACTAATTTTAGAATTGAATACAGAAGGTTGAATCTGATTGGCCAAAATTTTTATGTTTATTCATAATCGAAAGGTCGCTCTGACGTGACCCTGAATGGGATGTTGTTAGATGTTTGAGAAGCGATAGCGGATTCGGGACATCTAATTTTAATTAGACTGATCTTGAGAAGAATTATTTTAGATATTTTTTCTTTTTTATGTAAAATTTTGCATCCCTTTTGTGGCCCTGTCAGAGACTTAAGGTCAAAGAATGAACAAACTTGAATCTTCACTCCATGAGAAGCTTCCATGCCAATTCTGTTTGGTTCTGTCTTTGTGATTTTTGACATTTTTTTAAAAAAATTTATTCCATTCTATTTTCACTATTTCTTAATTACTGTAAACCAACTATTATTCGCGTCAACTTTTTTTCGCGATTCGTCAGCTTGAAATCAATCCGCGACGATTAATTTTTGCAACTGAGGAAACATTCTCTATAAAATACAAAGCAAAATAATTAGTTCGTGGCGATTAATATTCGCGAGTTAAAGTAGTTCGCGAAACTCGCGAAAATTTCTCGCACGCGAATAAATGTTGGTTTACAGTAGCTCTCCTTAAAAAGAGTGCTGAACCAGCAAAGCAATCAAGGATGTTTGTGGCAAGTTAAAAATTTTGGAGAACAGGTCACACATGTTGGAAAGTTTACAAATGATGCATAGGTAACTCAGGTGACCAAAAACAACATGTAACAATACCTCAAACTTGCTAATCAAAGCTTTTAGAAGCTTTGTAACAATACTTGTTTTTGGCAATTTGTAAGAATGCTAGGCTGTTAGCTGTTAGTTAAACAGCTTTATTACCAGTCTGATTAGTTAAGAAAGTTTATCACTATCAAATTAGTGAAACAATTTACATCTTCTGAAAACAATTAATTTGAAAACTTGTAGGACAAAGAGTTTATTAGTAAATTTGTTAGTGAAGCAGTATTTTGGTGTGAATTAGCATCACTGTTAGTAACCATTTACCATCAATTTTAACTTTGTCTTCATCATCAGTATTGTGTAGAGAGAACAATGACTCTCTTAATTCATCCAGCTTTTCCTTCACCCTATTTTCTTTTTTAATATGAAGCTGACTGCCTGAAACGGACATATGAAATTTCAATCTAAGTTATCTATTTATCTGACTATACTCAAACTCAATGATCCCAGCCATAAAACAATACAGCCAAAGACCGATACTCTTTGAATTTACAAAACTTTTTAGATAAAGTGGGTAAATCTTGCAAGGTACCAAGTGATTTCATAAATACACTAATACTTGGACTTGTACTTCAAGATTATTTTTAACCCTTACCTCCTCCTTCATTAGCTTCATTTTGGGGTTTACTTTGTCCTTCTCTTGCCTCCTTGGCCTCTGTGGGGTCTTTCTCACCACTGGGAACAGGATCAATTTCTTCTACCTTTGTTTCGGTCCCCTGATTCTCCTTCCCTCCCCCTGGTTCCTCTTGTTGGCTATCTGAACTCTGGCTCTCCACATTTTGCTCTCTTTTGATGCTGTCTTTCTGTTCTGTTTGAGTATTGTCTTTTGGAGGCCCTGGACTCAGAGGAATAGGTTTTTCTTGTTCTTTCTTCAAATCAAAATAAAACAACTCTGATTTTAAATGAAAAGATTCAGTTTGTCCATATTTTGGTGAATAATACATGAAATTTTGTAAATATACATTCAACTATCAAATTCAATGCATTTTTTTCCCATCTGAATACATGATGTCTACAGTTAACTAGTTATAATTGTAACGGGGACCGTTACAGATGTTCCCCAAACGCTCCCCAACACCCTTTTGGTGTCTTATTTCCTGTAAGCTTCATTAAATAAGCCAATGAAGTATATTGATAGTTTTTTGCATTTCACGCGCGCGCATGGGCATGCATGTGCAGGATGACCATGTCATCTCATCTATACTATTAATGCATCTTTATATTCTCAGTATTAAAACATTTCATCAAAAAATAAATAAGTTCCAGCTATATCAAGTATATTGGTCATCTTAGCATTGCACGCATGCGCACCTGCATGCATGTTCATAATGACCATGCCATTTTGTCTACACTTATAATATGTCGGTTTATTCTTAGTATCAAAGCTTTTCATAAAAAAATATAAAAGTTATGGCTACATTAAGTATATTGGTCATTTAACACATTGCACGCGCGCGCATGTGCATTCATGAGCATGATGTCCACATCATCTTGTCTACACTTTTAATATATCTGTATATTCTTAATATCAAAGATTTTCATAAAAAAATATAAAAATTACGGCTATATTAAGTATATTGGTCATTTAACACATTGCACGCGCGCGCACGTGCATGCATGCATGCATGCATGTGCACGATGACCATGTCGTCTTGTGTACACTTTTAATATATATAAAAATTTTGAGTATCAAAGCATCTCATCAAAAAGTATAAAAGTTACGAGCATATCAAGTATATTTGTCATTTTACGCTTTGCGCGTGCGCACACGTGCATGCATGTGCATGTTGACCATGTCATCTTGTTTACACTTTTAATATATCCTTATATTCTGAGTATCAAAGCATTTCATCAAAAAATATAAAAGTTACAGCTATATCAAGTATATTGGTCATTTTACGCATTGCACGCGCACGCACGTGCATGCACGTGCGCTCAAAATGACCTTGATTCCGCAAATCTACATAACATGCCTATTAACCCTAAAAAGGTTTCACCTCAATCGGATGAGTAGTTGACGAGATCACTCGCGGACAAAAAAGTACCCAGGAAGAAGAAGAAGAAGAAAAATAATAATAACTAGATGCGTTTCTTGTTGCTAGGGCAACAAGTGGTCTTCCGACCGAACTTTTCTCCAGATCGCTGTGCTACCTCACTTCATTTAATACTTTATTGAAGGTATTTTTTGTTCGCGTTTATGTAACACAGTCTTTCAACATAGATCATGATTATTAAAGGATTTCTGTAGAATCTCTGTTAAAAAAGCTTTAAAAAATAAGCAAAAACTATCATACATGTCTTCACAGAGAAAAATATCATTTACAACTGAAAAAAGAGAGAAACAATCTCCCGCCCCAGCAGGATTCGAACCCGCAACAATACGAGAAAGTTTGGATCGGTCATATGAAAGATATGGAGATAACGAACAGTATTCAAGCTCAAAAGTCCATTAAACAATACAAAATAGGAGCAGAGCAAACACGGACCTCCAAACATCAGAGGTGGGATCAGGTGCCATGGAGGAGTGAGCATCCCCTGCCGACCGGTCACACCTGCCGTGTGCTCCTTGTCATGATCGGGAAATCACGGAAAAATCCGTCGACAATTCAGTGTGTAAATAATGGCCTAACAATTAGTATGAAAAACGTTAGTCAGCATTTGACTGAATGATAAATTGTATTTGCTGACAAGGCCATTGTATCGACCATAGAACTTACGAAATGATGACTTTAAAACGAGACAGCTGATATTCTTGTTTCATCAACTTATTTGTCAATAATTTACCTCGATTTAGAAATTATACATACGTAGAGCATGCTCTTGCGTATCGAATCAACTGAGAGATATATACCCCGTATGCAGGTGATGAAGGTATATTGCTGCATAAGTAAGGGAAGTTGACGATTGAAAAGTTAAAGTCATCACGTTTATCATAAAGCTTGGTTGTTAGATTACCATTAACATCTTTTTCAAGTAAAATATACAAATATGAAACAGATGTGTCAGACTCTGTGGTATCTTTTATCTCAAGTTCACCAGGACATATCGTATCGACATAAGAATGGAAATAGCCATTGTAAATTGACAATACGTCGTCGATATATCTAAATGTCGAGTTGAAGACCACAGCAAGTGTTTTCTTCTTTTCACGTACAAGATTTTGGACAAATTCTGCTTCATATGAATACAAAAAAGGTCTGCTAATAACGGGGTGCAATTGGTACCCATGGGAATTCCAATAGATTGTTGGAAGACCTGGTCTCCAAAAACTACATAGATATTGTCAATCAGAAACTCAAGCATCTTTTTAATGTCAACTTCAGAGTACTTGTGTGTACAATCAGAATGTTTTTTAACAAAATAATTTTGCAAATGACCAATGACAAGGTAAGTATATTTACGAGTTCCATTTTTATTGAAAAAGCAGCTGTCAATGATATCAAAAAGCCTGGACTTTAATTTATCGTGGGGAATGGTTGTGTATAAAGTTGAAAAGTCGTAAGTTTTAAAGATGTTGATTTTGGTAAAATCTTGTGATTTCAAATTTTCCAAAAGTTCCTTGGAATTTTTAAGTATCCACATCTGATTTACACCACTTCTCGAATATATTGTTGCACAGTACTCTTGAAGTTTCTCCTTCACCACTGTTAATATCTTAGTGAGGAGTAAAGAAAGAGGCTTGGTTGAACATATACTGGAACCCGCTATGTATCTTTGTTTGTAAGGATTTTTATGAAGTTTCGGAATCCAATATAAATATGGTAATTCGAATTCATTTTGGTTGTTTGGAATATTAAAAATATTCAAAACTGACATATGATTTTGAAGAAGTTCTTCCTTAGAAAGGGAACTATGAGTATAAGTTGGATTACCACTTGTAGAATTAAATCCAAGTTCCTCTAAAATACATTTAATATAATGAGTCTTACAAACAAAGACAATATTGTTACCTGCTTTGTCAGCAGGGACCAGTACGTACTAATCATGTAATCTATCTTTGTATTACATATCTTTGCAACAAATGCATCAATCAAAATGATAAAAACATACTTAGAACTCTTAGAAGACTCTCGATTAACCCTGTAAATCCCAGAGAAAAATATTGAAAAACAAAAAAGTTACAAATTTAACATTTTTTAATTCACTTCCGTTTGCGACCGGAAGTACGAACGATGGAACATAATGGTCGATCAACATATCTACATTTGATGCTCTATCACCTCAGCAAGTTTCATATTCATATCTTATCATATATATCGAAAGACCTTAATAATAACAAGTAAACTAATTGTTCAGAGAACAATTAGAGGCCTTTCCACCTTTTTAAGTGTTTTCGTGTCGTTTAGGCCGAAAAAAAGAAAAATGCAAAAAAAAAAGCAAAAAAATCAAAAAAAAAAAAAAAAAAAAAAAAAATCCTCCTCCAGCTGGGATCGAACTCAAAACCCTTGGTTTGAAAGGCAGGTGCTCTAACCACTGCGCTACACATTCCGATAAAATTGAGCAAGTTAATTGTTTAAGACTATAGAATAAATACAAGCGTATTTTTAGAATCGGTAGGGGAAGAAAGAAGTTCCGTAAAAGGAAATAGTTCCTGAACTTGCAAGCAGTATATAAAATAACAAAGGACGGGTGTGCGTGAGAAAACGTTAACACTGTTCCCTAATGAAAATGTATTAATGGACTGTAGCCCGATTCATCGATATTGTGAGCATGCTGAATTTTTTGAAAATAGCTTTGTTGTAAGCTTAAAAGATCGGGTTCGGATTTTAACATTTCTGACTGAATATCCTGAAATAAATATGAAACATTTAAATAAGCATTTCTTTGGGTTAAATTAAATATGTGTAGCACAAATTAAACTCCCAACATGCATTTTTAGAAGGGAAACACGACAATGAAAGCGAGAATTGTTTTTAATATACCGAAAATCGCTATTTCTGGAAACTGATTAATTCTAAATAAAAATCAAATAAATTCCAAATGTAAAAGAAAGAGAGAATGCTTGGTATTAAAATGTCGTATCATATCAGGAAAATCGAATGCTACTAACGACATCTGAAGAAATAGCCGATAAAAGGTTTAGATCATTTCTTCGTTCACCTGCACTTTAATTTCAAACACAACAGAACTTGTAGTTTTTGCCGTGAAACTTCATGACTTCTATAAACTTACAAGACTCATCGTAAAACTCTCAAGAAAGTTTCTCTGAGGTCTATACTACAAATGTACCAAATATGTTGTCGATCCGAGGTCTGGTTTGAATTTTACAGAAATATTCTACGTTGTTGTTGATGTGATTTTTTTTTAAGAAGGGGGGGGGATGAATTATTTATTTTATGCCTCTTTTAAACTAAGAATTGTAACTACTTTCACATCTTTAAGCCTGATTGTGACCTTTGGGTCAAGATCGAAGGTCAAGGCCATTTCAAAAAAAAAAAAAAAAAAAAAAAAAAAAAAAAAAAAAACCAACCCAAAACAAAACAAAACAAGGAAATCTTTACTTTCTATGTTTTTACCTGATACTGGAGCTGGATGCATGTCCTTACTTTTCATTTGACCCAATGTCAAGGCCAAAGGTCAAGGTCAAAGTTCAAGGTCATTTGGTGAATTGCTATATTTCACACATATATAAGGAATTTCTTATGTTTTTAAATGACTTTGACCTTGACCTATATTTCAAGGTCAAAGTCAAACATGCCGATGCAGTTGGTCCCATGTCTCTAGGATACACCGTTTCAAAAAGGGTTCATTAAATGTAAGCAGCATAAACTTTCAGGGGCAGTAACTCATACAAGGGACCAAAGAATGCTTTTGCAATGATAGAATGAAGAGAGTATTAAATGAGTCGAAGACACTGCTGAAGGCTTGGAATCTCTACGTTTTACGGTTTCGGAGGAGTAGCGATAACAAGGTTTTATTGCAAAAGGGGTGACAACTTTTGAATGGGTCAAGCTTTGGGGACAAGAATGAAATCTTAAAATAGTTTTAGAAGGACATATCATAGATGCAAAGATATTCAGTATATGTCGAAAGGTTTTCTACAGAATCTCTGACAAAAAAGCTTTTAAAAATCAGCAAAAACTACCATACATGTTTTTAAAGAGAGAGAAGTCATTAGCAACTGAAAAAAAGAGAAAAACAAAGAAAAAAAATTAACTACCTCCAGCAGGATTCGAACCCCAGACAGTGGGACAAAGTTTGGATCAGTCATATCTTTGCAATAAATGCACGCATCAAAATATTGAATACATATTTAGAATTCTTGTAAAACACTCTATAAACCCTGTAAATCCCAAAGAAAAATATTGAAAAACAAAAAAGTTGAAAAATTGGATTTTTTGAATTCACTTCCGTTTGCGACCGGAAGTGCCGACGACGAAAAATAAAGGTCGTTCCCCATATTGGAATTTGATGTTCTATTTATTCATTGAGTTTCAATTTCATATCTTTAGCCGTTGTCGAGAAAAATTCTGGACAAAATGCCATTTAAAAAATACAAATTTCCCCAAAAATCGCGAACGGAAGTGAATTTTGAAAAAATGAAAAACACGTCTGGAGATATTTACATGATGCATCTTCCGCGAAAAAATCTCTGAAATCTGCTCACTCACAGCTGAGATATCGCCATAACTATGAAAAAAAGAATAATAATAATAATAATAATAGAAAACAGACGGAAAACAATAAGGTCTTCCGAAGGAAGTCGGAAGACCTTAATAATAAGAAACAGAGTAAAAACAATATGTTCCCCAACTTCGTTTGGGGAACATAATTATGATGGCCCTTTTTAGCTCACCCAAGCCAATTGCAAAGGCTCAAGTGAGCTTTTCTTGATCATAGTCCATATTCTGTTAAACCAACTGTCTGGTATTTTTCACATTTTCAATTATTCTGCAGAATCATTGGACCAATTTCTATCCCATTTTCCACAGAACATCTTTGGTAAAAGAGAAGTCAAAGCACATTTAAATAAAGTGCCATGTCCATTTTCAAAATGAGATAATAATAATAAGATATGATTATTATTAAAAAAAAAAATCTCTCCTAAGAAGCACTGGACTATATAGATGAAACATACAAACACTGTTAAAAAGATTAAATTTTCCTTATATGGGGTTCATTTAAGACCCTCAGGACCAGTATGGGACCACTAAGGGGAGTCAAAGTTTTATGTAGGAACACACAGAAAAAATTCTTATAGTCCACAGAGGGAAAGGGTAGGGTCATCATAGGGAGAAAAATTAGTTAATATTCTTTTCAAAAATATTTTGAATTGCAGGGAGTCTCAATAGGTTATTCAAGTTTTACAAAGGAATGTTCAGGCTTTCTTACTAACTCTAGGCAACAACTGGTAAACCTGACATCCATCAATTTACTGCTACTTAGAATCATCACAACATATAAGCTAAGGTTTGGACAACATTGGGGAATTTCATTCATATATGTATATTGTCAGGAAGTGAAAAGAGGCTTGGGTGACTGTTGTTCACAATAGGCCTCTTGTTAAAGTTTACATCAAACTATGGTGCTGACTGATTCAAGTTTCATTTGAATACAACTTATATTCATATACATGTACATTTAAGTAGATAATACTCTCTCAAATTATCTTAATCAAAATTAGGTCCTTTACATCAAATAGAAAAATTAGATTCATCTGAGAACAAAAGTAACTTTGCAGAAAACGATTGAAATTATTTACATGAAACATACCTGTTCATCTTTTTTTGCATTTCCTTTATCTGCAAAAAAAATATATTACATTATTTTGATACATTTACTCCCTGACTTTTATACAGGGTTGTGGATAACCACTCTGACACCCACTTGCAAATGCGAGTAAAATTTGCTGTGGGCGATTAGATATTAAAAATCTGGTCGCCCACATGGTGAACGATTTTTTTCCCCATAACATAATCACATTTCAGTTTTATATTTTATGTACTTTCAGTTTTTAAGAAAACGCTCTATTACCGTAACCTAGATTATTTGTGTTACGTACAAGCATGTTATTCAAACATGTACGTGACTGAGATTCAACATGGTGATTTATTGAAGCGGTTAAATCTCTGTTAAATCTGATGATACAAGAGCAGATGTTTGAGATTGTTCTAATAGAAATATTGTAACAATCGGTAATGGTTGTCACACACTCCATCCGAACTAGTTATTCACAGATAGAATTTGAATTACTGTGTCAAATGTACACAATTAATAAAAGATCGGAATCAAACTTCATCACAGGTTGTATGTAATTTATTATTTAATATGCCCCCTTGTTAAACCATACACGCTTCAGTTGTATAAGGTTAAAGACTACAAAATGTAATGAACATTTAATCGAATCAGTCTTTAGAAAAGAGAAAACGTGACAAAAATTCATATACTGCAAACATATTGATATTGCGAATTAAAGTTCAATTTGAAGAATTTAGGATTTTTGTTGTTGCTATTTTTATTTTACATATAATGTGGGCCCGTGGATCACTCTGTGGGCCAGTAACATTTGAAAAGTTAGGAGCCCACATGGCCCCTAAGGTTTCAAAAGTTATCCACAACACTGTTTTATAGGTACATGTATATAGAATGTTCTCAGCCTTTGGTCTTATCTGTGCATGAGAAATTTTTGGTATAAAAGAACATATTTACAAGCATGCTTCATTCATCCTTTGTAATACAATTATCTGATGTAAATAAGAGATTAGATTTCCATCATTACACCTGACCTTTATCATCCTCCCACCACAGGTCATCCTCCTCATCTTCCACCTCTGTATCATCCTGATCTTCCTCCTCATCCACTTCTGTGTCATCTTCAGCTTTGTTTGGGGGTGTGACAGGCTTCTCCTGAAGCTCAATAACCTTCCCATCTGAGATCTTAAAAAAAAATTACAGCAAATTGTTAAGTCAATAAATGTCATGAGAATCAATTTTCCACTATTTCCCCATTTCCAAGTTTAAAAAAAATGTAGGAGGCAGTGACAAAGAATATTAATCCAATATAATCAGGCACTGCTCTCTGATGAAAAATGATCATTGATGTCATTTCTTTCCCACTGAACCAATACTTTCAATAATGTTATGTGCTTATATCTCCTATATAAACATATCAATACTTTTCCTTTTTTGAACAGCCTATTGAATTACAAATATTTACAACATATGATAAATATAACTGTAATACATAAATAATATCAAATCTTAGACTTTTTTCCTCTTAAAAAGACCGGTTCAACTTCACAACAGACTTCAGTTTCTTTAATATATTTCTACAAGTTCTTAAGACAATTTGTTGAACAGCTAAAAAAATAATACAGTGGACCTTCAGATATCCGGACGCCAGATATCCGGACGCTTCAGTTTCCGGACGATTTTTTATGGGAACGAAATTTTTTAACGTTATTTTGTCTCGTTTAACCGGAATTCCGCATTCCGTATCCGGACGATATTTTTTCACCACAAAAATGAATTTTTACGTTATATTTTGGTTCATTTATCCGGACGATAATTTTTTAACTGGTCTGTCAAGTCTGCTCAAATTTCTTGATCTGGGTGTTAATTGTTGTAAAAACACTGGTCTGGCTGTTTGTTTTAAAAGATGATCACGTGCGACCTGTTATCAATGGCTTGCGGCAAGGTTAATTGTAGTTCGATGGGTACGCACAAGACTCTCGCTTCACTAACATGGTTTTGATACGTATTAATGAAGGAAAATAATTTTTTAAGTCTAGGATAATTTTTCTTAGTCGGCAAATATATTTCTTTTACTGTTAAAATACAGTAGTAACATGGTTTTATGTATTTATAGACATGACATCGGAGTTTTTTATGCACAGTATTTTGTGCGCAAATCGCATTCTATGATTTGATGACATTTATAAAATCACTTTCAAAATTACACAATCGTTAATACGATCTCGCATTGGATTATTACCATTAGCGTTTGTATACATATACAGATTATGTCACATTTAGCATTGATGGGCGTTCATATTAAATAAGACTCTACCAACAGTACCGTACCGACATGGCTACTAGGAGAAGTTGATTCATTAGACACAGGGAAGTAGAAATAATTAATGTGACCATATAAACACGTTTTTTTTCAATGACAAATGTACTTTTTTATTTACTTAAACAAGTATTGAGTAGTACTAACTTATATTAAAGTATTTAAACAATAAAACATATTGATAAAAAGCTACATTCTTTACTATTGAAAATGTTATGAAAGGCCATATAACTAAAATCAGCGCAATTCAGGTATCCAGACACTTCACATATCCGGACAAATTGACTGGGAACCAAAGCGTCCGGATAAATGAGGCTCCACTGTACAAGGTATAAAGAAGCTATCTATTACCTCTGTTGGCACAATAAACTGTGGAGATGGGTTTTCAACTTTGTATTCCCTTACAAAAGATCTTGGAAAATAGCCTGTCTTTCCATCTAACTGAAATTATTAAAATGAATATGTAAATTAAAAGTAAAGTGTCTTAAATGGAATGGACTGAAAACACTGATGTGTCAGGAAGTTAAAACTAAAAAGGCTGATACATAGTAATTGGATTTTCCTCTTTTTCTATTATTACAACTCTATTAGTTATTCCCCTTTGTATGTAACCATCCAGGTTATGCCCTTCCAGGGCTACAGAGCACCCATTTTTCTTTTCTTTTCTTTTCTTTTCTTTTGTTTTTTTTAAAATGAAATATACTTGTACTGTATTTTGTCTACAGAGTCCATTAATAATTTCGTATTATCTAATATTCTGGGTCAGACATTTTTTTAAGGGACAAAGAAATTCTTAGTGTTAAAATGATAAAATTTCATACTCCCTAGATGTTTACAATGATAATGTATCATTTACTTGTACTTTAACTGCTTGTTTTCTGAAATACAGTCTAACCTTGCTGTCTCGATCTCTATGGGACTGAGATTAAACTTTGAGATATTCGAGGATTTGAGATAAGGCAAAGTAAAATTGATATTATGGTTCTCCGGCAATCTAATTAAAATTCGATCTTTGATCCACTCCAACTAGATTGCTTTGTGTAGCGATCCAGTTGGAGCGGATCAAAGATCCAATTTTAGTTAGATTGGGTTCTCAGGCCAATTTTCTTAAGAACAGATGCGGGTGAGAGGCTTCTCTTGTTTTCATCTTTTTATCAGCAATAAATTACATGCAGGAAGCATTTTTTGAACCAGAATTTGCTATAAAATAATTATCTATAAAGTAACAATAAAAATTCCTCCTTGATGATTATTCTGAAGTCATACTGTAGATATATTTAACATCTCACAAAATTTCCAAATATATGCATATTTTTTATTTTTCTCAAACACAGTGTCCATGTCGGATTGTCAAATAACTGTTGATGTCCATGTTGATAAGAAATGGATACCAGAAATGAAAACAAAAATTGAAAGCAAAACTACAAGAATATGAGGGCGCAATTTTTTTGCCCGGATTGGTCTCCGCATTACCAACTTTTATTTTATTGAAAATATGATAAAAATTGTGATGCAGCTACCTCAGAATGGATGTGTGCAGGCCCGAGAACCATAATATTCATTTTATGGACCCTAAGGAGGTTTAAAAATATAAAGAAAACATATCCCAAGTATTCAAGATATCAGTGTTCAAGATAATGAAGTTGAAGTGTACATGTCGTAAAAACACTTTAAAATCTCTTTTATCATGGATTTCGATATTTATTGAGACTGTTTTGACAGTCCCATTACAATACAAATTTACTATTGACTAGCTTTAACTTAGGGCTGTAACAGTTCACTGAATGAACCAAACTACTATTCACTTGGCTTGTTTAGGTTCTTTTTTGTAGTATTCGGGAATTTTATTTCTTTTTCATGGACTTTTTTAGGAAGAATTAATTCCACTTATTGGAAATGTATGAAAATAAAGAGGGGTTGATAATTCTAATCTTAATGTGTATACTATGAACAATCCAACAAGTTCTGAATGTCAACATAGCATATAAATTTGAAGTGCAAAAAAAAAAAACATTGAGAAAATGTGTTCTTTTTGTCCTTTATAAGGATTATTTTTGGGGGGTAGAAGGCATATGCAAGCTCAAAAAGGTTTGTTTTAAATAATTTGGTAGTTATTTTCAATGTAACATACTCCTTTTGTATTCTTCAAATTATTGCCAGGGCAGATCCACTCCATTTTGCTACATTGCAACTATGTGGGACATATTTTAACTGTGGTGAAGGCTTGTCCTAATACACACTTAGATTATTCCAACTTATTTTGACTATAAACAAACAATGATACTTACTCTCCCGCCCCACAAATCAGGTCGATCCCCTGCAGATTTGCTTGTTATTTCCAACATCACATTTCTCTCAAAGTTTAGGAAGATTGGATCATTCTGCATGTGTTTAGCCAAGGTACGTCCATACGATAAAGTTGCTTTCAAAATAAACACAATATATTATTAATTTTATAATACAAAATTATTTTGCAGAACTTTATTTTGTAAATTTTATGGTCTTAAGGAAACTTCATGCTAGCTGCAGAACTGTACTGTTATGGTTTTATATTTTAGTCTTTGACCATAACGCTACAGATCCCGTAATGCAAATATTGTGCAATTTATGGCGCAAGATTTTCTGCGCACAATGGGGACGTACTTCGGCACTTTCCAGCATTGGTTAATCAACTACCTTTCATTCCTTAATTCTAGACATATTCTATAACCAATATGTATATTTCATCCATCTCCTAACCCTTTCAAGTCTTCTCTGCAGACCAATTAACTCGCTTGTTTTGAATTTTATGCCAAAAAATTCACAACAAGTGAGTTTATTGGTCTGTACAGTCGACTATAAAGGGTTAGGAGGTATAATAATACACAGGTTGGTTATAGACAGGTTCAGTCCAAAGACTATTTCTACCTACGTAGCTATTAATAGCTACCTAGATATTTAAACCTACCCAAAGTAGCTATTTTTATTGTATTACTTGCATTTTGTGGCCAAATGGTCGTACAGTGCAACATGGTGAGTACCAAATTTCTTGATACAGTCACACTGATGATGAATATGACAAAATTTTGGTCAAAAAATGATTACTTAGTAAATTGACAATTTTGCGCAAAATTGTTAATTTATGAAGTAATCATTTTTTGGCCGAAATTTTGTCGTATTCATCATCTGTGTGACTGCATGTATCAAGAAATCTGGTACTCACCATGTTGCACTGTACGACCGTTTGGCCACAAAATGCAAATAGGTAAAAATAGCTACTTTGGGTAGGTTTAAATACCTAGGTAGCTATTAATAGCTACGTAGGTAGAAATAGTCTTTGGACTGGACCTGATAGAATATGTCTAGAATTAGGGAATGAAAGATAGTAAATTGACCATTCACCAATCCTGCAAAGTGGCAAAATACATTCCCAAAGTGCGCAGAAAATCTTGCACCGTAAATTGCACAATATTTGCATTCTGGGATCTGTAGGGTTATGGTCAAAGACTAAAATATAAAACCATAACACTATAATACAGTTCAGCAGCTACATGTAGCTTCATGCATGGTAAGGATGGTTTGATTGTTCAACACATTAAGATTTTCAATCTGATTCAAAGTTTGCAAATGTCTCTTGTATACTTCATAATATAATTTGCAATTTTATATTAATTAAAGAAACCTGGTGACTTTTACAAAACTAACTGCAAGTATTCTGAGGAAATTCGAGATACCTTGAACCTCGATCATATTCAGCCATGTTATCAAAGCTGACTTACTCTTGCATTCCTTGTCACCACACAGACGTAAATCTGATATCCTTGATGATGAGCACTCATTAATAATTAAACCGAATGACAATAGCGCTAAAATTACTTTTTTACTTTTTAGAGCGTCTGTCATTTCTTTGAGTTTCATGCTTTGTACACGTCAGCTGGCGCTGGAATTTTTACTTCCTGTTTCCCTAAGTATTGATTTGAGGGGTCAATTCAAAACACAAGTTTAAGTTATTATCAGTAACATAAATGAGGCTGCCAAAATCTGAACTTTTCCATTGATAATCATTTACGTATAATTTGTTTAATTTTTTAGTAATTTTTTTTGTATCTGTGTTTATAATTATTATGTTTCAAATATATCAACATTTACTTTTAAGACGACCTTTTTAGAAGGGAGGTCACTCTCATAAGAAACAAACAGAACATTTCCTGGTATTTGTAGGAAATAAAAGATGAGCAGAATATATGACAACAAACCTTTGCATAACTTGCCTGTGATCAGTGTCAACACACCAAGCAAATGGGATCCAAAGAAGTACTCAAGGTATGCTGCAGCAGATTTGAAGGCATGCAAAGTATATTAATTCTCCTTGCACTAGTTCAATTAGAAGCTGAAAAGAATATGCTTGATCAGTGTTAATGAATATCACTATATGCTATAGTATGTACCTGCTCAATGCAGTAATTTTGTTCAAGAAATAAACAAGTGTTAACAAGTGCCATCTCTTTAATTTTAACAGACAGCATACATATCTAATATGTAACATAGGACAGAATTATGAGTGGATTGACAGTACAACATTTCACATTATGAGTTAATTTGGACAGTAGGAAAAATATGAGCAAGCTTAAAACATAGGTAAACAAAGATTACGAAGCTCACCTGGAGAAATGTTATCTATCAATAAAGGAAAGTCTCTTACCAAATAAATGTTCCAGATATAGCATTTGAAGCGAGTCTGGTAGTCAGCTGTGTATCCCTAAATGCATTGATCATCCATGCAAGTTTTGTCACCTATGGGCCTGCTTTCAAAACTTTAACCTGGTCATTCATATGAAAAATGTACTTCAGATCCAGCATCTGAAGCAAGTTTGGTAGTGTGCATCCCAATAGAAGATGAGGGTTGTCCGGTAAAATCATGGACAAGTTGTCTAGATTGAGAAATAATCATCACTGCGTTCTAAAACTCTCACAACTTTTTAGTACATTTTTCATCAATATACATAGCAAATTTCAAATAGATATCTGCTCAAATAAACAAAATACGAGACTTTATGTTATGTGTTGTATCGCCTTACGGCACGCGGATGATAACGTCAAAGTGTCTAAAGCAGCGTCACGTTTCCTCTTTGCTAAATTAAAGTTGGATAAGCCCCACTTAAAATTGGGGATTTCATTGATGCACATACTTGATTTTCCCTTTATTCCTCCATAAACAGTCGAGGAACCAATCTCGCACACACATGGGACCCTCTGAAGATTTTTTTAGTAAGTTATGGACAGTACTCTCACTATCATTCAACTAAATAGGCTATCTTATATCGACGGTCTACAGTGACAGCGTCTTCTGCTCTTGTCAGTAGCTGTTTCTCCGTATGTTTTGTTCTACCCGGGGACCTGATCAAAAAGCTTCCGCTTTGAAAACTCTCATTTCACTTGTATACTAAAGATCTAGTGATATTTTTATATTTTTTTTCTTCTGTAGTCATCAAAAGTTCCTTAGGGTGTCAGTACTACATCTAAATCAAACTGAACTTCTCTCCGGTGCGCCGTAACGTCACCAAACATCACCATTTTTCATGTGTTGTGTTTACCACTTTCCAATTTCAAATGCTTGGGAAACTGCCGAAAATTAAGCAAATGCCTTGACATTTTTTTTTTTTTTAATGCTTTATTTTTGAAAAAGTTTTCATATACATAATATCAAATAACACAGACATATATGTACAAACACACCCACACCCACACACATCCACACACTCACTGTGCACCTTTCCCAAAAAAAAAAAAAAACCCCAACTGTTCAATATTACAGCTATAGTTATACTAATTAGAATTTCTTATATTAACAAATCAAATCAAACATTGCCCATTTACTATACATATTAGTTTTACAATGAAAGTTACTTTCACAATATTTTTCGATTTTTCTATAATACTTAAAAATGTTAATTGCTTCTGTAAATTTAGGTATTGTACATTGAGATCTTGAGTGATACAAGTACTTTTTTCCTAACAAGATAAGAAAATTTTCTAAACAACTTCCATCAATGTTACCAAGCATCACCTTTTGTTTTGAAATTACATAATCATTTTCAATAGCACGATACCAATTTTCAAAATCTCTCCAAAACCTGGTTACATGTATACAGTCATAAAAAAGATGAATCAATGTTTCTGGATCTGTTTTACAGAAAGAACAAACATTATTTTCAGCAATTTTTATCTTGTGAAGAAAAGAATTTGTGGCTAGGAAGCCCATAAGAATTTTATATTGAAAGTAAATTATTTTGGTGTCCTTTGTGCATATGGATGCATTCTGAAGGGAAAAATTCCAGTGTTTTTCTGTGATAGGTTCATTTAAATAAATCTCCCATTTTAATTTTTTGGGCTCTGGTGCCACAAATTTCTTATCTTTTATAACTTTATACAGAAATTTCATACTTGTCACAGACATCATTTTATATATAACACATTTCTCTGGTTCTACAAATTGATTACCTCTATCTCTCATATAAACAATTATTTCCCTTTTGACTCTTGATGGTACTCTTGATATAATATTAAAATAGTTTAAAAAATTATTAGTACCAACCATATTCTTGACATAATTAAAACACTTAAATTTTCCATTATCTGTCAATAAGTCTTTCAGTACTCTAAAACCTTTTTCCACCCAAGAGGTGTAGAAACTCCATTTATTTACATCAACAAAATTTCTGATATCAGAATATAAATACAATGTAATCTAAAACACTCACAGGATTTTTTTTAACAATTATAAGAGCTTTGATAACATCTTTCCAAAAATCATTACCAATGTAATTCAACAACTCTGAAAGTTTTTCTTTGGTTAAATAAAATACAAAATTAATATCTTTTTGATTTAAAATACAGCATAATAATTGCTGCCATGCTCCACTGTTGTCTGTAAGGACTCTATTTATCCATTTAAGCTTTATATATGATATGAAGGAGGATAAATGAATCATATTTAGTCCACCTTCTTCAATTTTACCTATTAAGGTATTCCTTTTTACTTTTTCCACCTTGTATGCCCAAATAAATTGAAATAAAATTTTATTGATCTCATTAAGAAGTTCTTTTGGTGGATTTGGTAAAGCTGAGAATAAGTGTATAAATTTTGGAATAACTAGCGTTTTAATGACAGTAATCTTTCCTATGGGAGTTAAATCTCTTTTTGTCCATGATGCAAGTAATTTTTTGATAGAATTTATTTTGGATTGATAATTAATAGTCACAATATTTTCTAAGTTTTCTGTAAATATTATTCCTAAAAGCTTAAAGGTGTCACCACCCCAATTAATTTTTAAGTCTTTGCATAGAGTTTGTTTTGATCCAGCCTTGCTTCCTAACCATATTGCTTGAGATTTTGAAATATTAAGTTTCAAACCAGATGCATTTCCAAATTGTTCAATTAATTTCATCGATTCTCTCAGTGATTTTTCACTTCCATCTAATATTAAAAAAGAGTCATCTGCATACTGTCCTAGCTTGTTTTCTTTCCCATTAATGGATATGCCTTTGATATTTTCATTTTTCTTCAATGAGATTGCTAGTAGTTCTACTGTAATGATAAAAATATATGGTGCTAATGGGTCTCCCTGTCTACATCCATGTTCAAGATTAAAAAAGGAGGATAAGTTTCCATTATTTATCACACAGCTTGTGCTGGATGAGTAAAAAGTATCTATTAAATCATATAAAAACCTGGTATTTTCACCTATAAAACGTCCTTTTATAAAACCTTTTTGGGTATCACTTATAATACTGGTCAACACATTCTTAATGCGATTCGCTATGGTACTAGAACCAATTTTGTAATCTACATTTAATAATGAAATAGGTCTCCAATTTTTCATGTATCTTCTATCCTTTTCCTCTTTAGGAATGCATGTAATTACCCCCTGAGATTGGAACTGTGAAAGTTTTCCAGTTAAAAACCCTTCATTTAAAGAATTCATAACAAAGATACCTATATCATTCCAGAAAAATTTGTAAAATTCCACTGTAAACCCGTCTGACCCTGGTGATTTTTTGTTTTTCATATTTTTTAGTGTCTTTGTGCATTCTTGAAGTTTCAGAGAACCTTCACAATTGTCTCTTTCTTCATCAGATAATTTGACGTTATGTTGTAAAAAGATATTTTCAGACAAAAATGTTTCATTATTTTTATTTTTTTTACTTTTATATAAATTTGAGAAAAAAGACCTTTGTTCATCCAGAATGTCAGACTGATCTGAAATATGTTTACCATCTGAGTTTATTAATTCAGATATTGTTTTATTTAAGAAATTTCTTCTTTCTAATTTACAGAAATAGTCAGAATTTTTTTCCCCCATTTCATACCAGGTAGCTTTTGAGCGTAACATTAAACCCTCTATATAATTTGACCTAGAATTTTGTAAAGTTTGCTTTTTTTCTTCAAGTGTCAAAATATCTTCTGCTTTTCCTGAAGTATTTACTTTTCCTTCCAAATCTAAAATTTCCTTTTCTAGTTTTTTCCTTTCTAATTTTTGTTTTTTTGATCTTATAGATGAATATTCTATTGTTAAGGATCTGATTTTCATTTTCAAAACTTCCCAGAAAAATTGATTACTTATACTAAATTGAATACTCTCCCCTTGCTCAATATCTGCTGATACCCTATATTCCTCAATTGTTTCCAAAATACATTGCTTTACTTTTTCTATATACTCATTTTCATGTAATAATTGACAGTTAAATTTCCAGTAACCTCTCCCTCTAGTACTGTCACTTGTTTTGAATTTTAATACAATTGCTGAGTGGTCAGTTTTATATCCTGGAATTATTTTGGTATCTAATACTTTACTAAAAATGCAATCAGATACAAGAAAATAATCGATTCTACTTTGAATAACTGGGTTTGATCTTCTCCATGTGTACTGTCTTACTTCCTCATTCCAGATTCTCCATGGGTCATGAATTTCAAGTTCATTTTTTATATTCTTTATTACTTCATTTGCCTTTGGATTATTAAGATTCTTAACATTGAAAGTGTCAAGTTCTTTATTTTGAACAACATTCCAATCCCCACACATAAGGATAGACATGTTTTCTAATTTTGTAATTTCTTCTTTTATGTTTTGGAAAAATTCTGGACTATCATTATTTGGACCATACAAATTTACTAAAGTAAATCTAAATTTATTTGCTGAAATATCCATTATAATATATCTACCCAAAGAGTCATGTTTAACTGAATGGATATCTAATTCAAAGTTATTCTTGAAAAGTATTACAACTCCGGCTGAGCTGCTTGTATAACTACTGAAAAAAGATTTGTAGCCCCACTCTGATTCCCATAACCTTGAAGTCTCATGAGTACTGTGTGTTTCTTGAAAACAGATAATAGAGATATTTTTATTTCTGACCCAGTTAAACACATCTCTACGTTTTTGACTGTTAGAAGAAAAACCTCTTACATTCATACTCAATATACCTAACATTTCTTTGTTGCTCATTTTAGTTTTATCAAATGTCATGAATGAATTTCAGCATTCTTTTTAAACATAACTTATAAGGTATAAAAGGTGCACTAGAACTCAAAAACAACTTTACATACATACACACTCCACACACACTTACATTCACAAAAGTCAACCATACATTTGGCATACCTCGCCTTGAAGTCATAGTCCCACCTGTACCGGCTCCTCCTGCTAATTTGGCTTAATGTAGACAATTTAACATTTGATTGTTTTCATTTATTTATTTATTTTTTTTTTTGAATTCTAGGTTATTGTTTTTTTAAGCTCTTAATATTTGGTCAATATTATCCATGACATCAATTCGGTGTCTGTGTCCACTCCTATCCAGAACAAAAATGTGACCATTGAAGTACCAGGCACTATCCACGAGATGCTGTTTATTCTCCGCTTTTAAGGTTCTTAAGAGCTGTGCATTCATGCTGGTGATGTGGTCTAAAATGATGAAGTCATCTTTGAGCGTTTCGCGTTTTGTAATCACAGATTTTCTCGCCTCTGCTGTATTAAACTTCACAATCACAGGACGCGGGTGTTGTTTGTCACTGGATGGTATCCTGTGAATGGCAAGGATTTCCCGCACATCGAGGGTAATGCCTGTTCTCTGAGCCACGATGGTACAAAACTCTTCTTTCAGTTTTTGGCCTTGTCGTTCAGGCCAGTTGAGGATCTTGATATTGTTCTTTTGCGAATACTGCTGGTTAAAATTGGCCATACTGACTGCTGTGTTGGCTAGCTCATTTACTGTCTTCAGCTTGGTCTCCAGTTTACTGATTTGTTTTTTAAGTTTCGAAACATTTTCCATATTGGTATCATTATCCATCATGAGTCCATCTACTTTGTCTGTTAACTGTTTCCTTATTTTAGCGACATCTTCAGTATACTGTCCTTTCTGTGACTTCAATTCCTCTTGGATCTCTGATTTTATATCTTTCAAAATCTCTTCCTTTATACTGACTGTCAACTCCTCCTGTAATTCCTTCTTGAGATCTTCCTTAAAGTCAGCCACTACACTTCTAACAATTTCCCTTATATCATCCTTTGTAACTATCTTTTGTATTGACAGCTGAATTGATGCCAACGCACACTTTATTTCCTCAATTTCTGAAGAATCTTCTTCCCCTGCAGAGGAAATCCTTCTCTGTTTCGAAGCTGGTTTTGAAGATACAATTTGTGATTTTATCTCTGATGGCACTCTTGTAAGAAAAAGAGTTGATTGCTTAAGCAATGGAACAGAAACTTTCTCATTTTTGACATTTTACAAAATACGAAATAATAGATAGTGCATTAAAAAAAGGATAATTTTTACACCAACCTTATCTATTTAATACTTTTGTTTCGAAATAATACTCATGTATTCGCTACTGAAACCCTGGGTTTTTGAACGTACGCCGTAGGACCATACCCTGTGCACATTCAAGCATAATAAAATCTTTATTTTTGTCTATAGATATTTTATCAAAAAAATTACGATGCACTTAAATATGATGAAAAGACATTTGCTGAAAATTTCAGATTAGTGTGCCCATTATTTTTCGAGAAAAACACTTTGTCCACGATTTTACCAGACAACCCTCATATTTTACATGAAAATTCGGTCATCTTAAAGCTTATAGATACTTAACAATGAACCTACTCCAAAACTTTAACCTGGTCACCAATATGAAAGTATGAAACAATATGAAATAACATCTGAAGCAAGTTTGGTAGTGTGCATCCCATCTTAGATGTATCAAAGATTAAAATTTGGTCATCTTAGAGCTCATAGATACTTGACAATGAACCTGCTCTAAAATTTTAACTTGGTTATTCATTAAGAAAATCAAGGTCAGATCCAACATCCGAAGCAAGTCTGGTAGTGTGCATCCTTAAATGCAACAACCATGTAAGTTTGGTTACCATAGGGCATATTAGTCAGGAATGGACCTGCTATAAAAACTCTAACCTGATCACTCATCCAGATGATGTTGGTCAGCTCCAGTATCTGAAGCTTAAAGCTTTTAGGTACTTGAAAATGAACCTACTTCAAAATTTAAACCAGGTCACTTATCCAAAAATATAGGTCAGGTCCAGCATCTGAAGCATGTCTTAGTAGTGTGCATCCTTTGATGCCTCAGTCTTGCAAGTTTGGTCACCATAGGGCTTATATAGCCACTTGGAATGAACCTGCACCAAAAACAACTTGCTCATTCATCCAGAAAATGTGGGTCAGTTCCAGCATCTGATGTCTGGTAGTGTGCATCTCTTGATGCATCAACCATGCACATTTGGTCACTAGAGTGCTTATAGTTACTTTGGAATGGACTTGCTCATAAAACTTTAACTTGTACGAAACTACCATGAACATGGTGAGTATGGCATAAGCTCATCATGACTCAAAGAGTCAGCTAAAATTGGGTGGTTCCCCATGCAACTTTACATATTTCTTAGGTATAGTGGAGAGAAAATGGATGACTTCAATGCAAATAAAGCTATTGTACATAAACTATTATCTAACAGAAAAATTTTGTATAGTTCTGCCAAAGTCTTTACCTTTTCCTGTTTGGATAATTCAGGGTCCTTCAACAGGTCCTATGATCATGAATGCTAAGAGTAAACTCTTTGTTTCTCAGTTTCAAAATGCTTACAAAATATCTTGTATGACTATATGATATTTCCTTTGAAGGATATGTACTTTTTTAATGATAAATGTGTTTGTTAAAGCCAATGCTAGAAATTTTTATTAATGATCCTGCTCATGCTGTTTAGTATTGGGCATGGAAATGAATTTATGTTGTTATTTGTATTTTGCAGTGGTGATGGTGTTATTTTCGAGGGTGTCATTAAAGGGAGGAGTCGTTTTAGTATTACAGATAATTCCCATTCGAAGGTAAAATCTGTCTATCAATTGTCTAACTCAAGTCAAAATTTGAGTACTGTTATTCGATTTTCATGCAGTTTGTTTGAATGTATTGTTTATTCTTGTAGATATGAATATAGCATGGAATGTTTTTTTTTTTTTTACATGGTTCATAAGTTACATGCAATTCTTCTCTTGTAGTTCCGCTACCACATTCTTCATATTGAGGTACTGAAAGCCCACAAAAGGCAATTTGAGAGCAATGGTCGTGAAATTGAGCCAAATTTCAGTGAGACTCACAAAGTGAGAACAGGCTACCTTAATTCATCATACAGTTAGTGTTTTGTTTATGTTTCTCAATATACTGTCAATTATTATCACAATGATAGAAATGGGAATTCATTCTCTGAGAAAAGTTTGTTTTATTTGGTTGTCATGACATTAGTAGGCTAATTAAGCTTTAATGTTTTTTTTTAAAAATCTAACAATAAGGAAAGTAGATCAGAGATCAAAGTAAGGGAAGGGAAATAAAAATTTATGGAATACATTTATTGTTAAGTATTCATATCGATCTAGGTAGTTTTGGAGTAAAATTGTAGATGATGCAATAATTTTTAGCTCACCTGAGCTGAAAGCTCAAGTGAGCTTTTCTGATCACCCGTTGTCCTTTGTCCATCTGTCCGTCCGTCTGTAAACTTTTCACATTTTTGACTTTTTCTCAAGAACCACTGGGCCAATTTTAACCAAACTTGGTACAAAGCATCCTTGGTGAAGGGGAGTTTAAATTATTAAATTGAAGGGCCAAGTCCCCTTCAAAGGGGAGATAATCAAGAAAATACAAAAATTGGGTGGGGTCATTAAAAAATCTTCTTCTCAAGAACCACTTGGCCAGAAAAGCTGAAACTTATGTGGAAGCATCCTGGGGTAGTGTAGATTGTAAATTGTTAAAATCATGACCCCTGGGGGTAGGGCGGGGCCACAATAGGGAATCCAAGTTTTACATAGAAATATGTAGTAAAAATATTTAAAAATCTTCTTCTCAAGAACCACTGGGTCAGAGAAACTGAAACTTATTTGGAAGCATCCTAGGGTAGTGTAGATTGTAAATTGTTCAAGTCATGACCCCCGGGGTTAGGGCGGGGCCACAATAGGGAATCCAAGTTTTACATTGAAATATGTAGTAAAAATCTTTAAAAATCTTCTTCTCAAGAACCACTGAGCCAGAAAAGCTGAAACTTATGTGGAAGCATCTTGGGGTAGTGTAGATTCTAAATTGTTCAAATCATGACCCCTGGAGGTAGGGCAGGGCCACAATGGGGAATCCAAGTTTTACATTGAAATATGTAGTAAAAATCTTCTTCTTGTCAAGATCCACTGGGCCAGAAAAGCTGAAACTAATGTGGAAACATTCTTGGGTAGTGTAGATTCTAAATTGTTCAAATCATGACCCTCGGGGGTAGGGCGGGACCACAATAAGTACTAGGGTAAGTCAGGGTAATTTCGACCACCGTTTAATTTCGACCACAGGAACACAGCACCACACAAAGATCTACGGTAGTGTTGAGACAAGTTTAATTTATTCGTAATTATAGAAAACTATTCCTCAAATTGTGTGTCCTAGTATAATTATTCATCGCAAATATGGCTTGATCAGAGATATAAATAATATTTTTACTATTATTTATGTTTCCAGTTTGACGCTCGAAGTCTCCGTCTTCAGTGCACTTGATTTGATCAAGGAAATGCAAGAGAGACAACTCATACAACCTCTATTTCAGTTTAACCTTGTTCAGCAGTCTACAGCACGAATTAAATAAAAATTGTTTTATTTTTTCTTGGAATATCTTTAAGTTGCAGAATTTGACAAATTTATCTTGGATTTCTCTCAAAATGCACAAGAAACCTCCATTTGATATTGGTCGAAATTACCCCTACTGATTTTAAGGACGCGGGGTAAATTCGACCACTTATTCTGAAATATGTATAAGTTGTCTTTAACAGCTGTTTAATGCAATGCAGAGTTAGATCTTTAAAAAAATGATTATACTTTATATGTACAATATTATCTACATATAACCTTTTATATTAAAAAAAAAATATGTCAGATTAATTATCATATGCATGCCTGCTATAAATATTGTCCGGGCCATTCACGAGGGTGCATCACTGATCGACGTGCGAGAGAACACGGAGTCGGCACTGGCTTTGAATTAACACATGACGAGAGCAATCCAAAAGTTTTCAAACCCGTCAAATTAACAAAAGAGGGGGTGCAGGCAATATTAAATATAAGTTAAAAAAAAATCAGGTTTTTGTAAATTTTTTTTCATTATTACGAATGCGTAAACTTGGACGGATAAGACTGAGGCTATCGAAAACCAACGAACCAGTCGTATTTAGATCGTATCACACAGTCAAACACAAATCCAAATAGTACCCAAAATATCAGAACAACACACCAAAAGAGCTACAACAATCTTGAAACAAAAAAAACCCCACTATGATGTTATACGAAATAAATGATTTGTTTGAGTTTGTTTTTTGTTCCGGGGGGGGGGGGGGGTTCAGAGGACTTTGCTTCCGTAAATCTTTATTTAATTGACTTGATCGAATTTCTCAGGATCTATCTCTTTTAAGAATGAACAAAACACGTAAAATACGTAATACAACGCATTCCAAATGAATGTGTATGTGGTAAAAATTAGTGAAGAAAAATATACGTAATTCCAATGCTATGCTCAAACCTTATACAGATATATACAATCTGAATGATTCTGTTGTGAAAAGACGATATTAAATAAAATTCCTTTTGGGTTGGACAATTTAAAAATCATAAAGAAATTATTTGTGGAATCTGAGAAAATTTTATCTATTTGCATAAGTATATATCACAATTTTAAAATATAGAGTTGGCGAATTAAAAGCAGAATTTAGAATAAAGAATGAGAATTAAGATGTCTGTAAAACGGTATTGAAAAGCTTAAGTAACCCAACTCATTTCTTAACTGTATGGATATACTAGTACTTACCCATTTTAATCTTTTTATTGAGAGAGATAGAGATAGATACACGTATATTCTAAATAGGGCAATATAGTTTCTCGGACCATAATTTTGAATAAAATGCGACAGGTAGAGTTTACTTTCATTGCAAGAGTTATCTTTCTTTTTGATGTTTGTTGTGGTCGAAATTACCCCAAGTCCGGTCGAAATTAACCCATGCAACATGCTTACCTATTTTTAAACCAATTCATTATTTTTTATGCATTTTAACTACCAAAGCAGAAAAATATGAAGAAAAAAAATCAATGTAATTTATTCCGAATCTTTTTTAAACTAGTACATTTGAAAGCAGTCGTGTTTTGTGGATTGAAAGCCACAAATCAGCAAAAGTGGTCGAAATTACCCCACTCTACCCTACGGGGGGGGGGGGGGGAAACAGCAAGGCCAAAGGTACTCAAGTGAGTGCTGTGGCCCATGGGCCTCTTGTTTTTTTAGTTATGAGATAATAATTTACGTAGAATCACATGGTAATTCTTGCATAAACATCTTTGCTGATCTATATATCTCATGTTCCCAAGTTATTTATTTCGAACATCTTAAATGTTATAAAATAAACAAATATTCTTTGATTTAGTTACTTATTTCATATCAACTTTGATCAGTAGCATGAACAAAAATCTTCATATGATATTAATGATGTTGTTTCAGTCCTCAGGTTATTTTAAACTGTGATGACTTCATTTTCTTCTAATCTTCATTTCCTAATCCCATACTCTGTGTTTTCTTTTACATATCATTGTGGTAATGTTTGATATTTCCCCCCATTAAAGACTGCAACAGTATGTTGTGATTGTCTTCCTGCTAATTCTTCAAAATAAATTCCACTTTTACCTGTCTGTTTCAAAACACACAATAAAATATTTCTTATTTCTAAAAGTATTTATCCTTTTACAGAGGTTGAACCCAAAGGTCAATCAGATAAACTTAGCACTGCTCAGGTCAAGGACATAGTGTGTCACCGTGACCTTATTGACATAACATCCCCAAGGCTACCTGGAGGCTGTTCAGACTGTCTGTCATTCTGGTTAGAAGAGAATGAAACAGAGAAAATAGAACTAGAAGAGGGCGACACAGTCCGAGTGAAAACTTCAGGAAATGGACCATTTATTTGTAAGTTGCATTATAAATAGGGGTCAGAAAGAAAAGAGCTGTCTTTGATTATTTTAGACAAGGAAGATATCACACTGTGTTCATATGTTTTCTTTAGTGATTTCATTTTGGTCTAATTTCTTGAAAAGTAAATATATGAACCTTAGTATCAGTAATTTTCTTCTCACAGACAGTATCGCAAGGATGGAAGCTGAGGCCAGGACAAAGGGGAATTTTGCAGGAGGGGAGAATGTAGGCAGCTCCTGGACAGACAAAATTATGGGGATGAAATCCTCTCAGCCCACTGATACCAACCAGGCAGAGGGGGTAGATGAAGATGAATGGGTAGGAACTTTTTCTGTTGACAGAAATTCATTCAATTTCATTTATTAATTGAAACATTACATGATACTAGTATGTTTCAGTTATTTTAAGGTGTATAATTTGGCCAAAATACATATTTTACTGTTTGTCATTTTTTTAGCTCACCTCAGTTAAGTTGGAAGAGCTTATGTAATACCCTTGGCATTGGTGTCCCAGGTTAAAGTTTACAGAGCAGTTTCCTTTCTAAGCATTTTTATGCCTATATTGATCCTAGTTGCATGGCTGGTGTATCTAGTATATTTGTTGTACCATTTAGGTTTCAGGTGCTGCATTTTCAGCCAATATTTTCCATAAGAATGACAAGGTTAATGTTTTTGAGGCAGCTTAAAGTTCTTGGAGTAGGTTAAAGTTTTTGGAGCAGGTCTCATTCCCAAGTAACTATAAGCCTTACCAGGATCAAACTTGCAGTGCTGATGCATCTAAGGAAGCAAACTATAAGACTTGCTTTGGATGCTGGATCTGACCTGATTTTCTGGATGAGTGAAAAGGTTAAAGATTTTTGAGCAGGTTCATTTTAAAGTAACTACAATGTACATGTATATGTATTGGTGACCAAACTTGAATGTATGATGCATCTATGGATGCATACTACCAGATATGCTTTGGATGCTGGATCTGACCTATATTTTCCAGATGAATTACCAAGTTAAAGGTTTTGTAGCAGGTCCATTCCCAAGTAACTTTAAGCCCTACCTGGACCAAAATTGCATAGAGGATTCATATAGGGATGAATGCTAAATGACTTGCTTCAGATGCTGGATCTGAAATACATTTTCTGGTGAGTGAACAGGTTAAAGTTTTGGGAGCAGATTCATTATTATATAAAACAATATCTGGACCAAACATGCATGGATGAATGCATCTAGGGATGCAACTACCAGATATCTTCAGATGCTGGATCTGACCTACATTTTCCAGTTGAGTGACAAAGTTTAAGTTTTTGGAGCAGGTCTATTCAGAAATAACTATAAGCCTTAGGTGACATAACTTGCATTGCTGATGCATCTAGTGATACACACTACCTACTTGCTTCAAATGCTGGATCCAACCTACATAAACAGGTTAAAGTTTTTGGAACAGGTGCATTACAAAGTAACTTAAAGCCCTATCTGAATCTTGCATGGATGATCATGTAGGAATGAAATCTAACAGACGATTGACCAAAGTTTTTTTTAGGTCACCTGAGTCACTTAGGTGACTTGTTATCTGTTTTCGTCTGTTGTCATGCATTAACATTTGAACATTTTCAGCTTCTTCTTTGGAACCGCTGAACCAATTTCAGCCAATTTTGGCATATATCATCTATATGTAAAGGGGAACAAAAATTATGAATTTGGTGGTCCCCCCCCCCCCCCCCCCCGAGGTCTGAGGAGTGGTTCCAAAACCACCAAAATTAATACAATCTTTAAAAATCTTCTGTACTCCTTGACATTGAGCAGTCAAATTGTTAGCATGATTGTAATAAGCATAGAGTCCTCTACCAAAATTGTGAAATTCATAGTCCCAGGGTCAGGGGTTCTGGTGCTAGGGTGGGGCTATATCGAACATATAGTGAAAGTGCATTATATCTTTGAAAATCTTCTTCTGTGTCCTGGATATTAAACTACCTAAGTACATAGTTATGAAGAGCAAGAGTGCTTCTTCCAAAATTGTGAATTTCATGGCCCCTGGGTCAGGGGTTCTGGTGTTAGGGTGGGGCTCTATTGATTATATAGTGAAAATGCATTAATTCTATGTAAATCTTCTTCTCTGCTCATGGGTATTAAACAGACTAAGTACATAGTTATGGTGAGCAAGAATGCCTCTTCCAACTTCCAAAATTGTGAAATTCATGGCCCCTGGGTCAGGGGTTCTGGTGTTAAGGCGGGGCTCTATTGATTATATAGTGAAAATGCATTAATTCTATGAAAATCTTCTTCTCTGCTCATGTGTATTATACAGACTAACTAAGTACATAGTTATGATGAGCAAGAGTGCCTCTTCCAATATTGTGAAATTCATGGCCCCTGGGTCAGGGGTTCTGGTGTTAGGGCAGGGCTCTATTGATTACATAGTGAAAATGCATCAAGTCTTTGAAAATATTCTCTGATCCTGGGAATTATTTAAACAAATTATGTGCATGGCTATAATAAGCTAGGATGCCTCTTCCAAAATTGTGAAATTCATGGCCCCAGGGTCAGGTTCTGATGAAAGAGGAGGGGGGTTATATAGTGAAAAGGCATAATTTCTTTGAAAATATTCTTTTCTGCTCCTGGCCAAAAGCAAAGAAACAAAGTGTATAGTTATGATCCACAAGAGTGCTTCTTTTAGAATTGTGAGTTTCATGGCCCCTGGGTCAGACGTTCTGGTGTAAGGGTGGGGCTCTATTGATAATATAGTGAAAATGCATTTATTCTTGAGCAGATAAACAAAGTGTTTAGTTATGATGAGCAAGGGTGCTTCTTACAAAATTTTGAAAACTTGTGATCCCAGGGTCAGGGGTTTTTGTGTTTCTATGGGGAGGGGAGCTCTATTGAGTATATTGTGAAAATGTGTTAATTCTTTGAAAATCTTCAACTAAGTACATTGTTACAATGATGAGGGTACCTCTTCCAAATTTGTGATTTTCATGACCCTGGGTCATGGGTTCTAGTGTGTTGGGGTAGGGCTGTATTGAATCTGTAGTGAAAATACATTATTTTTTTGAAAATCTTCTATGCGCCTTGGCATATTGGAGGCAAACATTGTAAAAGTTTTAATAAGCAAGGAAATTTTACCAGATTTTTGAACATCTGGACCATTTGGTCAAGTGTTCTGGTCCTATCCAGGGCTCTATCATCTTCACAATGCCAAGATTTTGTGATATCGTTCCTCTTCACAATCCCTTGATAAATTTCACAAAACCATGACATTGTGAAGATGGGCTCTATTAATTTGTATTCTAGTAAGAGAAGTTATTCCCCTTTGCCATTCAATTTTGATAATTAATCACTGTAAATAATGTATTTGAAAGGATAAGAATACTAGTAAGTGAATTATGCAAGAATTTTTATTGTATAAAACAAAAAGTACTTTTATAGTTTTAATGATCAAGTAGACTTGTAAATAATAGATAAATAAAAATGAGACAAAAATAAATTATCTTATTAACTGTTCTTCAACGACCAACAGAGGCCAATGTGAGAGGTTATGATATGGGGCTAAAAAAAAATAGTACAGAAGTACTACATGTAATAATTTTTTAATAGTCTGCATGGTGATAAGTGATAAAGGGGGGTGGGGGCAGATTTGAACTTACTTATGAGTTGTTACTGAATACTAGACTAATTATTTCTCTGATCCTGATCATCCTATTTCTCTTGCTTTTGGTCAACTAAGCTTCATCTATCAGTTTATTTTATACTCAGAGTCTATGGATCCTCAAAAGTGTTGCATTATACTCATGTGACCATTAAGGCCCTTGGGCCTCTTGGTTTTTTTTTTTTTAAAGAGGTTCATTCCCAAGTTCCTATAAGTCCTATGCTGACCAGACTTGCATGGATGATGCATCCAGGGATGCAGACTAACAGACTTGCTTCACAGGCTGAGTCTAACATTTAATTTCCAGATGATTGAACAGGAAATATTATAGAGCATGTCCATTCCCAAGGAATGAAACATCCTACCTAGACCAAATTTGAGTAATATTGCATCCACATTCCACACTACCCGAACATTTTTGTTTGGGCAAGACTTTGCCTTGCTCAAAGATGAGATTCATTGAGGTGAGCTCTGTTTATCTTTGATTACCTATATTTTAATATCTCCATAACCTTTAAATTTACATACTCTGATTGCCTATTGTAGGATGATTGAACAATTGGGAAAAATTAACTCTCAAGTGATCATCTAACAAGTTCATCAATCTAATGAAGCCAAAGGAACAAAGCAACAGCCACTGCCAAGAAGAAGTTCAAGAACAAATGTATTTTACTGAATAGGAATGTTCATTAATTATTAATTATTTATTATGCCCCCAGATTGAAGTTCGAGGGGCATACTGTTTTTGTCCTGTCAGAAAATCGTTTATTCTATATTACTGTCATAAACATTAACCTCCGTAATAACCTGAAAATGTTTCACGATCTGACCTCTGTACTATGTATTATTTGGGCAACTTGACCCTAATGTTATTTGGGCAAGTTCAAGGACTTGGGCAGAAAAAAAGTGTAAAATATGTTTGGTCCATAATTTGTAATGGAGAAACATTTGAAGTTCCTTCATCATATGAAGATTACAATGTTCTGAAAGTGTGTGTTTGTGTGTCAAGACCTTGACCCAGAGTCATTTGGGCAAGTTCAAGGTCATTGGTAGGAAAGGTTTATAATTAACATCAATTGAGAAATATTGGAAGATGATGCTTGACACATAATTATATATGACCTGAAGATGTTTCAAGATCTGACCCCAATGTTATTTTGGCAAGTGACCCCAGTGTTATTTGGGCAAGTTCAAGGTCTTTGGCAGTGTAAAATAGTGTGAACTATGTACCTATTTGGTCTAGAATTTGTAATGGAGAAACATTTGAAGTTCCTTCTTCACACAAAGATTACTATGATCTAAAAGTTTTTGTTATGACCTTGACCCAAGATCATTAATTCAAGTTCAAGGTTGCTTTCAAAATAAATTATAATTCCTGTACAGTCCATCACTCTCTAATAGAAAAATATTGTCAGTTGATACTTCTCACAAAGATTATTTATGACCAGTGGGTGTGTCATGTCCTTGAACCAAGGTCATTTTGGCAAGTCTAAATCACTTATAAAAATATTTCATTCCTGTCTTTTATCTTGTAATGGACAAACATTAAAAGCTCATTCTTGGCATAGACTAGTCATGAGCTGAGTCTGTGTTAGGACTTTGACCAAAGGTCATTTAAGGTGGTATGGGATACCAAACGAAACTTCTCCTACATATTTATGTACCCAAATTAAAAGGATTTGAAATACCCCCACCTTTCAGTATATTAAAGTGTAATTTTAATAATTTTTTTATTATTTTAATGAGAAATACAAAAACGATTTTTTTTCTTGCATAATTCTTTTTTCATAAGCTTAATATTATAGGCAGGCGCTTGCTAATATAAAGTGTTTATAAAAACAAAAATGACAAGAAATATGTCTTAGTATTTTTTTAATTTTCAACAAAAAATAAGCGTAAAAAACTGGGAAAATTTTATTTCTTGAAAACAGACGGATAACATTTCATGAAAGTCTACAATAAGAATGTATCTTAATATGTTAGCAAAGTGAAATAAACAAATTGAAAATATATATATAAATGGAAAATATAAAATGCATTTAAAATTTTTTGAATTAAAAAATCCGAGCGGAAGAGTTATCCTTCTTTATTTTCCAAGGGTTGAAAAAACCTGGGTGCTATTTTAGAAATGATGAGCATTTTTTCCCAACCATAAAAAAATCGCACTTTGTAGTTTTCAACTTTGAGCGGTTTTGAAAACAATGCATGGACAATCGCTTTCCAGGAGGTGTCTTGTTCAGAGCAATTGCATTCATCTGAACGTTTTGGGACTATATACAATAGCTGGCTGATTTGTGACCAAACACTTACTTCTTGAATTAAATAACAAAAAAGTCCAGCTCTGGTTAACGTGATAATTGATTGGTGATAATTCAGCACAATGTGAAGTAATCGCACTTATCCATGCCTCACCGCACACAAGGTGCTGTACAGTTACTCAAACAATTGAAATACAGCTTTTGCTTAAAAGTGTTCAAAAGCAGCAATGTTGAAACTACCTTTTACAGGGGTTTGCTTTTTTAAATGTCCGTTATACAATTATAAGTAAATTTATATACTTGCGATTTTTTTTGTCTGTTTTTACTTAAAATGCCGACTTGTGAGAACTTGCATTGAAATAGGCTTCAGATTGTTCTTTTCAACGGTGTATCTACAAATTTTGACCCGATAATAAGCACTCATGCAAATCAAAACAATACTTCAAACGGAAATACGTCATAACGTGGAGGTATTCCATACTACCTTAAGCAAGTTCAAGGTCATTAGTAGAAAAAGTTGCGATTTGAATTTGTTCATCATTAAAAATGGACACTTTTCGGGGCACTTGTATTTATCATACACATTTTGTTCATACTGTTACAAGTTCTTAAACAAGTATGTTAAAGTGACATAAATAAAACTGTTTTTTTTTTAATTTATTCCACATTTTATTAATTACAGGAAATTAACTCAAAAGATCAACAATTATCCCATTCATTACACTAGAAATCCCGAATATATATGAAATGTGATACATATATTTATAATGACTAAATGCTTGATGGTCAAAACCAATCCTACAACAAAATAAATGACTTCTAGCAGCACGCCATTGAATCAGTTCAACAGGTGGGACAGTGACATAAAAAATGTCACAACCCAAGAAACTGGCCTTGTGGTTTGGTTATAACACCAGTTACTAAACTCTTTGACCTTATCAAGTTTGAAAAGAGCACATCCAAGAAATGATGGCGAGACTAGATTCACACAGTGTTGATTATTATCAAACTTCATCATAATTGTAATATACTACATACAATCTTAAGCAGCTGTGGTTTTTTTTTTTTGACATATACCGGTATGTTGAATCCCTCTTCACTTCTTGGATTTGACAATAGCAAGCAGACTCTCATGTATATAGTTTTCAGTAGTGAGAATAAATAGAGTGAAGAAACAAAATTCCAACAAAGCTCTCAATAATTCATAAAAAATACATATTCACAAAAGGTGGATGTTTGTTTTACAATGAATTGGTATGATCTAACACCACATAATTTGTTTACATGGTAAGTACTGGTCTAAACAACACTTTTCCAAGTCCAGATTCATCAGCTCCAGTCATTACAGTTGGGTGAACTTTACTAGCAGACATATGATATTTGGATAGTTATATACCTGGCCTTATAACCCACTGGATATAACCTATTTGTACTTTATGTGTCATGGAAGCTTTGACAAATCCAGTTAATATCGGATACAATTTTATACATATAATGCTACTAAAACTAATTTGTCACTAATCATTGAACAGTAGGTCTTCATCTCTTTCCTCTGCTATTAGACTGGTCGGCTCCTCAAGCTTATTCTGGGCTTTCAGAAGAGCTGCTTTTGCATCTGCCTCTGCTCGAATTTTCTTCTTTTTCTCCTGAATTTTCTTCAACCTTAAAAGATAAACTTATAAACTATGTCCAACAAAGTAACTAAGCTACATTGTCTCTGATGATTGAAAAAAAGAATGAAAAATATAGGTAGTCAATGATTACAAAGTCCACCTCAAATGTTATCTTTAAAGTAGGCAAAGTCACACACCAAACAAATGTTCTGGTAGTGTGCATCTCTAGATGCAACATTTATGCAAGTTTGGTCTGGGTGGGATTTTTAGTTATTTAAGACTAGACTTGATCTGAAAAACATTTTCTGAACCAAGTCATCCATGCAAATTTGGTCAGGCTTATAGTAATCTTCAAAAAACTTCTATCTGGTCACTCGTCTAGAAAAGGTAGTTCAGATCCAGAATCAGAAGCAAGCCTGGTAGGTTTCATCCCATCTTCGCTAGCCAAGGGTTTCTGATCTGCTACTCTCCTCACAAACTCTTGGACTGTGGTGCTATCAAAAGTTGGGATTATTTTCTCGAGTTGTGATTGGAGTTTATTGATATCCTTCGATCAATCAGCTGATTGCTTTTGTAAATGACATATCTCCATTCGGGTATAACGTGACTCTATAGTCTCAGGAATGAAAATCAAAGGTTGACAATAATCTGTGAGAAAACGTCATTCTATAAATAGCTAAGGTGTCATACAACAGTGAGCTGATTTGCACACAATGTGATCAGGAATCTATATTGCAGACATAGATTTGCACCCTAAATAACAAATAAACATCACTCGATTGCTGCTTGTATTAAAATCATACTTTAAATTCTTAAATTTTTAAAAACCCTTTTTGTTTCTTCAATGACGCAAGCTGTGCATATGTGGTAAGATTCAAGATCATGTGACGTAAACAATCCTGACTTGATAGCACCACAGGCCAAGGGTTTGTGAGGAGAGTAGGGATCAGAAACCCTTGGCTACTGAAGATGGTTTCATCCCTAAGATGAATCATCCATGCAAGTTTGTCATGGCAGGGCTTATAGTTACTAGGCAATTGACCTGCTCCAAAAACTGAGAGATGTTCAATCATCTGGAAAATGTAGGTCAGATCCAGCATCCTACCCCAAGTCTGGTAGTGTGCATCCCTAGATGCATCATGCAAGCAAGTTTATTCAATATAAGGTTTATACGTGTATACAACTTGGGAATGGATCAACTTGCTTTAAAAACTAAAACCGGTTTAATCTCACAGAAAATGTAGGTCAGATTACAGTATTCGAAGCAATTCTGGTAGTGTGCATCTTAAGATGCATCGTCCATGCAAGCTTAGTCACCAAGAGGCTATACATGTAGTTACTTGGGCTTGAGCCTGCTCAGAAAGACTTTAAACTGGTAACTCATCTAGAAAATGTATTTCAAATCCAACATCCTATGCAAATTCAATAATGTGCATCCCTAGTTGCATCATCCATGCAAATTTAGTCACCAAAGACTTAGTTACTTTGGAATGTACCTGCTCCAAAAACTTAAACCTGGCCACTCATCCAGAGAATGTAGGTCAGATCCGGCATCCTTAGATGTATCATCCAAGCAAGTTTAGTCAACATAGGGCTTATAGCAACTGTGGAATGAAATAGGCTCCAAAAATTTTAACCTGCTTTAAAAAACATTAACCTGGTCATTCTTTGGCTGAAGATGCAGCATCTGAAACCTGATACGATACACACTAGATGCATCATCCATGCATCTCTGATCAATATAGGGCATAGAAGTACTTTAAAAGAAATCTGCTCCAAAACTTTTATCTGGGACACTGATGCTGAGGGTATTACATAAGCTCCCCAAACTTTGTTAGAGTAAGCTTAAATATGCTATAAATAGATGTTGTGCATTTATGTTCTAGTAAAGGATCAATATTTTTCTTTAATGATGTGTTTCCTTTAAATAAAACAGTATATGGACATGTAAAAATGATAGCTTTCCAAGGGAAACAATTTATGTACCTGTAAAATTCCTCTCTTTCCCTTTCATCAAGCTCTGAGGTAATATATGCTAAAGTTCTCTCAATGCGGGGAATGATTACTGAAACATAATGGCAATATTCAGGAGTATTTAAAATACTGATCACAATTTACAGGGGTCCAGGGATCAATGTTGACCCTGTTGAAAATTTACTTCTTATAAATGTCTAACTATTAATTTTAAATGAAAAAAATTCCTTTTTGTTATAATATGAAATCAAGACTCAATCTTACCATGTTCTATAGCATTAACTCTGCGGTTCGTAATCTTTATAACTTCATCTAATGTTACAAAAGATGTCTGCAATGAAGCAAGCTCCACCAGTAACTGAATAGCACGTGCATAGTTCTTCTTCAATCTGTCTATCTGTTGCCCTCCCCGGGAGAGACCAGTTAGTTCATAACCTGTCAAAATCAGTGGATTAATGCTTGAATTTTATAGAAACAGAAAAGATCTTGATATTTATATTACTTCAATGGTTTAAGCCACTCTATCTCTGATTTCAGCTATCTATAGTACTTTTCCTCACCAGTAGTTATATTACTTCTATATTAATTACACAATTGCTTTGTAATATGCTGTGGAAACCTATTTACTTCACCAAGGTAAGTTAAGGGGGTATTAAAGAGCTTGAAAAGGTACAATCAGATTAGGCCTTTAAACCAAACACAGAGCAGAACACAGAAATTTATCCACAATAAATACATGTACATGTACTGTGTTTAATGGTGCCACATCAGTCACCTCCTAACAATTAACCTAGTGGTGATTAGGGCAATGGAGGTATGATCAGTAATGATGGAGGTATAATCAGTAACAAAGGAAGTATCTTCAGTAATAATGGAGATATAATCAGTAATAATGGAAGTATAATCAGTAACGATGGAGGTATAATCAGTAATAATAAAAATATAATCAGTAAGAATGGAGGTATAATCATTAATGATGGAGTTATAATCAGTAATGATGGAGGTATAATCAGTAACGATGGAGGTTAATTGGTAACAATAGAGGTATAACCAGAGATAATGGACATATTATCGGTAAGACTTACTGTCAGATCCATCCTGATAACTTTCAAACACAGGTAACATCACACCTGGAAAATAGCATATCATTCAAAACTCTCTTACATTTGAATGCCCACAAAATTTACAAGTTATAGAACTACAACCCAAAATACATATGAACTTCTTGCTAGAGATATATTGTTTTGATCATTATACCTGCTACATTGTCCTTCTTGGAGCGGACCTTCATCTGAGCTTTGTTGACATTCTGTAGAACCATGTGATTGATGTCTCCTGATGTGAACTTGGCCTCAGCCAGAGAAAATGCTGCTTCCTTCATTACATCTCCCATCAACACTTTTGTCTACAAAATGCAAAATATAAATTGTACCAATATATTAAGTACAAATATTTTACTTCATTAACATGTACTACAAGTTTTACTAGCTTACCTAAGCTAAAAGCTTAGTGAGCTTTTCTTATCTGATTAGATCAAAATGTGTGTGCAACATCCATATTCTAGTTTGCCACATGATTTAGGGGCCATAATAGCAATAAAATATTTACTCAAACAAAGAAATATAGACTTCCACAAGAACAATCATGATATAACTTTACAATGAAGCCTCATGATATTGTAAACTAATCATGGACTTTATGTTGATAGCCACAAAAAGGTCTAATCTACATATTCATATGTATGAAGGGGAAAGGTAACTCACTTAACACACTGTGCTTCGTGTACCTTTTGTTATAATGTATCTAACTCTACTGTTCATCAACTATCTTGTGTGTGAGTCTTATGAATGTTTTCATACCTCTATGATCTTTTTAAGGATAGCTCTAAATCTCATGGTAAGAGCATCAGCTTTCTTCTTTAACAAACTATGGCCCTTCTGAGCTCCCTTTAGTCTTCCCTTCATAATGGCCATGGCCCTGTGAACAACAACAGGTACATATTATTCATTTATTGTAGTGTCACACCATCTTCATGTTCTACATACAGTATAGTTTCACAAATTAAACATCTGCACTAACTTCACACGGTTAAAACGTTGAACAAACAATACTCAAACATTTGCTTATGTGGTACCTTTCTTACATGTCAAAAATAAACATAAAAAGTCAGTAAATTCACTTCAATCTAAAATAAATGTACAAATATTGGATAAGGGTGATTCTTTGAAATACAACCTGGAACTCCGAAGTAACAAACGTAAATGGAATATGAACATGATGAACAGCATAAACATTTAACAAAGTAACAATCAACAACTTTTAGTTATAGTCTCTTGTCTGACTTTATAAGCATTAGTATTTGTTTCATATTATTTAATACTACTATAAATTGCATAGAAAAATAAATTTATGATTACATTCGTGAAGGGAAGATGTTTATTCTGTCACCAGCTCCCGACATTTTTTCTGCTCCAAGATTTTGGTCACATGTCAATATCACGTGATTTTACAGGAAGTGGAACTAAAATTCGAAGGAATCTGTAAGCAAATTTTAATTCCGCAATAACAATGTAATAACCATATATGTATGTTTTGTGCAGGTTTAAAGGACTTTTTTAAGATAGAGAGGATGTAAAAGGTGCTGATATTGCAAGGGGGCTTATCCCCAAACTTTTTTGAAGAGGGGGGTTTACTAATTATTAGTCCACCTAAATATAAGGAGATAAGCAATACCTGACAAATCAAATCTATCCCCCCTCCCCTAAAATTGCTAAATTTCTATGAAGGGAAAGGAAGTGGTTACAACGAAATCAAGAGTGAACCCATGAGTTTTTTCCCGAAATGTTTCTGAAATAATTTTTTTGCATAATAATAATATTATACTGTAGGTTACTTAGCTGCAGAACCATGTGTAGCGTTATAGTTTTACATTAGTATTTGACCATAACGCTACAGATCCCGTAATGCAAATATGGTGCAATATTTACGGCGCAAGATTTTCTGCGCACTTTGGGGATGTATTTCGCCACTTTCCTGCATTGGTCAATCAATTCATTCCCTAATTCTAGACATATTCTATAACCAATATGTATATTTTATCCACCACTTAACCCTTTCTCTACATGCAGACCTATAAACTCGCTTGTTGTGAATTTTATGCCATCTGACAACAAATTCACATATTCTGCAGCTAAGATTCTGTGTGAGAGGAGTTGGCCACGATTCGAATCCCCTCCCCCTCTATGGTTCATGTGGGCGGGTGCTTGATCATTTTATCCCGGTAATATTGTGAAATTTTATTTTGAAGAGATTTTAAGTTCATCTTATCTTTAAATATTCTGAAATACTTTTAAAGTACGCATATGCTACTTTATGGCCAAGGTTGAAGTTTTTCAAAAGTAGGTCAAAGTCCAAGGTCAAGGGCAAAATTGTTGGTACCCAAGGGAAGATCTTGTCACAAGGAATACACGTTTGAAGTATGAATTAAAGCCCTCTCACCAACCGTTCAGAAGTTCTATATGGCCAAGGTTAAAGTTTGGTAAAATTTTGAAAAAGAGGGTCAAACTCCAAGGTCAAGAGGTCAAATACGTTGGTACCCAAAGAAAGGTCTTATATGAAAGTCAAAGCTATAGTGAAATACCTGGCGATAACGAACAGTATTCGAGTTCAAAAGTCCATTAAACATTACAAAATAGGAGCAGAGCAATCACGGACTTCTAAGACATCAGAGGTGGGATCAGGTGCCACGGAGGAGTGAGCATCCCCTGCCGATCGGTCACACCAGCCGTGTGCTCCTTGTCATGATTGGGAATTAAATAACGGAAAAATCCGTCGACAATTCAGTGTGTAAATAATGGCCTAACAATTAGTATGAAAAAAGTCAGTCAGCATTTGACGTAATGAAAGATTGTATTTGCTGACAAGGTCATTGTATCGACCATAGAACTTACGAACTTATAGCCAATCAAAAGTAATGGCCAAGGTTTAAAGTTTTTGCAGACAAACAAACAGACAGACAGACGGAACGGACGGACAGAGCAAAAACTATATGCCCTCGAATCTTAGTTTATTTGTTCTCTGAAACATTCTACGGTTTCTTTTTAAAAAGGCAATGTGAAGCATAACATTCCGTTTTAGTTTGTGTTTTAATCTAAGGACACGATTTCTATAGTTAAAAAAAATGTTAAGAATTTGTCGTGTACCTATCACCACATCCAACGATACTAACTGACACTTTCCCAAGTCTTGCCTTCTAGCACATCTGTATTGTGTTACTACGCGCTCAATGACGTTTACAATTTGACAGCATCTATGGCAAGTATACGACTTAACTCACTATACCCGTTAAATAATGTCCATTACATTGTTAATTAAAATTTATCAGTAACTTTGATCTCGCGGTCAGAAACCAAATTTGCATTATACATGTATATAAATCAAAAGCTTGCTTGGTCAGAGAGTATCTCTGTAGCAAGCAAGAGTCTAAGAGACAAACCAGTTTTTTGTCAATCATGTCTAAAACATTTTTACATTCAAAATTATTGCCTTTGACCTCGACCCATTGATTTTTAAAATCAAGCTTCTTTCTATAACTTCTTTCTACCAAGTATGAGGCTGACAAAAGAATGGCAGTCGTTTGATTATCTCAACACCATTAAATACATTTTCACTAACCTGACCTTGACCTTTGAACCCTATGCCCTATAAGCAGGTACGAAACCATATACATGTATAAGTATGTATGTATTGTCAGGCCGTGGATAAATAAAAAGCTTTTTGTGTTTTTGCAATATGAGGATAAAGATCAAGCTAGTGACACAGACAATAAAAATGCAACAAAACATTGATCATTTTATACATTGAGATACAAACACTGAATGGACTTAGATATTTGGCCTTCATATAGATGTACGAAAGCTCCCTTCAGAAGGTAAGTCGATCTAACAGAGCATGAAAACTAGGTTTTCTCTGTGTGTTAATGGCCTCATTAATACCTGTTATTATCCTGTCAGAGTCTACAAACGACCCTTGACTTACTAACGAGAGCCTGATGGTTAATAAGAACAATCGCTCTGATTTATGTGCAGTTTGTTTTGAGAAATTTCACCTCTGTAGTTCTTATCTCCTTTTGAAATTCACGCAGCACTTTGATAGACATGCGATATATAAACTATATTTTTCTTTTTAATCTCTTTTTTAGTCTTTTAAATACAAAGGAAATAAAAGCAAAAAAAATCTATTGTGAATAACACATTTGTTGTATTTAAATAGTCAAAATAACACTAACGCTTTCATGTGATAACCATTCACAATAGCCTGGTCCTTTACAGACGCCCATCAAGGGAATGCTGACCATTGGATGGCCGGCGGACTATGGCGCTCTGACAACTTGCCGCGGAACACCCAGGATCCACTAATTATCCTTAAACTGCCTCCAGAGATGAAGCGCGCCTCTGTAGCACACACACGTGTAATAAGTCAGATGTGAACGTGTCAATATGAACACAACTATACATGTAAGTTTATGTCAAAATTAACATAATTATACACTGAAATAAGTGAGACAGCTGTTAGGGATTTTCACGGATTGTTTCCCTCTGGTGAAAGGACAAACCTGTTTGATTTAGAATCCGAGTTCTTATCGCAGAAAATAATGACCACTGCATGCATATTGTTTATTGATTGCCATTCAAGTCGTATTTTGTGTGGAAAATGTTGCAGAGATCTTCACTCCTATGTGAATGTCTTATGCTAACCGCTCCGATAACTATTGAGAGACAGTAAGTGTAATTTATTGGTTTGATATATCAGCAAAACTTTTGAATCTGGTCGCAAACACTGGAACGCTAATAGGAAATTTTTTTTTCACTGGAGATGCAGCATGCATATAACTTTCATTTGGGCGATGGGACGTCTCTACCTCGGATGAAAGTGTTGTAAGTCATCTGGGTTTTGGGAACATGGAACACTGCTATCCTTGAAGTTACCAAGGAGATAATGAAAGGAATATAATTAATTTTTTCTATCGCGAAATTTGTATAGGCTTGGAGAGAAGAATGCGCATGGTATCTTGCTGATTATGCCAGTGTAATCCTCACTCTAGAAGAAATTTGCGCAATGGGATTCTCTTGGTTTTGTGCTTGTTAGTGTGATTATAAATGTTGATTCTGAAATTTAAATCTGTTAAGATTTTTTTAACATAAACCTACATTTTTATTGAATACGTTTCAATGGATATATGTCCATATGACAATGTGGAATTTCCGGTCCAGCGACAGGGTGGAATCGATTCTTGGGAGGGTGTGTCAGGTTATTCCGGCCTCCAGCCCAAGTCCTACAACCAGACAGTAATGAGGGACAAAGTGACATCCTCCCTCGCCCCTGTGTTCGAGAACGATGATGGATCCGCCGAAGAAAATTCGGAAATTCCTAAAGTTGAGGACCAAAGACAACAGATAACTGTTACTACAGCTTCAGTTCCCGTTAACAAAAAGGTGAGTCGACAATCGGAATTCTTTGGGATTTCAATTTGTACGCCATTCGACGTACATGTACAAATAGACCAGATTATGGTTAAATGTAGATGGTTTATGCGGCAATAGAAAAACTCGCTTTAGTCCTGAGGATTATAAAAAACGAGACACTGAGCTAGGGTGCGTTTATTTATTTTTCCTTTTAATTAAAATGATCCTATATTTTCTCTTTTTAAAAAGTCTACCTTTTTGTGAATATAACCCCAATATCGAATGTAAGAATATATTGTTCCCCGTTGAATTCTAGTCCAATACCTACCGTCTCTCCGCAAAGATTTCTACATCCAAATCGGATTAATCATTATTCTCCACAATACTTATACACGCATTTAGAAAATATCCTCTCTCTCTCTCTCTCTGTGGTATTTCTTCTTTTAATTCCATTTTTTGTACTTTTTTTAATGTAAATGTATAAACGCTTTATATAACGTAAATGTATTTAAAGTAAACTTTCGCATATACATGTATTTAATTAATTGACATAGCTGACGAAAAGCAATATGGAGTGCATTTAATTTGTAAGAATATATCCCACTCACAGACTGCAGTTCCATGTCTTACAATCTTATAGAAGCTGCAATTTTGCAATATTTTTTGTATCACTTGTTTACATTATATGTAAGAGAAGTAATTCTTCAGTGTGTAAGTAAACTGTAAAGACGGCTGAACATGGTGATGTAATAAAATCCCACAGATCGAGTAGCATACAAGTAAATATATGTTATCAGGATTACATCAAAATAGGTATGCTGAAAAAATTCAGGAATAAGCGTAAAGAGAAAAAGTTTAGGGATCAACAGATTTTTTAGATGAATGATGACGAATTGCTACCAGAAAATATCTCTTCTATTGGAAAAGAAAATATGAATTATGTATATAGTGAATAATTTAGGACCTGTGAAAATCTTATGAAAATCTTATGTTCACAATATTGTAAATGAGAAAGAGAAAATCGTAGTGCCCCTCCACCGCCCCGTCGAGGTCATTAATTAGACGTTTTGGGGTTCATCTGATCTGACCCTCGAAAAATAAACAAACGTAAATGAGCTATAGGAAGATACGTTTACCGTAGGCTATTTTTGTATTAATAGATTTTGCTGTTAATTGATTCAGGTTATTGTAATACACATGTAATTGTCCTACACACAGGAATCTGATTATGCTCATCTCTCCCTAATATCAGACGGAGGTCGGATTGGCACCGCGCCAGCGATGTCTTGGAGAGCATTATGAACTTTCAGAGGAGAAAGCATATGTTTTCACAGACAATAGGATCAAGATATGACAGAGATAGAACATGCAGCCCAAACAATCATGCGTGGGAAGGTTCAAGTTGTTTTTGGTGCTAAATGCTGTTCACTTGGCACCCAAAGACATCGAATTGATAAAACAATAAAGCACCTGTCAAAAATCGGAAGCACTGGGGCAATTGTCTCTCTGAATCTTCTGACAGGATACGGAAGCAGGATCTTAAATTCATGCACAACTGAGTCACAATACTGTAACCGAGTGCTTGGTGCCAGATACAAACAATATTGTACACGTGGAGTACTCACACCTATGATACTTTCTTTAAGTCGAGTCTCATATTTTATCAAAACATTAGTACACACTATGATTTATTATGTCTTTTTCATACTAAATTTTGCAATTGTGTCCCCATCGGGTTAACGTTTAATAAATTAAAAATTGAAGCAATATGGAAATATGTTTAAAATGATGAAAACGGAACTGTATATGACAGTAATTTGGCAGAGAAACAAACGGTTGTGTCGAAAAGTTAAATGTCAGTCTTTTCCCCACTTCTATCACTTACAGAGAGTACTTTGAATGCTGCAAACATGAATTAAGGTGGGTCTACGACTAGTCAAGTTTTCATCGGCTTTGGAGCTTGTAGATTACTAAGAACACGTGCAACATTTGTTCATTCTTCAGGAACCCTTAAGTAATTGCATCACATCTTTTAATGCTGGAATGCCGCATTCTGCTAAGAAAATAAATCTGCTTGTGTGTGCATTAATATATTATTTTTATGCCATTACAGGAAACAGCAGTGAGTTTCAACAAAGGCGTGCATGTAGTAAACAATTCCAACCAGGCAAACAACCATAAACCACAGCCCATCGTAAAAACCACACCCAAACCACCACCGTCACCCTCCCTAAGTTCAATGGCCAAGGACACAAAGACTGTTGTCATCGAGCAACCAAGATCCATAGCAACGGCCTTCACCCGAGTTGATTTTAACCCGAGGTCACAAGAAGTATTGGAAACGGCATACACACGCCACAAACATTTCTACAAACTAAATGAGACAATTTTGGACCAAGTCAACGACATGAAAGAAAATGTTTGGGACGTGAAAGGCAGACCGGGAGAAATGTTGACATACGAACAATTGATTCAAGGTATTTGGGAAAATTTGAAAACCTAGTTGTACATTTGTCACATTAACATTTTGAAAATTATCAGCTTAAATATCCGTAACACTCTACAGGTAGGTCGCCAGAGGTAAGATTAAACTGATAGAATTTTAACCTATACAAGCTAAGGCTATCATCAAGTTTCTGAAAAGGGGATGCAACAGGGTCTCGGCCTCTCGGAGGAGTAATCCCCCCCCCCCAGAACATTTTGTATTAAATAAAAAACTTAGCAGCGGTACTTAAAACGAGTTATGGGTTATGAATTTCTTTTGTTTCAAACTTATTTCTTTAAGGGGGGGGGGTCGAACTCAACGTACCCCACCCCCTTCCGACGGCCTTGCAAGCATCACCGATTTTTTGTTTCTTTAAATGCAAAGCTCTTTTGCTTAACTTGTCGTAATTGTCTCTAAGGTGTCCATTCAGGGATTGAGGAAAAAATTTTTTCTTCATTTAACATATTTTAGCATAGCGTTGCTCCTAAACTCGAAGTATGCAAAATCACAGCAATTTCAAAGTCTATCTTGACGCTCTTTAATGTCACTTTGCTCTAATATCCTCCCACAAATTTTTATTACAATATAAAATTTGGTGTTATGACTATTTAATTATAATTTGTGGGAGGACACTAGCGTAGTTTTGTAAACTTTATTTAGAATAATCTAACTGTGTCTCGGGACAGATCCTCGCCACAGATCCGCAGGACATTTATCATTTTAACGATAGAACATTCAGTCTATGTAAACTTAATTCAAAGACTCTGATTAGAACTTAGAACATAATTGTAATTTAAATTTTCCTTACAAACTGTAAGTAATTATAATCTTGCCAGGAAATATATTTCCGCGTTTGAATTAAGCTAAAAAAAGGCTAAAGCCTAGTCAAACTTGAAAGGAGGGTGTGTGTGTGTGAGGGGGTGTGTGTGTGTGTGTAGATGTCTAAAGGAAGGGGGGGGGGGGGTCGTTCAACAATCCTACTTAATTCTACGTGTAATTACTAGTTATTTCATACAAATATCCTTGTGCCCCTCCTCCTCCATCCCCCTCCTGATATTTACATTGCTTTGATGCACGGTATTTGTTGAATCTGTGCACGTGATTAACTATAAAACCATTCTGGTCACATTCATCTAGTACAACTCCTGTATTGTGTGCATAACGTCATCAGAAAGAGAGTATATCTAATAGAAGAAAATCCTCGTTCGCAGAAGACTACAATATTTCAGAATTTTCTTTTTTAATAATCCTGTTGTAAATATACATACATTTTTTATTGTATTTTTTTATTATTCCTAATAGCAATCAGACGGACTGCGGTGAAGATGTAACATATTGAGAGGCTCGGGTAAATTAACTTCTGATAAAATGAAAAATGACACTTGCACAAAAAATTTCAGCTAGTTGTTTACTAGTACTGTATTCATTTTCAAACGGAATCTGATGAATCAAAAAAAGAACTATAAAGTAAAAAGTTACAACCAAACAAGATATAGCACCACTTTTGCAACAAAGCTCATTTGGATCTGAAATGCAAACTGCAGAATTTACGAAAAAGATTTAAGTACTAGCAAAAGGTCGAAACAATGTATACTTCTGACTCCCCTTTGTGATTTTTCTCCTTTCCCAGAATTGTAATGTACGTGTTGTTACTTTTTTACCCCTCTCCCTTCCGTCCGGTAGAAATTCTATTGTATCCATCTTTCGTTTATTATGTGACTTTTTGGTGCAACGTACTCTGGGGCCCATATGTATATTTTACAGATAACTAAAAGATAATTTATATTCTGAGTTAAAATATCAAGTTGCACCTCTAACACCGTTGGTGGCAAATTTCTGTCACCGCTTGTCAGATGTTTAAGTAGACTTATCCGATGGTTTTGTTGACTTGTCACTTATATATTCATGTGTGTAGAAATTCAACATGTAACATGTCCAGTTTGTGCCACCCAGTTGACAATATATTTTTCTGTTAAGTCGACAAAAGGATCTGACAAGTCTACATAACTTTCTAGTAAGTCTTCATAATCATCTTACAAGTCGCGATCGACATTAATATATCTGACAAGTCGACTTGAATCTGAAAAGTCGACAACAGATCTGACAAGTCAACATAAATTTCTGACAAGTCGACAGAAACCAAACAAATCAACATCATTATCTGATAAGTCGACATAACATCTAACAAGTCGACTTCAGAAAATGATGTGGACTTTATGTCAGATAATTATTACGACTTGCCAGAGAACTATATTGACTTGTCGTGAAATTGTGTCTATTTGTCATAAAATTAAGTCTACTCGTCAAAAAATTATGTCACTTTGTTAGATCTTGGACATTATGTCGACTTGTCAGTTAATGGCATTGAAGTTCTTTGATAACAAGATACTGAGTTCCTTCCTGATGATTTTACAGACAAGTCGACATGTAAACGCGTCTGACAAGTTGACATAAATATCTGACAAGTGCATGGTAGAAATATTCCACCATAAATACCTATTCACAGCGAAGATGTCAGTGATTGACGAAACGTTTCATGGGTTTAAGTAAAATATTAGAAGATTGACTATAAGGGAACGCATGGCTCTTAATTTACTCGTGTTAGATTTACTGTGATGACAAAAAGAAGAAAAAAAGAAAAGAGAGGAAAACTTTTAAAATCGAGTTGCAACATTTATTTCACACCTTCGATCATGCATATTTGTTTTCCATTAGGTATGTTGGAGGAGGGGGAGATGCTCGTGCTGGGAGGGTCGTGGCTTTACTATAATAACATCGACTTTCTTGACGCCGAGGGTAAAACATCCGTGAAACCCTCCATTGGAAAAGGGCGACTCTGTCTGACCAATCAACGCCTGCTTATACTTGCAGCCGAAAACGTGTTGGGTAGGCTTCAAATACGATTAAACCTCCACACATATTATTTATGTAGGGTGTAATGATAGCATGTATGCTTTTCCAGCGATTTTCAACCTAGAAGGTGTAAATTCTTAAGTCTGAAACTTGAGAACAAAGTTCATAAATCTGTTTGAAACATCAAGCATTGGACCATCTATTTCTAGTATATTAACTAACTCATTTCATCCTTTCAGACGCAAATTTAGCTGAATACGGTGATCCCACACGAACAGACGGTGGATATAAAATTCAAGTTTCCAAATATAACAGTGTCTATATTCAGAACCTGCCACTGGCAAGTATCCAGGGTGTGGAACTTTCGGTTAGTATCGGAACTGCCGAGGAGAGCCGAGTATCCATCAGGAACCCTATCTGTGATGGACTGTGTGCATGCTTTGGAGTAAGTTTTTAGCTCACCTGAGCTGAAAGCTCAAGTGAGCTTTTCTGATCACCTGTTGTCCGTCGTCCGTCCGTCTGTCCGTCCGTCTGTAAACTTTTCACATTTTCAACTTCTTCTCAAGAACCACTGGGCCAATTTTAACCAAACTTGGTACAAAGTATCCCTGGGTGAAGGGGAGTTTAAATTGTTAAGAAAAAGGGCCAAGTCCCCTTACAAGGGGAGATAATCAAGAAAAGACAAAAATAGGGTGGGGTCATTAAAAAATCTTCTTCTCAAGAACCACTTGGCCAGAAAAGCTGAAACTTATGTGGAAGCATCCTGGGGTAGTGTAGGTTCTAAATTGTAAAAACCATGACCCCCAGGGGTAGGGCGGGGCCACAATAGGGAATCCAAGTTTTACATTGAAATATATAGGAAAAATCTTGAAAAATCTTCTTCTCAAGAACCACTGGACCAGAAAAGCTGAAACTTATGTGGAAGCATCCTTGGGTAGTGTAGATTCTAAATTGTTAAAATCATGACCCCCGGGGGTAGGGTGGGGCCACAATAGGGAATCCAAGTTTTACATTGAAATATACAGGAAAAATCTTGAAAAATCTTCTTCTCAAGAACCACTGGGCCAGAAAAGCTGAAACTTATTTGGAAGCATCCTTGGGTAGTGTAGATTCTAAATTGTTCAAATCATGACCCCCGGGGGTAGGGCGGGGCCACAATAGGGAATCCAAGTTTTACATTGAAATATATAGGAAAAATCTTGAAAAATCTTCTTCTCAAGAACTGGGCCAGAAAAGCTGAAACTTATGTGGAAGCATCCTTGGGTAGTGTAGATTCTAAATTGTTAAAATCATGACCCCGGGGGGTAGGGCGGGGCCACAATAGGGAATCCAAGTTTTACATTGAAATATATAGGAAAAATCTTGAAAAATCTTCTTCTCAAGAACCACTGGGCCAGAAAAGCTGTGGCGGGGCCACAATAGGTATTACAAGGAGGGGGGGGGGGGATCTGGTAAAGAACAGCATGGCCAAAGTTACTCAGGTGAGCGATGTGGCCCATGGGCCTCTTGTTGAAGATTGTTTCATTAGAAATTTGAATATAGTAACAGATGATATAATTTTAAGAATTAGGAAAAATTCACAGATAGTTTGGACTTTCGGGTATTGCTTCGGAACATCAAGATGAAGTAAATCTGACCTAGTTGTCCTAGAAAACACAGTAATCTCCATTAAATGCGACCTTTTAAGTACTTAACACTTTGATCTTTGATGCAAAATACGCAGCATACTTCACATTTTGATTGGAATATGTCACTGCTTAAGGCAGTCCAAACTTTCTATGAATTTGTAAAATTGGATAAGTTTGATACTTGTTTACGAATTTCTGCTCACTTTTCCCCATCTTAAATTACAGATCGGACGGTGTGCAACCACATGGAGAACCTCAGATCCGCTCCCTGTTTTAATAAACAAGCGTGTCTTAACACTGGGTGTAAAAATGCCGCCCTGGCTGACCAAGACTTTAATTGTTATTCACTTGAATCAAGACATGCCTCTGAATATGGCTAGAGACTTTGTTGCCAAACTCCACCACCACGCTCCTCTGTACAATGAACGTGCACAGGGTTACACCAGTGTGTGACGTGTGTTTTATGCCATTGTAATTTTTGTATTTTGTAAATTAATGTAATTATAAATTAAACTTAATTTTCGGTGTTTTAAAATTATACTGCTTTACACAATGTACTCTACACAATGTATTGCTATCTCCAAGCAGTGAACAATGACGAAGCTGTCTGATAATCATGACCAAAGAAGTACATTGCCTGTGGAATATGAAGATAACGAACGGTATTCAATCTCGAAAGTCCAATGAAACGATACAAATTTGATGCAGAGCAAACATGGACCTCAAAATTTAGAGGTGAGATCAGGTACCATGGAGGAGTGAGCATTCCCTGCCCACCGGTCACACCCGCCGTGTGCTCATTGTCATGATCGAAGGAAAAAGCGGAAAAATCCGTAAACAGTTCAGTGTATAAATAATGGCCTAACAATTAGTATAAAAAACGTCAGTCAGCATTTGACTCAATGATAAGTTGTATGTGCTGACAAGGTCATTGTATCGACTGTTAAACTTGGGAAAAGATGACTTCAAACGAGACTGTTGATGTCCTTGTTTCATCAACTAGTTTGTCAAAAGCTTGCCTTGGTTTAGAAATTGTTCATACGTAGAGCATGCTCTTGCGTATCGAATCAACTGAGAGACGTAAACCTCATATGCAAGTGATAAGGCTATATTGCTACATAAGTATATAAGGGAAGTTGGCGATTGAAAAGTTGAAGTCATCACGTTTATCATAATGCTTTGTTGTTAGGTTACAATTAACGTTCTTTTCTAGTAAAATATCTAAATATGAAACAGATGTGTCAGAATCTGTGGACGCCAGACAAGAAGTGATCAGAAAGCTCGCTTGAGCTTTCATCTCAGGTGAGCTAAAAAGTGAGCTAACTTAAATGTTATTGCCCCGGAAATGGGACAAAGTACTGACTTAATTGTTTACTAAAATGTAGTGCAATTCAATCAGCTAAATGAAACTTTCTTCTTTGTATTCCATAAAGTTACAACTTGGGTTCATTCAACATGCTCAATGTGTAGCTGTAGAACTCACAGGCGCCTGAAGTGTGGATCGATAGACCCCCCCCCCCCCTTAATAAAAAAAAAAATGTAAGAGATTATAATTTCTCAAAAATATAAAATTTCCGCATCAATCACATCCATATGTCGTTTTATGCAAGCAGATTATACTTTTTCTTACGTTAAGAGAATGGCCTTGTACGGTACAATAAAAAGTGTATTTTTATTATAGCGCACAAGGCCATTCTCTAAACGTAAGAAAAAGTATAATCTGCTTGCATAGAACGACATATGGATGTGAATGATGGGGGAAATTTTATACTTTTGAGAATTTATAAGCTCTTCCATTTTATTTTTTTTTAAGAAGGGGGGGGGGGGGGCTATCGATCCACACTTCAGGCGCCTGTGGTAGAACTGTGACTCTCTGGTCAACAAAATTCGAACAGGCAATTAACCAGAGATTTGTCTGTTTGAATTTTCTCAATCAGAGAGCTACAGTTCTGCAGCTAAATTGTCTGTCCGAATTTTCTCAACCAGAGAGCTACATGCAGAATGTGGTGCCAAAATTTGGTGGAAGGGAAAATTGTAGGTGAAGTCTTTAAAAGCTGGCAAATTATGCATAAATTGTATTAGACTGTTTTTTTTAAAGAATTAATTAGATAACTTGTAGTCATTGAATTCCATATTTTATAATGTGTCAGTTCAACAGATGTATGTTACTAGAATAAAATCAATTTTCAAGAAATTTTTTCCACTTTATTACACTGACAAATACACAGTTTTGCAGCTATTGCATTAACTTGAAAAATAATTCAGGCTTCTCATGTTTACCCACTTGAAATAGCAAATGTCTGAACTACACAACTGTTGATGCTGAGATTTCAAGAAACTGCTATCTCAGACAATTACCAAGGATGCTTAGTATTAAACATCATATAGCTTTTAGAATTAAACCATGCTCATGTCAGAGAAAAAGAAAACTTTGAGGAAAAAGTTTTTATTTTAATCCATTCAAAATCTGAACACAGCTTTAATGTCACCACAACAAAGTGACAAATGGGAGAGTCACCAAAGTACATTGTATCACAATAAATCATTATAATTATATGATAACAAAAAAATATATATCCCTTATCATCATGTTTGAAGGAAAAATAAAAATCTACAAATAATGAACAGTTTGTAGATGAAGGGAGACAATGTTGTGGAATTAGTCAACATCAAGATCAAACATAATGGCATTGGAGAAGTCAAAAGCACACCTAGTAGTGTGATCCTGAGTGGTCAGGTCAGTGACATTAGGGGCCTTAGACTGGGTCAGGGGAACAGGGTCAGCTTTGGATGTCTCCTCCCAGCTGAGTGACGTCTCTATCTTGTCCCCTGACTTCTCAGAGGAATCTCCTGGCCCCTCCAGTCCACTCTCTACACCGGAGTCTTCACCACTCTGCTTGGCAGATAACTTGGATGATTTATCTAGCTGCTCTGTGAATTTTGATTGCTTAGAATTACCAATCTCAGTTGGATTAGTCCTATAATCTAGTGGTTTGTCTTTGACTATCACATGAACTTCCTCTTCATTCGTTCCATTCACATCTTTCTCTTCAATTTCACCATCATCATCATCACTATAACCGCAGTGCTCTGACTTTGCCATTGACAATTTCTCCTTGATATTTTTCACTAGCTTGCTTTCAACACTCTCCATGGCAATGTTAGACGTCTCTAATACATCAGAGCTAATTTTATCATCATCTCCAGTTTCTTTTTCACTGCTCCTTCCTTCTAAAACGTCCTCCTGAGACTTGACTTGAGCCTTGTATGAATCTGGATCATTTCCTGTCCCAGCCTCCTCCTGGATACCAACTTCCTGTTTATCACTGTTGGGGGTATTTTCTTCATCCTCTTCTACAAATTGCCTTGGTTCCAATTCCTCTCCACTAGATGTACCCTCTATAAAAACAAAATGCTTCAACATAATAAATCAAACAAAACAAATTAAATTTCAATAATCCATAATCAAAATATGAGTCACAAGTCAATCTTAACTTGTCTACCATAAAAATATTCACATCAATTAGGATACAAGCAGTCCATTTATTTAAAATGTTAGATGTTTGAAAAATGACCGTTTAAACAGTACAAACATATCTGATATTTTACAAACCTGAGCCCCCACTGTTCAGACGCTGACGGCCACTTTTCTTTTCATCTCTTTTCCTGTTTCTGCGACGTTTGCTCTTCAGAGCTGTAGTCATGGAAGTGACAGATGCTCCTGAGCGGAATGTAGTCTGATCTATACGGTCATTAAACTTGACCGATTTCTTGAATCCAAACAGGTCCTCTCGTGGACTGCTTGGACTGCAGCTGCTATTGGAGCTTGTCAAATCCTCACTGGACTCTGACACTGTACGTTGCTTTAAAATTCCCTGCAGATTACAGACTTCTCGATCATGAACAACCTGTTATAAATATATCATAATGTGAAGATATATAAAACTGTTGGTAGAAACTGAAGAAATCAGAATTTAAAGATATTCATATTTGCTTGCTCCATAATGTTACCTGTAATTAAAATTCACATATACATGAATCTTTACTTAGGATCCCCTATGAATCAGTGCATGTCACTTTTGTTACTTCTTGGTGAGAAAGTGTGTTCAATTGTTGTAATGCTACCTGAATATCTGCTGATGGTGGACCGTTGTCTACAGAAGCCAACTCTTCTTCCTCAGAATCAGTCAGAGGGGTAACAGTCCTCGAGCCTGATGATGATGTCTGGTTTGCTTTCACATGTTGCTGCTTGTTCTTCTGGAAAACGAAAACCATCTTGGATGTTAAAAGTGAAATGCACCTTGTAAAATGCCCCATTGAGAGTCATCTAGTACATCAGTATTTTTTTTATCAATTATTATCTTAAACCATGTAAACTAGATCTGTCAGTTAAGTTTTGGTATGTTGTACTTCTAGAAGAACGTCATTTTCATTGCTTTAATGCATTACCTTGACCTTTATTGCCAGTTTCTTTTTATTCATTTCAGTCACAACAACAGAGGTTGTATTTTCTGATTCTGGTGTAACTTGTTCTGTTTCTGCAGTCAACTGATTGAGCTCTGTCAGAAGGTTCTTCTCTGTCACAAACAAGTACTCCTGAAATGAAAGTATAACCATAAACAGTTCAACAGTCTAGACGAACTCCAAAAATAGCGTTAACTCCGAAAACGAAGTCTTTGGCTCCATCATGCATTGCAGCAAAATGGCGTCCGATGTAAACAAACGATGGATTGTCGTTCGCTTTCTCCAAATATACGGCTGCGTAATTGTGTATTTAGTGCATTATTACTTCATTTTATTTTTTGTTGAATGGATAATTGCATTTATTAAATTATTTTGTGAAAATTGACTTATTTATCGCTTCAAACTCTTGCATAATTGTGAATTGGATATACGACATCGAATTCAATACTGCAGGTAAGAAATATTTTCTTATTTAATTTATTGTCTCCTTGATTTAAATTTTATGTCGTTCCTGCAATAAAGGTGCTTTTATTTGTTTTTGAAGACACGCAACTTGTATTTATTTTAATCAGAAAATGTGCATTTTTCACCACGGAGCAGAGATATTAACAGGTTCATTTTTAGAAGACATGTTGTGCCCTTAATATCTAGAAGAGTGGTTTTTAAAGTCTTCATATTGATAGATAATAGTTTTAAAAATGTTTTCATAATAATATATGTTCGTATGTGATAAAAAATCGGTAAATAACGATGGTAAAAACTTACGCGTTCAATTCAGATGTCGTACACAAATAAAAAACCGGAATGCTAATTTCTGTGTAAAATTCAGTCAAGTTTTTAACAGTTACAATATATATTGTCCCATTTTGCATATATATCCCTTTTATTATGCATATTTACTTCTCAAAACGTATTATTTTCTCTGTAATTGATCTGACTTGAAACGTTAACTTTGAAAGTAAATATCTCCTTTTTTGCAAATAAAATCAAAAATCTGACAAATACGATCTCTTCCGAAGTCTTTTATTTAGCATTTCTGAGTACTGATATAATTGCCATACTTTCCAAAACTTTGCACGGACAGTTTTTGTAGACCCATCATTTTTGCCGAAAAATCGCCAATTTTTTTGTGTGTGCGCATGCGCGGACTCGATTTTCGGAGTCTTTTTCAGTCTCAATTTCTTACTTCCGGAAACGCTGTTTTTGGAGTTCGTCTAGACTGTTCAAGTACTATAAATGCTTATATTGCAGAACACTGTATTTTATCACAGTAAATATAAGGGGCCAGACAAACCAAATCTGTTGGGAATTTCCATCATTTACAAAAATAATTTCGATTTCCCCCTTTAAACTTGGAACCGTTTGGAATTTCCAATTTTTTTTCGTATAGAGAATGGCAAATTTAGACAATAAATTCATAAAACATTGTGATTATACTACTACTCATAAGTCCACTAAAATAAATTTATTTATGTTATTTAAGTCCACATTAACTTCTATGAAAAGTAGGTCAATCAGCTGACATTAATACATTCTCAAGAAAATTCGAGACGTTTAAAATGAAAATAAAGAACTAAAGATAATTAATTCAAGTCAAAATTTCACATATACAGTAGACCTAAATGCATAAAAATAACCCCTTGATTATTTTCTTATTCGTGAAAACATCGATAGGACTATTTATTTTTTGCAATGGCAGCGATTTCGGACAGAGCAGCTCGAGAGAACGCCCATGTGCTTACCTTTAGAAAATGAAATGCACCAAATGTCAGCTATCAATTTAAACTCAGAACGATGCAGAAATCTTTCTGGGTTAAAATAAATATATGTTCAACGAAAGGAAATTTATCCTACGTGCAATATCTACCAACTCCGAGTCATTTACACTTGATCGACCGTTTTGAGGAAGCCGTTTGAGCATGCCTCACAGGCAAGGTCAAGGTCAGAATGGTTGTTTGTTCCGAGTGTCGGAGTGACCACGTTGTTTGCAAGTGTTTTTACTGCTGCAAATTATCAAATTATGAATACATATAACATTCCGAGCCTTTCTTATTGGTTCGTTATATTATCAATTACAAAAACACTTTCTAGATCTTTATGATGAAAGATCATCATCTGTGGGAATAAAAGGCGGATCCAAGATTTTCTAAACCATAAAAAAACAAAATCAAAAAGACCCCCCCCCCCCCAAAAAAAAAAAATTGAGGTAAGGGTGTTAAAAATACTCTACTCCAATCACACATGATAGTGACATACTTTACAACCCTAAAGTTTGAAATGTTTCATATTTTATCGACAAACAAAGGCCTTTATCTATCCTCACAATACAGCTTAAAACCTATATCAAGAGGACATATTGATTCTGAGTTTGAATTTGGCAGAGATGAATGGAATTAATATTGTGCACCTATTTTGTCAAAATGTTTCTAATCTAAATTAATTCTTACTCAAATTGTCATTACATGATCAAGTAACCATGTGGCCCACCATAGGACCTTAGACCCTCACCAAGCTTTTATTATAAAATTTATTTTTATTTTTTTTAACCCAAGCTGAATTGCTGCATATGCCAATATGTGTATAAAAGAAACGGGGATGAAGATTATGTACCTGAAGCTGATCTTCACTGCTGCCTGCATAGAACATATGCCAATCTCTTCTAGCCTTCTTTGCCTTAAGGATGGTCAGCACAACATTTGCTTCATTCACATCTGAAGTGCAGTACTCTGGGACAATGTCACAACCTTTCTCAAATTTGACAATGAAGCGATAGTGTATTGGAAACCCTCCTGACCCTCTGGACAAAAACTGAACCTGACAACTGCTTGAAGAGAGATAAGTTAATGATACAGAGTCTTGGAGTACATTCCAAACCTTCAAAACAAATGAAACAGCTTCAGTGTCCTGACTAAAGGTAAAATCTGGAAATCTGTAGGCAACTTTTGGAGCAGAAGGGATATTCAGAGGCTCAGAATATAGTGGTTTAGTTTCAGGTGAAGTGGGAGTGTCTTCCAAATCATCAATCTCCTTTAAATCTGGGAGATCATCAATCTGTGGAATCTCTTCAATTAGTTTTAGGGATTCTTCTTGGTTTTTCTCTTCCTGAGTTTCCACATCTCTGGCTCCAGAAAATGGCATCTCTACTTGTTCCAAAGGTAATACTGGTAAAGTTACAATCAAACAGTGCTTTGACTTGTCAAATCTAGCCGAACCTTGCTCATCATCCACAGGGTAAGGCAAATTTAGGTCCAACTTGTACTTTGCTGGTTTTTCTGATGACAAAGACAGTTTTTTTTCAAAGACATCCAGTTCTACCTGGTTTGCCGAGTCTAACAGAGGTAATTCAATTCTGATTTCTAACTCATTTGGTCTGGTACTGGTTTTAGCATCTGGAGCATTTCGATATTCCTGCATGTCAATATTTGACCTATGTTTAATGGAATATTTAGGCTCAGCTGGTCCATCTTTCTTTTCTGGAGCTTTCTGGGATTTAGTTTTCTGACCATCTTCTTTCTTCTTATTTTTAAGCTTTTCTCGCATTTCTTCACTTTTTTCAGCACTTGTCTTATCATCATATGGGTAGGGAATATTCTTCAAAACACTGTCAGGTTCTTCATTAGATGACTTCTTGGTTGCTTGGTTTGATCTTGTTCGAATGACAGTTGCAACAGGAACACCCTTATACTTCATTTTCATTGGTTTCAAATTCTTGCGATCAAATTTTACACCGAACTGGTTCTCAATACCTTCAACAGCAGTGTCCTCAACAAGCTTCATAAAACGTGGATTCTCTCCCATTCTGTATGTGTCAGGGTGAAACACCACATCAAACACTTTGCATTTCCCACCAGATTTGGCAATATCATCTCGGGGTGGAGAAAAAGCGTGAGGAATCTGCCAGTGCAAACCTTTACGACCGTTGCTAACTTGAGGGGTGGAGTGTGGAGTATCAATTTTGTCATTAACACAGATATTGATGAACGCCTTCGTGTTCCCGTCTACACTCGTTTTAATGCAGTGACCTGGTTTGGGATGAACAAACTGGACATCCATTCCTCTTTCATTCTCCATTTGTGTGATTTCTTCCTCATATTTCTTTCTGTTTTCTGGATTGGATATTTCTTCTGCATACTCAACAAAGAGTTTTCTAAATTCTTCATTCTTTAGAGCCTCTCCAATTTGCTTAATTTCGTCTGATGAAAGATTTAGATCTTCGAATTTTTCTTTGGACGCCATAGTTGTTTAGACATGTACCTTGACGACTTAGTCTGTGTAATTTAGACGCTTTTCAGAACAAAATCCACACTCCGTAAAAAACGGAAAAATGGCAGGTGCCCGTTGTCACATTTAAACATTATAAAAGTGAAAAATATATCATCAAAAAATGACCAATGTTAAATGAAAATGATTATAAAAAAGAGTGTTAATATTTTAAAGCCACAGTAAATTTGGTAGTGTTGTCCATTTTGTCCAATGAAATTGCAGTGAACGGAACTCTTCGGTTGTTACCTATTTATGATAGGCAAAACTAAGAAAGAAACCGAAGAACTTGACAAATAGCCCAGTTGCAGTATCCTCTACAAATTAGTCTGTGGAATTCAGAATAAAGAACATGGCAGGTGTGCTGTTGAGAGTAGGATACACAAGAAGTGTAAGTGTGCCATGATTTGTGTTCGTCAGCTTATTACTTGGGAGAAAATTTCTCCTTTCAGTTGGACCAACTTAACGTTAAGGTCACTGAACTTGCAAAACACGGGGGACTGCAGAGTCCATGGGTACCCATGAGGTAAAAGGAGAAATAACAGATTCATCATCACACTCTTATGTTAGTAACAATAAAGATATGCACACTAGCAAATAGTGGATGTGTGTATTTTTATGCACTTTTGCTTAGATTAACAGGTCCACCTCCACAATCTCTTGATTTAGCTATGTAGATTGATTTAGCTATATAGCTTTATTAAGCTATTCAGAATAGTTTAATTTAGCTATTTTATCACACATTTTTCAGAAATTTGTCATTTTTTCAACATGTACAAAAAGTCACACCTTCGTGCAGTGATAATTTTCAACCTTGAACTCTTCTAAAAACAATGCATGTAAAAATCACCAGGGACCTATATACTAGTTAGTATATAGGTCCCTGAAATCACTCATTAAATTGCATCTCCTTGAGAGAGTTCTAAAAGTTTTGGGGCTATATAAAGCAATTGATTTGTAACCATACAGTTAAATCTTGAATGAAAATATAAAGGAGGTCTCATAGTCAACAAGATAATTGATAGGTAATGACAGCACGATGGGAAGTAATCATATTTATCCACTCCTCACCGCACACAAGGTAGTGTACAGTTACTCAAACAATGGTAATTCATCTTTTGCTTAAAAGTATTCAAAAGCTGCAATGTTAAAACTATCATTGATTTGGGTTGCTTTTTTGATAGCCCATATAGTAAATGTATGAATAGTCAAATGCTTGTGACTTTTTGTCTATTTCTTACAAAAAAAAACTTATTTGTGAAAATCTGCATATAAATAGCTTTATCAAGCTATTTTGAATAGCTTAATAAAGCTACATAGCTATTTCAAGCTATATAGCTAAATCAAGAGGTTGTGCAGTGCTGGACCTGATTCTGGAAGAAGTAATACTCAAATATTCACATGATACAGAGGAATTAGTCCTACCTTTCACATATTTCTTTTTGTATCCAGTTTTGTGCAGTCAAAAGCTTTGCTTAGAGCAAAATTTTTATATTTGATCCTTATTTACTGACCAAACCAGGATTCAGGCTGGCGTAGCTGGTTCAACCTCTGTTGGCCAGATAGCATGTATAGGTCAGCTGGTAGACCACTTTTCTAGAGTTTGGTAAAAGGGGGGGGGGGGGGGTGAACCTGGTCTGGTCTGTTGCATTTTTTCCTTCCAGTTACACAGTTTTTTCAAAGAAATTTTCAACCTTATATTGTTTTTAATGCCATAATGGGTACAATGATTTCAGGTAAATTTTAATAAATTATGAATTTATAATTAGATTTACCATGTTTACCATCAAACATCATTATCTCAAAGTTGATGGGACTGAGAAAAAAACATAAGATATCCGGGGATTCAAGATGTTGAGGGTAAAAATACTGAAAGAATAAGTTGTTGGGATTTCTAAATCTCTTCAACATATCCACGGTATTCAATATATCAGTTTTTGAGATACCGATGTTTAGCTGTATTTAAATATGTCCATTTTTGTGAATCTGAATAAGCATTATAAATTTTTTTTTATAGCTGATTAAGATAATATGAAATTGAGAACATACCGGTATGATATACAGTCAAACCTCGTTATCTTGAACTCAATGGGGCAGAGAAAAAACTTCGAGATATCCAAGGGTTCGAGATATCGAGGGTTAAATACTTGAGAAATACGTGGTTAGGACTTCCCAATCACTTCGACGTCATATCCATTGTATTTGAGATATCCGTGTTCGAGATACCAAAGTTCAACTGTAATGCTATGCTCAGGAATAAATAACTGTAATTAGGGTAATGCAGGGTAATGCATTTTGAGAGAAATATTCTTTTTTTTCAGATTTCAACTTTGAAGAATTTGAACCGACTGTACTCATCTAGCTCAGCAGTAAGGCATATTTTATGCAAATTATTTATTAGGCCAAATAGCATCACATTGAAAACATTGTAAATGTGCTGCTTCAGTAATGCAAGCAGAAGTGTATGTATGAAATCTACCTTGTATATCATGTTTTGAAATTTTATAATCATCAGGGATAGACATTAACTTTCAGATTTACTTGCCCTTCGGGCAAGTGATCTCAAACTTTGACTTGTCCGAACGCAAAACTTGGTTGCCCAAAATAAGGAAAGAACTTCAGAAGAAATTTTTTTATTACTGTAAATATTATGACGAAAAAATGTGACCAAATACACTACCGTCAATTTGGTAAGGTGAGGTACCTGAAAAAATTTCGATGCTGCGTTTGTACATAAATGTATACCACTGTCCTTGTAAATTTAACCTGTTAGCACATACTGCCATATAGCAATAACCCTCCGTTTTAATAAAATTCATATTTGTAAAAATTATTTTCGGTAGGATTCTTTTGTGAATCGTGAATTTCTGAGATAACTGTGAAACAACGCAGAAGGAAGATAGTTGCTACGTAACACACATCGGTCTTTACCTTGATCAGGATACATCGTGTTAAACTGTACTTATATTCTGTAAGTGAATAAATAATCTAAGTTCCAAATAAGAAGTTAACAAAAATGTTAGACGAACAGCATATTTACCAGGGGAAAAGAACGGAATAACGAATCCGATTTTCAAATGAAAGGTATAATCCAGAAATGCTGACAAGGAATTCCGAATACAAAAACAATGTCAGTCAGGTACCTGGCGGAAATCAAGTCTTCAATTTATTGTCTTTTATATAAATTAATGTAAACTAAATAAATATGTACATTTCTACATTTCTATGAGGAAAAAATCACTTGCCCGATCGGACAAGTACGTCGCAAGATTCACTTGCCCGAACTGAGAATTTACTTGTCCCGGGCAATCGGACAACCGTTAATGTCGATCCCTGAATTCATATGAAAAGTTGATAAACACAGTAGAATTAATTGCTTAGGGAACATTTTCCATTCAAACTAAATGTACTTCTTACTTCAGTTTAAAGGCATAGTTGTTGTTGCATGAAGAATACTGTTGGCCATCTCAAAGCTACCCAAAATATGCATAAAATATATATAAAGTAAATATTAAAAACAAATATCAGTTTTGGAGTTGTAATTTTAATTCACTTCAAGATATTTAGAAATTCTCATTTTTCTGTTTCCTAAAGGTTGGGCTAAGTTTGGTATGTGACATGCTTGGATTCCTAAACAAAACATAAAACCATATATGATATCATTCAATATTATGCTTGGATTCCTTAACAAAACATAAAATCATATAAGATATCATTCAATATTTTGTTTTGCAGCCAACAACAAAATTGTTCATCGATGGAAAGTTTGTGGAATCAAAGTCAGATGTATGGATTGATGTTCATAACCCAGTAAGTACTAACGTTTTGTATTCTAGATCAAAATAAAATAACTGTGTTGTCTCATTCTGTTTGTAAAGCAGTATTAACTTTCTTCAAGGCAACTAATGAAGTAGTGACCCGTGTCCCCGAGGCAACCCAGGAAGAAATGGAGACTGCTGTTGCCTCCTGCAAAAGGGCATTTCAAGACTGGTCACAGACCACAATCCTTACCCGTCAGCAAATGATGTTTAAATTTCAGAACCTCATCAGAGAAAATCTGGTAAATTAAACATAAACCAGGGTAAACATTGGAGAAATGTGAAGATGATAAATCCAGCAAAAGAAAGCAGTCTTTCAGAATCACATTGACATTCAAAAATCATATAACCTGATTTTTGAAGGTTACATTCACTGGATTTCTACTTGATACACCTAAGCATGACTATTTCTTTGTAACTTTATGGAAAGTTTTATTTAGGAAAAAAAATCATATTACTATATCTTTTTAGTTCATGTCATATACCGGTATTATTACTTAGACATTTTAAAAAAAGAAAAGCTTGTATGTTGTATTTTTTAAATGGCATGCATGTCTTCTTTTGACGTAATATTTATTCACATGAAAAAAAACTCTTTAATAGCAAGAGAAATATTACTATATTTACCAGGTATATTAATTTTAAGGGAAAAAAAGCGATACAGAATGCATATTTCATATAATTGAAGAGGAATTACATAATACCCAGAGTTTCACTGTGCTATTTCAGAGTGATATTGCCAAAAACATTACTTTAGAGCAGGGGAAAACTTTGGTAGATGCTGAGGGAGATGTGATGAGGGGACTTCGTAAGTATCAATCTATTTTTAATATTAATTACCAGTTATTTAAAGACTTAATACAGAGGGTTTTTTTAAAATTCCTGAATGTCATTATACAGAAATGGAAGTATCATTCTCCCACCTTATAAAAACCCTCCACAAAAACATTTTGTATTCTTTGTTTAATGTTGTTTTGTGACTGAGTAAATATTAATATGAGCCTTAATTTATTGTAACAGAGGTTGTAGAGCATTGTTGCAGCATTACCTCCCTTCAGCTGGGGGAGACTTTACCAGGAATTGCCAAGGATATGGACACAATGACTTTCAGAGTTCCCCTTGGAGTCACAGCTGGAATCACCCCATTTAACTTCCCTGCTATGATCCCATTATGGGTTAGTAAGACACCTATGTCATTGAATTTCTTTGCACTCTTAATGATAGTGTAACAGCAAAGAGATTTAAAGAAAGGAAGTACAAAGGAATTTCAGGGTTTTTTTTTTTATGCTAAGAAATCCTCTAATCCCCATCCCATTTTGTCCATCATGCAGTCAAATGTACGATGCAAACATTTTCTTTCTTTCTACTTTTAGATGTTCCCTATGGCCCTGGTGACAGGAAATACCTGCCTAATGAAGCCGTCTGAGCGTGATCCTGGAGCTTGTATGATGCTGATAGAGATGGCCAAAGAAGCAGGTTTTCCTGATGGAACTGTTAATGTCATTCATGGCAGACATGATGGTATGTAGTAGACAGGGAAACTTATACATAAGAAACTGGTCAAACATCAACTGTAGGTTTTGAAAGTTTACTTGGGTTTTCTGCATGTGTTTTAATATAATTTTGCATATTTTACGCTGCAAATATTTGACACCATCAGACTTTTAACATTTTGTAAAGTTTTAAAGTTGATTTACTTTGTAGGACAAAAATTTTAACTTCAAATATAGCTTCTAAATTTTCCATTATGTGTAAGTACTTTCAAAGTATGCTTGATTGCAACAAACCCTACCCCTTTCAGACTTTGAAAAAATAATAATGTATACATATCTGTAAATGCTGAAATTAGTCATTTTTATGCAACAATTGTCAATGTTCTAAACATGACGACTTAGTAGGTATAGCAATGTGAATGAATCTTGACTAATTCTGGTGACCTTTAACAAGGGTTGTCCCAAAAAGTCATAGACTTTGTTCATAACTTTGTAAGCATTCAACCAATACTAACCAAATTTTATATTACTATCAATTGTTCATTAAAACAGTGAACTAAATGAAAATCTTTTATAGTACAGTCAAACTTCTTTATCTCAAACTTGATGGGACTGAGAAAAAACTTCAAGATGTCCAAGAGTTCGAGATATTGAGGGTAAAATACTTAAGAAATACGTGGTTAGGACTTCCCAATCACTTTGACATATCCATGGTATTCGAGATATCCGTGTTTCAGGTACCGAAGTTCAACTGTAATTATAATATTATGATGATTTATAAGAAGGTCAGTATGGTCTGTCGGGGCAAGATCAAAATGCGATAATTTATGTATGTTACTATTTCATTTGGAGTTGTATTTTTGGTAATATGTAATATATTAGATTTAAATCTATGTCAATTAAACCAGAAAACAAACCTGCAAAATAGATAAAATGTTTATGTAAATGGCATCAGAGACGGAGAAGTGGTAACACATATAAAGCATACTCTTAATTGAGTTTGCTGCAAATGATGTCATCAAATGCATCCCTGGGGCATAGGGATGTAAAAAAAAATTAGGGATGTCAGTTTGTAATCGGTTAACCGGTTACTTGGTCAGAACGTTGGTAATTGGTTAGAAAATCTGTAAAAAAAATTATATATGTGTAAATATGAACACAATATCCTGAAAATTCAATCAAGAAATTAAAATATATGAAATATTAACATTTTCACCTATCTATTTCTTAGGCTGGTCTGGAGATAATTAAGACTCTCCAAGTTAACATCATGGGGGGTAATTAGTCAGCTTTCAAGATGTTAATTGCAGTTTAAACACCATGTCGCTACCCAGCCCGGTCCAGTGTTTCTTTAATGATTGATTTCAATTGAATGATCGCTGAGTACCATGAACTGATTATAATGTGTACCTTACCCCTTTTATCTTTTGCAGTTACATATCAAATTATGTTATTAAACAGACATTGTAAATTAAGCGATAGTTCAGACTTAATTTTGATTATGTGAAAATGCAGATTGAAATTGTAAGACATCTATTCTGAATTTTTTTTAAATACATGTATATCAGATTCTTCAGGCATGTTTCATAGGTTTCTTAATTTTTTTCTTTTTTTAGCTCACCTGAGCTGAAAGCTCAAGTGAGCTTTTCTGATCACCCGTTGTCCGTCGTCCGTCCGTCCGTCTGTCCGTCTGTCCGTCCGTCTGTAAACTTTTCACATTTTCAACTTCTTCTCAAGAACCACTGGGCCAATTTTAACCAAACTTGGTACAAAGTATCCTTGGGTGAAAGGGAGTGTAAATTGTTAAAATAAAGGGCCAAGTCCCCTTACAAGGGGAGATAATCAAGAAAAGACAAAAATTGGGTGGTGTCATTAAAAAATCTTCTTCTCAAGAACCACTTGGCCAGAAAAGCTGAAACTTATGTGGAAGCATCCTGGGATAGAGTAGACTCTAAATTGTTAAAATCATGACACCCGGGGGTAGGGCGGGGCCACAATAGGGAATCCAAGTTTTACATTGAAATATATAAGAAAAATGTTTAAAAATCTTCTTCTCAAGAACCACTGGGCCAGAAAAGCTGAAACTTATATGGAAGCATCCTGGGATAGTGTAGATTTTAAATTGTTCAAATCATGACCCCCGGGGGTAGGGCGGGGCCACAATAGGGAATCCAAGTTTTACATTGAAATATATAAGAAAAATGTTTAAAAATCTTCTTCTCAAGAACCACTTGGCCAGAAAAGCTGAAACTTATATGGAAGCATCCTGGGATAGTGTAGATTCTAAATTGTTCAAATCATAACCCCCGGGGGTAGGGCTGGGCCACAATAGGGAATCCAAGTTTTACATTGAAATATATAAGAAAAATCTTGAAAAATCTTCTTCTCAAGAACCACTGGGCCAGAAAAGCTGAAACTTATAGGGAAGCATCCTGGGGTAGTGTAGAATCTAAATTGTTCAAATCATAACCCCCGGGGGTAGGGTGGGGCCACAATAGGGAATCCAAGTTTTTCATTGAAATATATAGCAAAAATCTTAAAAAATCTTCTTCTCAAGAACCACTGGGCCAGAAATACTGAAACTTATATGGAAGTATCCTGGGGTAGGGTAGAATCTAAATTGTTCAAATCATGACCCCCGGGGGTAGGGCGGGGCCACAATAGGGAATCCAAGTTTTACATTGAAATATATAAGAAAAATGTTTAAAAATCTTTTCAAGAACCACTTGGCCAGAAAAGCTGAAACTTATATGGAAGCATCCTGGGGTAGTGTAGATTCTATATTTTTCAAATCATGACCCCCGGGGTTAGGGCGGGGCCACAATAGAGAATCCAAGTTTTACATTGAAATACATTAGAAAAATCTTTAAAAATCTTCTTCTCAAGAACCACTTGGCCAGAAAAGCTGAAACTTATATGGAAGCATCCTAAGGTATTGTAGATTCTAAATTGTTCAAATCATGACCCCCGGGGGTAATGCGGGGCCACAACAGGGAATCCAAGTTTTACATTGAAATACATAAGAAAAATCTTTAAAAATCTTCTTCTTAAGAACCACGGGGCCAGAAATACTGAAACTTATATGGAAGCATCCTGGAGTAGTGTAGATTCTAAATTGTTCAAATCATAACCCCCGGGGGTAGGGCGGGGCCACAACAGGGAATCCAAGTTTTACATTGAAATATATAAGAAAAATCTTTAAAAATCTTCTTCTCAAGAACCACTTAGCCAGAAAAGCTGAAACTTATGTGGAAGCATCCTGGGATAGAGTAGATTCTAAATTGTTAAAATCATGACCCCCGGGGGTAGGGCGGGGCCACAATAGGTATATTAAAAGGGGGGAAATCTGGTAAAGAACAGCATGGCCAAAGTTACTCAGGTGAGCGATGTGGCCCATGGGCCTCTTGTTTTTCTTTTGCTTTAAAATTGAAATGAAAAATATACTCGTATATATTGTTCTGATAACGTACATATTGTTGTGATAAACATAATATTACTACATGTAACATCTTTATAGTCTGTCTATTTAAGTAGAACTTACAATAATGAAATACGTCGAGAATTTTTGATTTGATTAACCGATTAATCGGTCGGAACGTCTTGCAGTTAACCGATTGGCAATTCTGCATTTGATTGCCACCCCTAAAAAAAATATTGGTTTGATTGAGATGTCTCCCTCTCAGAGATGAAAATAATATAGAAGTACCAAAACAGACTACAATGTTAGTGTAGAAGTTGTTTTGGCATAAGAGATTCAGGACAGTTTTACCGCAGCACCAGAAAATAAAAAGGCCTAAGAAGTAGAGTAATGATCATTAAATTCAATGAGGAACATTATATGGATCATAGCTGTCAACATTAAACTCTGTGTATTCTTCACCTCTTAAGGAGACCTTACAAGGACTTGAATTTGAATTTGATCAAGGAATTAGAAAGACATTTTATTGCGTCCCTGAGTGGCTTGACATTGATTTGAAAATTCAGTGAGAGATGCCATGAGACACACATGCGTAGTGCAAAGGCCCAAATTTTGAAAGTGAATGATAATGATATTAGAAGAAATGTAAATTACTACACTACTATGTTTTCTTTATTTTTACATTATTTTCTTATTAAAAGAGTTATTCTTATGAAAATTGACATTCATGATCATTAAACATTACCTTTTACATGTACATGTACTATGACAAGAAAAAAAAGTTATGTTAGCGAAGAGCAACTAAGTTGTTGAATCTGTCTACAACTTTTTGGGACAACTCTCATACTGCAGTTAAACATGTCAAATGTGTATACAAGCAATAATTAGGGTTTCTGTTTTCATTGAAGGTATAGGGTATTAAAGACTACACATTATGAGTTTATAGCTTGGAATTCAGTCAGGAGTAGGATACTCTTATCTTTTAGTCACAATTACAATTAAAATCAAATCACTGAAAAGAAATAAATGAGAACTGTTGTGGTCACTGATTTCATATGAATTCACTATATACTTCAAGTATAGGGGTATGTCATAATTATAAATGTTTTCTTCTCTTTCAGCTGTAAACTTTATTTGTGATCACCCAGACATTAGGGCCATATCTTTTGTGGGATCAGACCAGGCTGTGAGTTTATATCAAATTTTTCAATCAAAGTGAGCTAAAGAAGTTTGATCTGTATCATAGAAATTATATTTAGAAACATTGGATAAAGAGCTATCACAAAAGCTAACTACAATTATCATGTAAATTTTGTGGCCATTTTTATTTTCAAGTTTTCAATTTTGTACAGATTTCCAGTTTTAAAACCTGAATATCAGCAAAAGATTCACAGCAATTCAAGCAATATATGATCCAGTATTTATCTTTAATTGTAATAGCTGCGGATCTACAGCTATAATTGCTATACCTGTTTTTCCACCAAAACTTTTGTCATATTTTATATGATTCAATAACTTTGTTTTAGGGGAAATACATTTACGAGAGAGGATCCCAGAATGGCAAGAGAGTCCAGTCCAACATGGTACACTATTACTTTATCTTTTACACTTCACGTGAAAAAAGCAGTAAATTTTTAAATTTTGTGTTAACCAACCATTTGTTTATTAATAACCTCTTAACAAACCCTTTTCCTTTTAAAGGGAGCTAAAAATCATGGAGTCATAATGCCAGATGCAAACAAAGAAAATTGTCTGAATCAGGTGAGGAAAAAGTGTTTTCATGAAATTCTAGTATTAATTCTTAAGCTTTAAGTTGTCAGAATATGAAAAAGTGAGCGTAAATATAGACTTACTAGTGCGATCAGTAATATCAGATTCTGTATGTAGTACAAATGTATATGTAAATAGTATATATTGGATGTATTCAGACAGAGGATTGGGCCAAAGATGCCAAATTATGGAACACTTTAAAATAAGTACACATACAGTAGAAAGAAGTAGCTGCCTTCATTAATTGTAGCCAAACTTGATTAAATAACAGAGATCATTGGCTATATTGCAGGTTGTAGCATCAATTTCATTTTTTTAAAAAACTGCTACATCTTGTCCAACAAATGAGAAATGTACCTGTCTGTATAATGAGGGCCTTATTTCAGAAGCTTTATTACCCCATATACATAAACACATACAGGTACAGAATATAGTCATTTGATGATTGGCCATCTTAACTTCATGTGATGAATTCCTATCTAACATAATGATAAGTATCACCTTCAAAACTTGCATGAATATGATAAATTGGGATCCATTCTACTAGTTTCCCTCCAATTAATTATCAGATATGGGTTAATAATTTTTGTCTATGAACAGGTCTTTTCCAGCTGAACATCATTGATCATTTGGATGGATATTCCATTCTAAAATACATGTACTACATGTATTTACTTTCATGGTAGCTTTTGTTGCCACATTTGACCAGTTCACTGTAATAAGGAAATGTTATTAAAGCCCTCAGAGACTAAGAAGGATGTGTTCAGTAAGGTTTTGGTTACCACAGATGACCTACATTTTGGCAGATTAATAATGTAGAATCATCATTGTTCATGGGAGACCAGTGGATTTTGTGGGTCATCCTTACCCACGAATTTAGATCCCCACAAACCATAACTGGTTCATTGAATCTTCTGAAAAAAAGAGGTATGCACATAATTATGGTCCCAGAACCAGTAAAATCTCTGTCCCCCAGGAACAATGACCCCCATGAATTAAAATGAAACCAGAGAAATTGGGCAGGTTCAAGCCCTTAATATGTTAAGTCCTACCTTGACCGATCTTGTACCCTACAGTAATATGAATATTTTATGGATGAATGATAAAAGTAAAGCAGGTCAGGTCCTGGGTGGATATAATTCCTACATTGACTTAACATAACTGGATGCTGCTATTGGTTGGAAAATTTTGGAAATTCTTAAAATCTCACATGGATCAATTATACATTGTATTTAGGGATGCATAGTGCAAATTGGAGTATAAAATAAGGAACACACACCACCTATCACTACTTTTATAAATGTTTCAAACTATTTTTGGTTGTATCAGTTGGTAGGAGCAGCATTTGGTGCAGCAGGTCAGAGATGCATGGCTTTATCTACTGCAGTGTTTGTTGGTGAGGCCAGAAACTGGATCCCAGAGCTTGTGGAGAAAGCTAAGAAGCTCCGAGTAAATGCAGGTAAGTGCGGGGAAAAGGGAGGAAAGTCAACTCGTGAAAGATTTGATCGGCCCACAATATTCCTGACAAATGAGTATGTACAAGGAAAAAAAAAATAAAATTCCATTATTGTGGCATGAACACTGGCTGACCCTAACAAAAACAATTTCAGTAAGTAAAAGCTGTCAGTATATGAATGCTTGATGTAAAGTTTACTTATTATACCATGTTGATCATGAAAAAGTCTGTGCTCTTGTATAAAACTGAGGCATGATGACCTCATCTCCAAGCACTTTTTCTTCATTATTTTTTTTCTCTGAAACCCCACTTTATACTACTGAATAGCCATCTCATCATGGAAGGGGCAAATCCTTTCATCTTAACAAAATTGACCCCCTTTTACCCAGATTGCTGAAGAGGCAGCAAGTTTGAGATTAGCTAGTGGTTAATGAGAAGGAATGAAAAAAAAATTGTAAAGATAACAGGCATACCTGTATACCAGACAATCAGTAAAATACATGAAAGTGAAAATACCCAGGTTTCTTATATACACATATTTATATATTGGGTGTATATATAAATCTGTTTCTTGTAGGTCATGAGCCAAATGCAGACTTGGGTCCCCTGATTTCTCCAGAAGCCAAACAGAGGGTGTGTGACTTGGTACAGTCTGGAGTTGACCAGGGAGCCAAGCTTCTTCTGGATGGAAGAAATGTCAAAGTGCCTGGATATGAGAAGGGGAACTTTGTTGGGCCAACAATTCTCCACTATGTCAAGGTTTGTCTGATTTTATTTTAACTTCAGCTATATGTTTCTATTTAATTATTAAAATATTATTAAATGGACTTTACTAATTAAATCACTGATTACCAGTAGTGAAAGATTTTAGCATGAATTTTACAACTTATATACATGCAAGTACATGATTATTATTAGTAATTAACAAGTTGATTTTAGTATCTGAACGTACATGATGAGGTCAAATGTCACACACGACTATAAATACATTTTATATACAGTAAAACACTTGCCAGGGATGAACAATTTTGATTCATTATAAATGGAATTCGTTAAGTTTATGATATGTTTTTGAACTACAGGGAATGAAAAATCCCTTCGCTGTAAGACCATGTTTGCTTCTTTATCTGCTCATTTGTCATAAACTCCTTTCCATCTGATTTTGTACTTACAGCCAGAGATGAAATGCTACACAGAGGAAATCTTCGGACCAGTCCTCATCAGTATGGAGGTTGATACACTTGATGATGCAATCAAAGTTATCAATGCTAATCCTTATGGCAATGGTACTGCCATCTTTACCACAAATGGAGCGACAGCCAGAAAGTATACAATGGAAATTGATGTTGGACAGGTTAGGTTTGGGAAAAAAAAGATTTACATGTTCATTTATATGTTGTTTTTTGTACATGTAAATGTATTTATCATTTATTACCAGTATACACATATTTTAGTTGTATTGGCAGGTATTTACTTCATTGTTGACACAGGGCTACAAATGCCTGTACATACATGTATGCACAGTGTATATGCAGTTTATATTTTATTACTGATCTTTGTCATCAAGACTAGTTTAGAAAAATACACTTCAGAAAAGAGAGTCCCATTGACCATGATCATTACATCAACTTTAAAATTTATATGCATTTTAATGATGAACTGCATTCATGAAGTGTTTGAAATAGTGGTAGGCAGATTTTATTATGCAGCTGTAGATTAGATAATTTGTGTTGTAGGTTGGAGTTAATGTCCCCATTCCAGTGCCCTTACCCATGTTCTCCTTCACTGGATCTAGAGGATCATTTAGAGGAGACATGAACTTCTATGGAAAAGCTGTAAGTCTTATTGAAGAAATGAAAAGAAAATTGAGATTTGTGACCATTGATTAAAGGTTAAGGAAACACACCTAATTACATGTAGTCAGAATTAGAGGAAGCCGTTATATTGGCAAAACAGAGAAAATCCAGACTGGCCTATACAACAGCTGTATGTTCAGATTCTATTATGAAATGCCAGCTTTACTGTGTATTAGAATGGTCTTGATGCAATTCACTTAATTTGGTATGATTATACTTCATAAATGCAACAGACAGGCAGAGCATTGGAAAGTACCTATAATTCAATGTGCTATACAGGGATGAGTCAAACAAACACTGAAACTGCTCTAAAGACACTAGAACTTTCAAATAGTACATGTACTGGTGAAGGTAGAAACAACTCCATGAGTAAATTTTGACAATTCTTCCTATAAGTGCATTTCACTTCTCTCATATTCCTGTTTAAGACAGAGAAAGCAATGTTTATAATTTCTTTTAAAGGGTATTCAGTTTTACACACAACTGAAGACAGTGACCCAGATGTGGAGAGCTGATGATGCCACGGTGACTGGTTCACAGACAGCCATGCCCGTCATGAGATAGACAGTTGTCTCCCCTACAGGACTGTTTGCAGCTTCTCACAAATGACCTTGCTTTATTGAGTGCATCCATCATTTGTTCACAGACCTGCTACTCTCTAGACATTGATTGATATTTTTTATGTAGTGAATCATGTTACAGAGATTTTGTTCACATTTGTATTTAACACATTTTTGGAGACTACAGCTGTATGGAGGTCATATGAGTTTATGAAGTTTGGTAAAATATTTTGTGCATGTTCATTTATGGCATTGATTGCTCACATATACATGTATACAGAAATAAATAAAGGTACATTATTGGTAATTTTGTGTGAAAAAAAAATGAAATTGACACATTGAAACAACATTCAGAAAAAAAAAAAATATATGTATATTCACAAGCATTCTGATGCCCTGTTCACATGAATGCACATTAAATATTTAATCGCGGTAAATTAATTTGAAGTAAAATGATGCATATGAAACTAATGCTTATAAATAAATCATGTTCACCCCATAGTCAATGCAAACTCAACTAATGCAAATTAAAATTTTATTCTATATAGAAAGGCTATTATGACGTCATTTGCAAATCACATCACCTTATGCCCAGCAGATTGCATTTGACATAATATCAAAGTGTCTGTACAGATGTTTAGTGATAAACTTAATTCTTCGTTTTTCACTAAAAAATGGCAAAAGTATTGATATCTGACCACCGACATGTGACGTGATAGGTTACTCGATTCTGCTATTGCATGCTTCAGAATTTAATTTGAATTAGCTTCGCTTAGCGTTCACACAAAGCTAATGCAAAGTAATTTGATGTGCAGTAAATTAATTCGAATTAAACTAATTCACATTAATTTCTCTATGAACGCAGTTCAAATTTAATTAGCAGTAATTTACATTTAATTTGAATTAAAATCCCCAAGTGAACAGGGCACAAGAGTATTGCTTAAGCAATACAAGTCCTCTCTATCAAATGTTATCTGGTACCCCTTTAAAAAAGTCTGAATTCCATCAAAAATCACTGAAGTGGCACAAATTGCAAATTTGATCTACAACTTGTCCAGATAGACTCACATACCAAAAATCAGCTCAATATCTGCAAGCATTTCGAAAAAAGTGCAGAAATTTGTTTCTTTAAAAATCCTGTAGTACATGTATTGTCAAAAGTCACTGAAGTGAAAGAAGTAAACTAGATCTGAAACTCATCAAGACACACTCACATGCCAAAAATCAGCAGAATATCTGCAAGCATTTAGAAAAAAAATGTCAGATGGACAGATGAGGAGGAAACCTATATTCTTATTAAATGGCAGCAAAGAGAGCTACATTCTCAGGCTACAGAAGAGTATTTCAGAATTGCAATTCAAATTATACTCTATGCAATCTTGATAAAAGGGAACAATTATTGATGAATCAAAGTGAAATAGAATTTTTCCAGTAATCCTCTTTTAAAAACATAGGTTATCAGAGATTACAGAGCTCACCTCAACAAATGTTGTCTTTAAGTAAGGCAAAGTCCCAAACTAACAAGCATTCTGAGAGTATTGCATTAGCAATACTAGTCCCCTACCGGCAAGTGTAATCTGGTTCCCGGTAATAATTGAAAATGCCATAATTCCGTCAAAAATCAATGAAGCGGGACAAAATGCAAACTTGATCTATAACTAATCAAGGTAAAGTCACATACAAAAAATCAGCTCAATATCTGAAAGCGTTTAGAAGAAAATTGCGGAAAACCTCTAAAAATTGAAAAGGCCGTAATTCCGTCAAAAATCAATGAAGCGGAACGAAATGCAAACTTGATCTGTAACTCATCAAGATACACTCACATACCAAAAATCAGCTCAATATCTGCTAGTGTTAGGAAAAAAGTGCGGAAAACCAAGTGGGACAGACTGACAGACAGACAGAGGGACAGACAGATGGACAGACAGACAGACGGACGGACAGACTCAGAGGAAACCTATAGTCCCCTCCGGTTTCACCGGTAGGGGACTAATAATCTAGTAGTGTGCATAGCTAGATGTAACATTTATGCAATTTTGGTACGATAGGGCTTGCAGTTACTTGTGAATGGACCCAAAAACTTTAAAACTAGTCACTCAACCAGAAAATGTAAGTCATATCCAGCATCTGAAGCAAATTTGAGAGTGTTCACCCTGTGATGCATCATCCATGCAAGTTTGGTTCAGATAGCCCTTATAGTTTATTTTAACCTGGTAACTCATCCGGAAAATGTAGGTCAAATACAGCATCTGAAGCAGATCCAGTAGTGTGCATCCTTAGATGTATCATCCATGCAAGTTTGGTCAATATAGGGCTTATAGTTACTTGGAAATGAAACCTGTCGAGTGAAAATGTAGGTCAGATCCAGCATCCAAAGCAAGTCCAGTAGTGTGCATCCTTAGATGTATCATCCATGCAAGTTTGGTCAATATAGGGCTTACAGTTACTTAGAAATGAGACCTGCTTTAAAAACATTAATCTGGTCACTCATCTGGAAAATGTAGGTCAGATACAGCATCCGAGGCAAGTCCAGAAGTGTGCATCCTTAGATGTATCATCCATGCAAGTTTGGTCAATTTTGGACTTAAAGTTGCTTGGAAATGAGACCTGCTCCAAAAATTTTAAACTGGTCATTCTTCAGCTGAAATTGCAACATCTGAAACCTTCAGTGGTACAATGAAACATATAAGAAGCATCCTCCATGCATCTCTGATTAATATAGGGCATTGAAGTACTTGAAAAGAAAACTGCACCAAAATTAAACTTTAACCTGGGATGCCGACGGTATTACTTGAGCTCCCCCAACTTCGTTGAGGTGAGCTAAAAAGTTCTCTAAATACCACAAATGTTAGTTACTTGCTCAAATCTGCCATAATAAAGGATTCGATTCATATGTTTTAGTCACACAAGAAGGCAGATTGTGATGCAAGGAACTTGTTTGAATTCTACCATGGCTGTTTTATGTTGTGACCTTCCAATATCCCTAATGGGACACTGTTTCATTACCTCCATCAGGCAAAATAAGGGGACTAGGTTCAACATACTGTAAACCAACTTTTATGTTGCAAAAAATTCGGCAAAGTCACATATTTATGTATGGTAAAATTTTTGAGGTTTGAGAAAAAAATATGGGTTTATGGGGATTGAATTTTGTGGATAAGAATTTTGGAGTAGTAATATTACATGTATATGGAATTTAACATTTTGTGGTGGACATGAATTTGTGAATCTCTTCATACCTTGAAAACAATGAAAACCCTCCACACTGTGAACTAATTTTATATAGAATGTTGCATCAGTCATGAAAAATAGTCGCAAATAAATTTAAAACTGATGAATCAGGGATAATAGATGTCATGAATAATAGTTGGTTTACAGTAGGTAAACTGTGGAGGATATTAATAATCTGTTCCCAAACAAATGTTCTTCTTATTAGCACTTCTTAATCTAATGCTCAAAGAGCTAATGCTATGGGCTTACTAGTGTGTGAGTACTTTATCGAACAAGAGGCCCATGGGCCACATCGCTCACCTGAGCACATTGGCTTGGAAAAAGCACAAATCACTTCAGTATTGAAAAGTTTAAAAGGGGGGGGGGGAGGCTTGGATTTTGAACTACCTGAGGATGCTTCCATATCAATATAACAAATGGCTTTGCTGTTCTAGAGCAGAAGATTTTTAAAGATTTTTTTCCTATATATATTCCCTTGTTAAAAATTTGATTCCCCATGGTGGACCCTCCCTACCCCCCCCCCCCCCCTCATCATTTGAACAAACTTGAATCTACATTACCTGAGGATGCTTCCATATCAATATGACTAAACATGGCTTTTATGTTGTCGAAAAGATTTTTTCCTATATATTCCTATGTAAAAATTTGATCCCACATTGTGGCCCCACCCTACCTCTGGGGGTTATGATTTGAACAAACTTGAATCTACACTACCTAAAGATGCCTCCATATCAATATGACAAAACATGGCTTTGCTGTTCCTGAGAAGATGATTTTTTCAAGTTTTTCCCCTATATATATTCCTATGTAAAACTTTGATCCCCCATTGTGGCCCCACCCTACCCCCAGGGGTCATGATTTGAACAAACTTGAATTAACACTACCTGAGGATGCTTCCATATCAATATGACAAAACATGGCTTTGCTGTTCCTGAGAAGAAGATTTTTCAATTTTTTTTCACTATATATTCCTATGTAAAACTATGATCCCCCATTGTGGCCCCACCCTACCCCCAGGAGTCATGATTTGTACAAACTTGAATCTACACTACCTGAAGATGATTCCATGTCAATATGACTAATTGTGGCTTTGTTGTTTTTGAGAAAAACAATTTCAAGTTTTTTCCCACATATTTCTATGTAAAACTTTGATCCCCCATTGTGGCCCCCACCCTACCCCCGGGGGTCATGATTTGAACAAACTTGAATCTGCACTACTTGAGGATGATTCCATATCAATATGACTAATTGTGGCTTTGGTGTTCCTGAGAAGAAGATTTTTAAAGATTTTTTTTTCCTATATATTCCTATGTAAAACTTTGATTCCCCATTGTGGCCCCAGCCTACCCCAGGGGGTCATGATTTGAAAAAACTTGAATCTACATTATGTAATGAAGGTCTCACATAAGTTTCAACTTTTACAGCCCAGTGGTTCTTGAGAAGAAGATTTTTAAAAGATACCACCAAATTTTCACTAAATCTTAATTATCTTCCCTTGAAAGAGGGTGTGGCCCTTCATTTGAACAAACTTGAATCTCCTTTACCCAAGGATGCTTTGTGGCAAGTTTGGTTGGAATTGGCCCAGGGTTCTGGAGAAGAAGTCGAAAATGAGAAAAGTTTACGGACGACAGACAAAATGTGATCAGAAAAGCTCACTTGAGCCTTTGGCTCAGGTGAGCTAATAAAACTCCTTGTCCAATTTTTATCTATTTTGTCATAGAGTATCCTTTGGCCAAGGGCTTTCATTTGTACTAATTATAGGGATGTGACCCTTAAACAAGTGGAGATAATTACCAAAATATAATTGAGGCATATGGGCCAAAAAGCTCACCTGAGCAACTTTAGCTCAGCTGTTCTCCAGAAGATTTTAAAGAGATTCTTATATTCCCATGAAAAATAATGACCTAGCTCATGTATTGCTCTACCTTAATTCTACGGTTCTATACAACATGATGATTTTTCAATATTCAATATGATTAACATTGTCTTGTAGATAAGAAGAGGAAAATTCTTTCCAGTGTTTACATGCATTATGTAAAATTTTATCCAGATGAGAAGATTTTTAAATGTTTTCTTGTATAGTCCAGGATAACACTTCCCCCCTACTGTGGCTCCACCATATCCCTGGGTCCATGATTTGAACAATTTAGAATCAACATCATAATTATTCAGAAGCTTTCACATAAGCTTCGAATTTTCAGATTTTAAGAACTTTTCCTATTAATTCCATTGTAGAATTATGACCTCCTATTATGGCCCATCCTATCCCAGGAGGCCAAAATTTAAACAATTTAGTGCCAACCCTGTCCATTGATGCCTTTGGGCCTTAGAATATGCTGACCCAAAAGTAGATCTCGTTGATAGTATTATTCAATTTATTGGAAGAGAGACTGGGTCCTTGGATCTCTTGTTGGGTGTCTGGTCCTAGGTGATCTCTCTTCACTACAATCTTTAGACAAAGAATTCCACTTTCTTCAGGCCTTAAGACCATAAACTGAGAACAGACTTAAGTCAAAATTTTAATATCATTTATTTATATTTAAATATTATACAAGCATACAACTTTTGAAGCAAATATCTGAAATAAAACTCAAGATAGTGAAAATCAAAATTTTGACTTAAGTCTATTCTAAGTTTACGGTCTTGGGGCCTTGTTGAATATTTAACACAGTTTTGATTAGTTTAACAAAGTTTTACTATGTATACATGCAATGCTGGATATGAAAATGATTGACAAAGAATTGTTTATGGAACACATGGAGTACACCATAACTATACAAAAAACAAAAGCTTTCTTGACATAAAAAGATGAAATTATCAAACATAATTATTGGTTAAATTGAATTAAAATAAAAGAAATGTTAAGGTTTGCACTAAATTACTATGATAAAATACCACTTTACAATCATTTACTTCACAAAAGTTTTCAATATTATTTTGCGTAGAATGAAAAATATATAGTTAAAAATGACAATTACCTGTTATTTAGAAATCAAAATTTGAAGAGAGATCCATTAACTAGCCTTTTCACACTTGACAAATACAAACTCAAACATATGGAAAAAAAATCGATCAATCCAACCTCAACACTTTACATAAAAAAGGTGCTACAGAGAATAAAGTTCTATAAGCCTTTACTGAACAATGAAAAAAAACAACCACAAATACATGTACTGGACATTAGGAAAACTAAAATCTTTTCTTGATTTTCAAGATGCTGTATGGAGAATACACCATAAGAAAATTTAAAAAATTTGTCTAATCAGCAAATCAAGCTGACTGATCTCTGTAAAAAAGCACTCCATTTTGTTTGAGTTATGGCATCATGTAAACATGTAGTTTGTACATGCTATTTCTGTTCTATGATACACTTGTATGTTACACTCAGAATTCCTAATCAGATGAACACATTTAATCAAGATGATGATGGTGGTACCAGAAACACTAGAACAAAAGGACCTTTGTAGTCAGATGGGGTTTGAACAGTCTTTATAAATTAAAATGAATTTAAAAATCTACACAAAAATATGGCATTTTGATCAAAAGTTTGGAAGTTTACACAGACCATAAAGAGGCCTTTATTAAAGCTAAGATGACCTTCATTCATATGCTATTCTCTAATAAAACAGATAAGAATTCATTTACTAGATCATTTAATAGATGAAAAGGATTGTTATATTTCACATGTAATTGTCAGCTGAAATGATTACAATACCAAATTACAAGTCCTAATGAAATTTTTTTACTTCACAAAAATAAGCCAATTCTTCACACATAAAATGAACTAAACTTAAAATGAGACCCAAGGACCACAAAGCTCACCTGAGTCACCATTCTCTTTCCTGAAAAAAGAATATATACATAGAGAAACCCCTTATGTAGTCATCAAATTAAAGTCCATGATTTCAACAGCATTTACAGTATATTGAGGCTTAATGTCACTTTTTGGTTTTTGTAAATCAATATATTTCTGTATAAAACCTTCCTGAAATTCCCAGATTGTGAGCCCAACCTAGACCCTAAGGTCACACTTGGAACAATCTTGAATCTACAATACACTGGGAAGCTGCATATCAACAACTTATTGTGTCCTGCTTTTGACATCAGATGATTTTTCTTACATACACCCTGGTAAAAGTTTGATACCCTATGTGCCTTGCCCTAGGCCTAGTGGCCTGATTTGAACAAAGACGCAATCTAAATACATGGAGATGCTGAACTACCGTATTTGACCAATTGTGCCACTGCTTTTGTGACCACAGCCATGATGTGAACAAATCCAAGTCTACATTATATAGGGATATTTAACTATTGGTCTAATTATGGTCCTTCTGTTCTCTACAAAAAGCCTTTTATAGCTTTTTTTTCCCTTTACATACCGTATATACTCGCCTATGAGTCGGTTTTTTGGGAGTTAAACTTTGGTCCAAAAACCCCTGTCCGACGTATAGGCGAGTTATAAAAATATTGGCATTATAGTGGGTCAATCCCTTTAACGTAAGCTTAAAAAATAAAACCGACTTATAGGCAGACCGACTTATAGGTGAGTATATACGGTATTCCCATGTAAAACTTTGAAATTCTGTTGTAGCCCAATCCTATCCTTAATGGCTTGCTAAAAAAAACTAATTCTATGTTATATGGAGATGCTTGTGCAAAAACTGTGGCCACAACTTGAACAAATTTTGAATCAACAGAAATTTGACATGCAAGTTTTCTCTTTTCTAGCCTAAAAGTCCTTGAGAATAAGACTTAAATGATCCCACTTTAGTTTCTAAATGATCCCCCCAAAAGAATGTGGTTCTTCATTTGAACAAACTTGAATCTCCTTCACTCAAGGATGCTTTGTGGAAAGTTGGTTGAGAATGGGTCAATGGGTTTGGACATGTTTTAAAAGACACTGGATCCTTTTTTCGATCAGAAAAGTGCCTTTCCCTCAGGTGAGCTTTAAAAAAATAATAAAAGAATTGTAAGTAATGTGGTTATCTGTCATCCATAACATTGGCAATGTGACAGTGGATAATACTTCACAGTTTATTTCCGCTGCATTTTCTTATTTTTGATGAACTTTCTAGCCTCTTTCTGGAGGTTTTTCACACTTTGAGAGTCCTCTGGATCATAGTCTGAATCACTGTTCTCTGGATCCTCATATGATCCTGAAGATTCGGAACCAATGTCATCATCAATAAAACTGTCATTGTAATCATATGTGTTTGGCTGTCCATCATCATCATCATGGTCCTTAGACAGCACACTTCTTTTAGCTGAAATAGCAATGTTATAGTTCAGAATACCTTCACTTCTATAACATATAATTTGTACTATTTAATTTCTACTGTTCTTTGCAAATATGAACAGAGAAAAACTGATTTTCATTTAAAACATTTTAGTGAATGATTATTTAAAGCTGGTGATGTCATACACGGACTCCAATACAATGATATCATTGAATAATTTTGACCTTGACCCTGAATCAAGTTTACCCTTAACTATCCTCAACCTGTTTAATGAATTAAGTTTCATAAAAATATAGGTTGTTGAATTGCAAAAAGCTTCTGATTAACAGATGATCTTATGATTGTTGACATTGCTCTGAGCAACCTCAAAATGGTCAGGTCTCTTTATCCTGTTACCATCCCACACCTGTTTATAAAATATGAAGTCAATACATGTAGCTTTAATTCTGAGTAACACATATATATACATGTACTATTAATTATCATGACATTTAAAACCATTGAATTTTCTGCAAGGGAAAAAGCTTACACCGTATTAGACAAGATTCCAGATTACACAACATCCGGATTAGACAAGTTTCACTGTATTTACAAACACATTACAAAAATCTATTGGTATCTTGCAATAATAATTCTTCATCCAGTATTGAATATGACATTATTCATGAACAAAGAACTAATTAAGCTATGGTGTCACATAAAAGTGTTGACAAGCATCAATCACTTTGACCTTTTCTCCTTAGATTTTGTTTGTGACCTCAAAATCTGCTGATGTATTCTCTACCATTCCAATAAATAAGAAGACAACCACTTTGAAAATAACCGAGTTATTGCATCCAAATCAATTATCTTATCTTCTTAACCATTTCCTTTGTTAAGAGACTTCAAAGCTTGCATGTTTCTTCCTTTTTTTATTTTCTGTGTAGTGATTATGAAGTCTTTGGATAAAAAGTGCCAGAGTTATTGAAACACACTACAGACAGACTGATGGACAAACGAGAACAGAGTTTACATTATGATGACCACATTTTGTTGTGGTTCCTGAATAAAAACTGCCAATCTAATTGAGCAAGACCTTTGCCAGAGTTTCCAGTGGCTAACCATACTTGTAGCATTCTTGTTCTTGCAAATGTCATTAAATTTCAAATTGAAACTTTTATTACCAAATGTGGCCAAAGCCCAGTTCATGAACTTGAATCTACATAACAATGGAATATACAATATAACTCATTGCTTTATCATATTTATTGCTTTCTGTTGAAGATTTAAAAAAAAAAAAAAAAAAAAAAAACTTCAAGGGCTCTTATTTGAACAAATATACACTTAACTACATTAGGATTCTTTACTATATGATATAGATCATCTTCGCTAGCCAAGGATTTCTGATCCGCTACTCTCCTCACAAACCCTTGGCATATGGTGTTGTCAAAAGATGGGAATGTTTACGTCACGTGATCTCGAATCTTATCACATACGCAAAGATTGCATCATCGATAGAAATAAAAAGCAAATTTAAACATTAAAGTTTTAAGAGAATAATTAACAAGAAGGTATTGAGCGATGTTTACTTGTTATTTAGGGTGCAAATCTACATCTGTAATATAGATTCCAGATCACATTATTTGCACTTCAACTTAAGATTGGATGACACCATAACTATTTATAGAATGACATGTTATCTTACGGATCGTTGTTTAGTTTGTGTTTTTCATTCCCAAGTCAAAAGAGTCAAGATATATCCCGAACGCAGATATCGTCATTTACAAAAAACAATTGCTGATTGGTTGATCTATATCAATCAACTCCAACCACAACTCGAGAAAAAAAATCCCAACTTTTGACAGCACCATAGGCCAAGGGATTATGAGGAGAGTAGCGGATCAGAAACCCTTGGCTAGCAAAGATGGATATAGATTTACAAATTATTGTCAGATTTCCTTTGGAAAAAGCTTTTTATAGACTTTTTCCCTAAGTATTCCAAAGGTAAACTTTGACTCAATATTGTGGTCCTAAATTCTATTGACTTTCTGAACAAAATTTAAAATTATTTACCATGTGGAGATGCTTTATATCACTAACTGTACAGTTGCTCTGCTACTCTAGAGAAGATTAATTTTCAAAGATTTTTCCTATATTTTATTTCATATGATTATGATCCTCTATTGTAGCCAAACCTTGCTTTTTTGGAGTCAGGGTTTCAACAAACCTGAGTGTACAGTACTAGGAGATGCTTTGTATCAATATGACTACCAGTAATAACTGTAGCCCTTCTATTCTTTAAAAGAAGATTCTTAAAGTTTTTCTTCTTTTATATTCCTCTGTAAAACTTTGACCTTCTTTTAAGACTGAATCCTAACCCCAGGGGCCATGATTTGAACAAATATGATTCTACAATATTTGTGAACATATAAAATTTACCTGGTAGTAATTGTGGCTCTCCTGTTCTCATCAAGATAATTTTTAAAGATTTAGATTTTCAGATTTTTTTCTCATAAATCATTTTATTAATTTTGATGTTCTCTGATTGGTCTAAGACTCTCTTTCCTGATGTGTACCTCTGAGTGAGTTCACCTCAAAATGAAGTTCTGGGAGGTTTATTTGGTTTTTCCCTCTTCACCAACCATAGAGATACTTACATTTTTGTCAACCAATCAAATTGTGCATTTTAAAGCAATGATGTCATTGTGAATGTAAACATGGCATATGCCAGTACGGAAGAGAGTATAAAATCCTTTATTAGTAAATGGTTGAGTATTTATTGTTTTATAATATTGTTTTCCACTTTTAAAACAGTTGTTAAGCTGTTGAAATATAATTATATGTTGTTCCATTACACATTATGAGTGTTATATTTGTTGGAGAAAAGAACTAAAGTGTTAAATATGTTGTAAAATTCCTAATTATTTACTAAAACAGTTACTGACTTTTGAGTCTAATCGTGATTATATGGACCTCATCAGTTATTGATTAACCTCAGCCTTTGGCCTCAGTCAACCAATACCTGACCAGGTCCATAAAGTCACAAGCAGACCTCATCAAAAGTCAATAATTGTATAATATTATACTTTAACCCTCTATAGTAACCCCATTCTAGCTGGGAAGGTCACAATTTGAACAAATTCAAATCTACACTAGATGAAGATGGTTTTATAGCAATAACTGCTTTAAGAGATCAAGTGATAAAAAATTGGCATTGGAGAAATTTGAAGTGTATTTGAGTGAATTTAGAGAAATTGTAAATTTATACATAAACGGTGCGTCAGTGAATTGGCTATTATTAGTAACATTGCATTTAACTCTGTGAAATAGAAATTGCACTATTGTAATTCATGGTACTAAGAATTAGAAGTTATTATGAACTAATCTTACAAATTAACAAGAAAGTTTAACAGTGTATTTAAAACTGAATTAGCAAGACACTGTAACAGTGCATTAAGCACTGCAGAATAGTATAAAATTGTAACAGTGTACATGTTCTAATAGTAGCTATCAATAGGTGCTGTAAATAAGCTACTCTAAAAAGTACAAAAAAGCTTATGTGGCTCACTGACCTTTCTTTGCTGATGGCAGGGATAGTGTCACTGTGTGTTTAAACTCTCTCAAGTGTTCAGGATTTGTCCTAAACAGAAATTCCATCAAACAATACTCATTTTTGTTATTTGAGGAACAATTTTTACTATTTCAATAACTAATTTAAAATTCCTGCAAAATTTCATTATCATTCTTAGGAAAAGGTATAGATGACATCAAGATGACAGTGACTAAGAGAATAAACATCAAGAGGATTCCAGCATACATTCCCTGAATGTCAAACTTAAGGAGCCTCATTGGTGTTAGTTCAAAACTAAGAATTTTCCTAAAAAAATTGATCAACTATAAACTATCTGTAGATGAAAAATTGTTTCAAATTATAACTTTCTCCGACTGGTTTAATAAAAAAAAAAAATTAAATTGTCTTTTTTTCAGGCTATTTCAAACACCTTTTAAATCAAAAAAAATATATTGGGAAATGATTTCATTTTTTTTGAAAGTACAAAGTGTTTTTATTCTGGGAGAAAATAACTTTCCACCATTACCCCCTCTAAAACTGTCATAATAGGATGAATACCCCTGTGGGGCTAAGTTAAAAGTAGCTTTAAAAAGACCTCTGTCATCTCGCTAAAAAAATTACTGTATGTGAACATAAAGTACTATCATTCCAATAACAGTTACTTCGCTTGTTCGACCGTAATAAAATTTCACAAATTGATTACCACATTACTTATCAATTAGATGTTTGCTTTCAATTCTACTTTGCATTCAAAATACAGAACCCAGCTATGTCACTGACAATACTGACCAATCGTACTGAATGATTGTTCATGAGTATGCAGTAGACACTTATTACATGTGGACAGGAAAGCCAAGTTTGACTTCCTATAATGATGATATCGATAGCTATTGTAATGTTTATGAACATTCTATTTATATTTCTATATTTATTTTCCTAAATTATTTATCTATTTCACAGTTAGAGTTATCTTTCTTAATCAAATAGTTATCTGTCCTATAATTTCTAGAGTTATCTTTTTATTTGTAAATCAAGAGTTACTTTTCCTTAATTCCTCACTTCCTGTGTTGTTTTCCTTTGTGTGGTAGCTATTCCAGTTAACGCCATTTTTTGCAAAGTTAGATAACTCGTGTTTGTGACCTGGCGGCCATCAACGTTCGAATTTGTTATGTGAAGTAAACAATGATACTAAATTGAATATTCTGATCTATCTTTAAGGACAGTTGAGAATTAAAGATTACGTAAGTAGCTATTTTGTTTTCCGATATAATCTTATGTTTTAGATAGAAAAAAATTATTTTGATAAGAATATTTTGATGAAATGTATGTTGAATAGGAAATGTAGCGGTACACTATTTTTCCAGATTGTCTTTACGTTTTTAGTGTTAGCACAAATTTTCAACTTTATAAAGATTTTAAACATTATTTAAGATTTTTTCATGCCTAAACGAAGTCCCCAACATGTAGCACAAAAGTGCATAGACTTTTGTAAAATTTTGTCTTCATCGGGATCGGAGACATAGTTGGTATTTCATTATTTGAAGAAAATAAAGTGCTGACAGCTCAAAATACCTATAAATATAAGAAAATTTTTACAATTTAAAGTGCATTTCTTAATTTTTCTAACTTGAAAATTATTCAAACGTTAAATTCAGTCATCTATATTTTGCTTAATTTCAATCGCGCTCGAAATACTTCTGATAGTTATCTTCCCTGATTTGCTCTCCTGGGTCACAGACGTTGTCAGTGTTTGGGTATTTTTGGGCATCAGTATTTAGTTTATTGTGCGAAATTCCTTAAAAAGAATGCTTATTCTTTTCATTCTATGGAATTAACTTCCTAGAAATCAAAGATTTGCATTGAAATTCCTCTTTTTAATTTTTAGGTGGATTAGCTATGTGTGGCCCACACTAGGAGACTCATCCCATTATGTCAAATTTCTGACCTATGCTGCCACACACTGTAAGTTACTTATGCTGTTTATATTTATTACGCATATATTTATTATATTTATACTGTTTTTGAATGAAATGTCTGTAATTTGAATATATTAGGAATATCTATTGTTATCACTCTAAAGTATGGAACCCTATTATTGTCATAATCTTTAAACATAAAACTGGAGTACGTTCATAACATTTTTCTATGGAAACCCACTTGTGTCAAAACTTTATATTTTGGATTTAATAGTGAATCTCTATTTCTATTTACCTCTTGAATATTTTTATTTACAACTTATTACACAGTTTATGCTATATCTATAGTTATATGTTGATACTATTTATCATGTTATTGATAAGTAATTCTATTTTTTTTTGTAACAGTTTTGTTTCAGTTCTTTACCGTTAACACAATAAATCAATGCACCGAATATTGTGTGGTTATGCTATCTGCAAGATACAGGCAGAATAGCTATATATAGTATAAAAGTACAGAGTAGTCTTACTAATTCCATGCTATAACTTTCCTTATACTGGTACGTATTAACTCCACCTGGTCAAATCACAACAAATATGACTCCTGCTTTTTCTGAGGACAGAAAACGGGCTTTGACTGACCATGTGTTGCTGCTGACTACAACTGACTGGCCAGTATTATCAGTGGTATTTTATGAGAGTGTGCATTTTTAGATGTAACACCTACATGTATATGCAAGTTTTGTCTGGGTAGGATTTTTAATTCTTTGGAAAAGGACTTGCTCCAAAAGTTTTTTTTTAGTTCAGTTTCAAATTATGTCCCGACAAAAAATCCTGTTAAAGAAGTTATGTAGAATAAAATATTAAAATATTCATATCTTTTTAAAATTTTGACAAATTATCCTGAAAATACCAGGTGCACATGTACAAGTTCAAATGGTATATTTATTAAATTCATCAAAAGACAAGTATGGTTACAGCCGAATTTGTCCCCTTATCTGACATAATAATCAAAACACAAGTTGAAATTGTGATAGTTACATAATGTAGCAGTTTGGAACTTTAAATAATGCTTGTTTTCAAATCAGCACAAAATTTGATTGAAAGCATACCAAGGCCACAAGAAGATGCCAAAGTAAGACATTTTTCTGAATTTCCCCAATTCTGATAGAATTTTCTTCAAAATGAAATACTTTTCACATCGGAAAACATAGAGCACAAGCTTGCCTATCTGAGATTTAATACATAAGATGCATCTTATAATTGTGCTTTTAATTGTGCAAGAAGTACTTAAATTTGGTAGATAGACAAGCTTGTGCTCTGTGTTTTCTGAAACATAATTTAATACTATGGTAAAAACTAGGGATGGCAATCGAATACAGATTTGCTAATCGGTTAACCGCAAGACGTTCCGACCGATTAACCCGTTAACTGTATCAAAATATGCATTTTCTTGATATACCCCCCCCCCCCCCCCCCCAAGTATCTCTATTCATAGTATACACAAGAAGAAGACTAACAAAGTCACTAGAAGTTAAATCATTCTATTTGTCTTGATTCTTCATAAGAAAACTACATGCATATATATTTTTATTTCAGTTTCAATAGACAAGGAAAAATAAAAGAAAAACACGAATCATGTCTGAGAAATCAGATATATCCAGAGCAGATGTCACATAAGTTCATTCTGCATTGTCACCATAATTAAAACTAAGTCTGAACTACATGAATGAATATACAATGTTTGTTTAGTAATTTATTCGATGGACAACTGCAAAGACAAACATACTAACGGGGATTTAATGTCATTAAAGAATAACATGACAGTCGGGGTAACGACATGGTGTTTTAACAGTAATTAACACCTCAAACACAAAATGACCAATTACCCCAAAATCTCAATCCGAAGAACCTAATTACATGCAAGTGAGAACGTTGAATTATCAAAGTTAATGCAGAGATTTCTCTTTTTCCGAAAATGAATTATAAGAAATTTGCGTTAAAATACACAAGTTATTTTTTTTTTCTACTAACCGATTACAGATTTTCTAACCCATTGCCATCGTTCCGACCGAGTAATCGGTTAACCGGTTACAAATTGCCATCCCTAGTAAAAACCTTTAAAACTAGTTCAAACATTTGTTCTGTAGATAAGTTTAATCCTAAACTATTCCCAGGACAGTGCAAATCCAATTGATTTTACAAATTAACAACTGGCAAATTTTCTGTTGGAACATTTCTTAAACTGCTGAAGCAAAACACAAATACATTCTAGCTCTGGTTTTCAAAGGTAGGCTCTACTTATAGACAACATAACCTTACATTGGAGGTGGTTTGTATCCAATATCCAAATATATGTATGGATAAGTATTAGAATGTGCATAATAGAAACTAGATGTGTTTATGAAACACTGATGCCCTCATGGGCATGGTTACAGTTTTTCAAAAGTAGGTGAAACTCCAAGGTCAAAGTCATGACATCAAAACTAATGGTACCAATGAAAGGTCTTGTCACAAGGAATACACGTGAAATATGAAAGATCTAGTACATGTACCAACCTTTCAAAAGTTATGGCCAAGGTTAAAGTTTTTCAAAAGTGGTCAAATCCAAGGTCATGAGGTAAAAAATGTTGGTACCTTAAGAGAGTTCATGTTCAAGGAATACATATGTAAAATATGAAAGCCATATTACCAACCATTCAAAAGTAATGGCCAAGGTTAAAGTTTTAAATTAAAAAAAGAAACATGCAGGAAAATGATAATCATATCCATATACTTTTGCATGTCTTTACACCAGGAAATGCAGTGTGGTGGCTAAGTGATTCTCGAAAGCAAGTCAAAAATTGGGAAAGGTTTACAAATGACAGTCAACTGATAAAACAGGAGGCCCATGGGCCACAATGCTCACCTGAGTCAATATGACCCTACTGTTCTTCATCTGTAGATTTTTTTAATGATATATTTCTTTGAGAAACTTTGATCACCCATTGTAGCCCCAACCTACCCCCAGGGGTCATGATTTGAACAAACCTGAATCTACATTGCCTGAGAATGCTTACATCTCAATATGACTAATAATCCTGGCTTTGCTGTTCTTAAAAAAAAAGATTTTTTAAATATATATGCCTATGTAAAACTTTAATCTCCCCTTGTGGTCCTTCCCTACCCCTGGGGGTCATGATTTGGAGAAAAATGGGTCAATACTACCTGAGGATGCTTCCATATCAATATGAATAATCATGGTTTTGCTGTTCTTGAGAAGAAATTTTTTTAAAGATTTTTTACCCAAATATTCTTATGAAAAACTTTGATCCCCAATTGTGGCCCAACCCTACCCCTAGGGGTCATGATTTGAACAAACTTGAATCTACACTACCTAAGGATGCTTCCATATCAACATGACTAATCATGGTATTGCTGTTCTTGAGAAGAAGCTTTAAGTTCCTATGTAAAACTTTGATCCCCATTGTGGCCCCACCCAACCAGCACGATCTTTGAATTGAATCCTATTTATCTATTGAAGGTTTCAACTAAGTTTCAACTTTTTTGACCCAGTGATTTTTATAAAATCTAATTCTTAATTATTTCCCCTTGAAAGAGGGTGTGGCCTTTCATTTGAACAAATTTGAATCCCCTTCACCCAAGGATGCTTTGTGGCCAGTTTGGTTGAAATTGGCTGAGGGGTTCTGAAAAGAAAAGTTTACAGACAGACAAACGACAGAAAAAAGCTGATCACAAAAGCTCACTTGAGCTTTCAGCTCAGGTAAGCTCAAAATGGATCAACTTAGTGATTCAGGTGTTCTAAAAATAGACTACTGAAGCAAAATTTGTTGCATTTAAAATTTCTGACATTGATTTCCATTATATAATGCTGAAAATGCACAGCCAGTTCGAAAATATAAGCCCCTGAAGTGTCCTTAAACATTTAAAGTTAACATTAAACCAAGGAGCAGAGAAAGACACATGGAGGATTCCATTGAGGGAATCAGAAAGTGAACAAAGATGTCATCTCACCTGTAACAATCTGTGCCATACTGACACTCAGGTTTATCCTCGTCACTCGCCTCGTAACTTTCATCACCAGGATGACAGTAGTCTTTGAAATGAATGGGATTTTTCCTGAAATGAAACCCGGGAAACACGTGTAAATGGAGGGAAACAATGAAAATGGAGGGAAACAATGTGTAAATGGAGGAAAATGATGTGAAAATGGGGGAAAACACTGTGTAAACTGAACAATCATAATTTCTTGCACAGAGTTTGACCTTCAAATGACCTTAACTTAATGTCAAGATGAAACTTCCAGTCATTAGCAACTTTTGTTTCATAAAATTACAACAGAAATTTTACACTTCCATTTCCTGTAATTTTAACTTTGTCAAAATGATCTTGGGCCTGGGTCACAACACACTCTGTGTCATACTGATAAGTAGCCTCTGTGCCACGTATGAGGATACAATGTTCCTCAATTACTAATTTATTCACAAGACATAAAATTTATGTATGTCTAATCCTTGTGACCTTTACCTTGTTCAAATAACCTTCAAGGTCACATACTGCAAATCAATAAAATATCTCTGTCTAAAGTATGAGCTTCTAATCTTTCTCAATCATAATGACTAATTATGAATTTTATAATTCTAACTTAGTGAAATTAATTTTGTCTCATAACCTACAGCCAGCTTTTAATGTTTCTCCATCGCAAACCTATTCAATGTTTATCAACTGGAAAATTCAAATCCTTGTGACCTTTTCATTGAATACAGGAAATATAGCTGTATTATGCTAATTTTCTGTCAAGTATAAGCTTCTAATGTTGCTCCATGAAGGACCGAACAAGTAAATTTTACGCTTACATTTCCATGACACTGACTTGATTTAATGACATTTGTTTCAAACTATGTCACATTCCCTAGTCATGGAGTCTTCAAGTTGTTTACTTAAAAAATTAAAATCAAGAATAAAAGTGCAGAGAGGTAGAGACACAAACAAAAATACAAGTACATACAGCAATCAAACAATATTTCCTTATATTTTGAATTGGGGCATAAATTATGTTTGCCTATTGTATGTTACCTGTAGCACTTCTTCCCAAATTGACAAGGTTTGCGTTTCTTTTTTCCGCCTTCCTTGGCATCTTTTTTCTGTTTTTTACTGGGGGTGTCTTTCTCCGAATCATCACTCTCACTCTGGTCCTTAGATTTCTTCTTCTTGGGTTTCTCCTCTTCTGATTCTTCTTCCTCCTCTGAACTTGTCATCTTCTTTTTCCTTCCCTTCTTTTTTACCTCATCCTCCTCCTCAGACTCTTCCTCCTCTTCTGATTCAGACTCATCTTTTCGCCTTCTTCCTTTAGCTGGTCTTCCTGTATAATTTATTCAAAATTAATTTAATTATTTAATTCAATCCATTTCCCTGAAACCATCATTACTGGCTCTCAAGCAGTATTTGAAAAGTACAAGTTCTTGGACTAACACTACAAGAGGCCCAGGGGCCACATCGCTCACCTGAGCACTGTGGCTAGGAAAAAGCAGAAATCACTTCAATCTTGAAAGGTTGAAAAGTTTAAATATAAAAGTGGTTGGGGGGGGGGGGGGTGTCATGAATTGAACAAATTTGAATCTACATTATCTGAGGATGCTTCCATTTAAATATGACCAATCATGGCTTTGCTGTTCTTGAGTAGAAGATTTTTAAAGATTTAACCTATGTATTCCTATGTAAAACTTTGATCACCCATTGTGGCCCCACCCGACCCCCAGGGGTCATGTTTGAACAAACTTGAATGTACACTATCTAAAAATGCTTCCATATAAATATGACCAATCATGGCTTTGCTATTCTTAACAAATAGTTTTTTTTAAAGATTTTTACTATGTGTTCCTATGTAAAACTTTGATCGCCCATTGTGGCTCCACCCGACCCCCGGGGGTCATGATTCGAACAAATTTGTATGTACACTATCTGAGGATGCTACCATATAAATATGACCAATCATGGCTCTGCTATTCTTAACAAATAGTTTTTTTTAAGATTTTTACTATGTGTTCCTATGTAAAACTTTGATCGCCCATTGTGGACCCACCTGACCCCCGGGGGTCATGATTTGAACAAATTTGAATGTACACTATCTGAGGATGCTTCCATGTAAATGTGACCAATCATGGCTTTGCTGTTCTTGAGAAGAAGAATTTTGAAGATTTTCCCATATATTCCTATGTAAAACTTTGATCGCCCATTGTGGCCCCACCCGACCCCCGGGGGTCATGATTTGAACAAACTTGAATCTACACTACCTGAGGATGCTTCCATGTAAATATGACCAATTATGGCTTTGCTGTTCTTGAGAAGAAGATTTTTAAAGATTTTTCCTATATATTCCTATGTAAAACTTTGATCGCCCATTGTGGCCCCACCCGACCCCCGGGGGTCATGATTTGAACAAACTTGAATCTACACTACCTGAGGATGCTTCCATGTAAATATGACCAATTATGGCTTTGCTGTTCTTGAGATGAAGATTTTTAAAGATTTTTTCCTATATATTCCTATGTAAAACTTTGATCGCCCATTGTGGCTCCACCCGACCCCCGGGGGTCATGATTTGAACAAACTTGAATCTACACTACCTGAGGATGCTTCCATGTAAATATGACCAATTATGGCTTTGCTGTTCTTGAGAAGAAGATTTTTAAAGATTTTTCCTATATATTCCTATGTAAAACTTTGATCGCCCATTGTGGCCCCACCCGACCCCCGGGGGTCATGATTTGAACAAACTTGAATCTACACTACCTGAGGATGCTTCCAAGTAAATATGACCAATCTTGGCTTTGCTGTTCTTGAGAAGAAGATTTTTGAAGATTTTCCCATATATTCCTATGTAAAACTTTGATCGCCCATTGTGGCCCCACCCGACCCCCGGGGGTCATGAGTTGAACAAACTTGAATCTACACTACCTGAGGATGCTACCATATAAATATGACCAATCATGGCTTTGCTGTTCTTGAGAAGAAGATTTTTAAAGATTTTTCCTGTATATTTCCTATGTAAAACTTTGATTGCCCATTGCGGCCCCACCCTACCCCCGGGGGTCATGATTTGAACAAACTTGAATCTACACTACCTGAGGATGCTTCCACGTAAGTTTCATGTTTTCAAGCACAGTGGTTCTTGAGAAGAAGATTTTTTAATGATGCCATTAATTTTTCACAAATTCTTAATTATCTCCCCTTGGAAGAAGGCGTGGCCCTTCATTTGAACAAACTTGAATCTCCTTTACCCAAGGATACTTTGTGGCAAGTTTGGTTGAAATTGGCCCAGTGGTTCTTGAGAAGAAGTCGAAAATGTGAAAAGTTTACAGACGGACAGACGGACTACAGACAAAATGTGATCAGAAAAGCTCACTTGAGCCTTCGGCTCAGGTGAGCTAAAAATTTGGAAAAGCACAGAAGTTTTCAAAAACATTTTATCTGCCTAAGAAACACATAGGTTAAAGATTTTGAATTAAGTTTTGGCAGTGTTCTTACCATATTAGGTCTAAAACTCTGAAAATACTTTAATTAATATTCACATTCTTAAACTAGCAAACTACAGTAAAACTCGGTTATAGTGAAGTCCTGGGGGCCTGTGAAGCTACTTAGCTACATACATAATTCCTTATATCCACATAACAAATTCTTTAAAATATATATATAGGGAATTCACAATATGCACGTTTTCCTTCATGTATAACTTCTGAAAATGCTCAGGCAAAACTTACCTTGAAGTACCAAACTTTTCAGATGAATTGAATTTCAAATATAAATACTTATCAAAAATAATGTCAGTTCAATATTTTAATTTTGAAATCTCAAAAATTTGCTATAAATACGTAAATTTTGTTGTTTTTAACCTCTACTGGAAACAAATCAGTTCGCTATATCCAGAAAAGAGTAGAGTAAAACATGCTTATAGCAAAGTGCTGGGGACAAACAATTTTAATTTGTTATAAGCGTAGTTTGTTATATTTAACAAGTTTACAATATGTTTTAGAACCATAGGGGAATGAAAATCACTTTCTAGTTAGCGAGAATTCATTATAAGCATTTGCTATATCCTTGTTTTATATCATAGTTCGTTATAACTGTAAAATTTTATATAAAGAATTGTTAAGTATTTCAGCAGGGATTCCAAGTAAAATATATCTGTAAATCCCTTTTATCTGTGTTTGTATTAAACAAGTTTTACTGTACTGTACTTCAAAATTATTTTTGTTTCACAACATGTGTCCTTTCCCATTAACTTAGATTGTTTGGGAAAATATTCTACCTTATTTTTTTTTTTATTTGTGCTCCTTTTTCATTTACTTACTGAATAAATAATCAGGAAAAAATTCCCTTTTACAAAAGTGTCCAAAAATTGGTACTGGAAATAATCATACATTTTTCTATTTCACATGGTCTACATTATCATATTTGTCTGAAAATTTGCAGAATTAATATGATCTACATATTTATTTTAGACTAAATTTGAATTATTTTTGTTTGATCTATTTATACACAAGACAGAAAAAGAGTCTGTGAACTGGTCACAACCCAATCTAGTGTCCACAATCATTTCTTACTGAATATAAAGGAATGCATGTCTCAGCAGTTGGAACAGGCACAACCATATGAGTACTCATATAATTTCAAAAAGAAAATTTTAATTTCATATTTCATAACTAATTTACATTCATTTCACCAAGGCTTTGAAAAATAAATTTTGACTAAGTTTGTGGCATAAAAAAAATCTAACATCATTTCATCTGCACTGATCAGTCTATTTTTGACTTACCACGACCTTTTTTGGGAGATTTCTTGGAGGGTCTTTCATCTTCAGAATCTTCCTCACTGTCCTCATCACGTCTGTAGGATTTAAATTTTTTGTTGGCAGACATGCTGGCCCTCCGCTTGGTGGGGCGCGGTACATATTCCTCGTCCTCCTCATCAGAGAAATCAGATGTGTACCTTTTTCTTCTTCCTTGTCGCGCGGACTTCCTTGTGCCTTGCCTCACTGGCTTTTGTTTCTATTATAAAAAATAAAAATCCTAAGAATTCAGATGGGAAATGGTTTTTGTATAATTATACATTTCTCTAATATGATTGAAGCAAATATTTCCACTTGTTAAACTAATTACACTTCTATTCCACTTTACATACATCTAGTTCTGGCCATTCTTACTTTACTTTTCTGTGACATTTCCCAGTCACTTCCGGAATCCTCTAGACTGTCCAGGTGGAAGTCACTGTCCTGATCCTTATCTGAGTCCTCATCTTCTTCTTCCTCAGACATGTCATCAGGAGCTACAAAATCATCAACTACAAACAGAACAAAACACCATCCTTTGGCAACAGGTCAAAATCATACATTCATGTACTTGGATTTTGTGAGTTTTGTATTTGCATCCCATTTAGAATTCCCATCATTCTGTATACAACTTTTCTAAGATTACTTTTTACTATATATCTGGTTACAATTACATTAAAAGATATGTATAAACTTTTACGTCAAAAGTTTAAAATGGATGTGTACAGGCTTTTGTGCTGAAATTTCTCATAACATTTTATCATATTTAGGAATATGACTCAGTGATGCACAACAAAATATCAAAAATACTTCCTTTGTTCATGCACTCCTCTAATAAAAATACAACTTAGTGTCACATAATATAGAAGTTGTATGATTTTCAAAATCATACAAAATCTATATATGTGTACTAAATATTGAACTAGGAAGTAAAGCCCAAGCCTGATTCCAATGATGAACACTTCTACAGTTAAACTTCGTTATCTCGAAGTTGACAAACCGTTGATGAACTTCGAGATATCCGGGGGTTCGACATATCGAGGGTTAGGCTATAATTCAAATGAACTTCAAATAAACGTAGTGCAGTGAACATGTACTTAATAATAAAAATATGTCAAGTTCCTTTTTGTTCGAAATTTTGTATACGATTTCTTTAATATACATGTACATGTATTTGGCAATCAAAAAAAAATTACATCCTCTTTATAATTCACAAAATAAAAGGCTTGTATAATATGCACAGAAGTATAATCCTTCTACCAACGCGGCAAGTCAACCGCTAGAATCATTTCCCATGTATACATAACCGGATATCGTCTATGCATTGTAAATTTAAAACCGGTCGCTGTCAGAATAATGAAAACGAAATATACATTTTCTTTTATTGGAAAAACATGTTCAACATGTAAAATCAGTTAAAAGAAAATTATTTTACCAGAATAAAATCAAATGCAAAAGAAGTATCACACACTTTGGTCTAACAACAGAACAACACTGAATCACAGGGCACTACAACACAAGTTTTCACTGCGACACACGCTCACGTGATGGTGTGTACGGACAATTGTAAATTCTGCACGCTCATATAGGGATAATAAATTCTAACTGCATTGAATTAGAGAATTTTGTTTTACTTTGATGTTTATAATTTTCACTTTCATATCCATAAACTATGTAAGTTCGCATATTTCACATAGCATTAAATAGCGATTATCAAGATAAAGTAACCCAAGCCACAAAACATTAACGTGTCATCCACGCATATGCATTAGACCAATACACACAACCTTTGGCTTGCATAATTACAATCAAGGTAAGCCATACATACACTTCGTATAATTATAGCGCTATTATCTGTTGATCACAGGAACACAGGTTACCCGAGTGTGACAGACAGGTGGGTGTTTTCAATAGAGCATTCAGTTTACCTAAGGGACTTGATCATCAGAGAGGAAAATTATCCTGACTTCGAGATAACGCATGTGATTTTAATGAATGGGCACACAATATTACTTCGAGATAACCGGGGTATTCAACATTACCATGTTCGACATAGAGGGGTTTATTTTAATCATTTATACACAGGGAAAAGTGGCTCCCATGAACTTCATATGAAATTCGCACGAATATCATGCGAATTCTTCGCATGAGAAGGAGACGAAAAGGACCACGCATGATATTCGCACGAAAATATCATGCGATTTCCACATGAAATTCGCACGAATATCATGCGAAAAGAAATTCGCACGAAATTCATGTGAAAAAAAGAAACCAGGTTTCATATGAATATCATGCGAAGACAAGCATATTTTTTGTACCCCAGATATTAATATCAAGCTTTTATCTATGAGACAGTGCCCCAAACCTCAATCCATTAATTCTATCCTTCTTCTTTGGAAACAGAATTTTTGCTTCTTGCAAATGAATTTTTCTTGAACATTCACCATGAATTTAATATCTTCTCTTTTTCTTACTTAGTCAGTTAATCCAGATACAAGTAATGCATGATTATACAAAAAGTAACTTTGAATTTGAAAGAATCAAAACTTTTCTGGACTCTCTGACTAAATAAAGACATTTGTGATATTAATTTCTACATTGAAAACTAAAACCATTGATCTTTTTCTATCTTCTTTATTGAGGTTCTCATCACATAAGATTTCTTTATCTTGAGGATTCTGTTGAGAGGGTGTTGTTGTTATACCTGAAAATGCAAAAGTAAACAATCTCAGGTTTTTGAAATTCATAATGGACAATATTTTTCTATAATTAACGAAGACTACCCTAGGTCCTTAAGTAGGATTAATACCTCTTGGTCATAATCACCTGTATGCCAAGTATGTTCTCCAGATACTACTCCAATAAAAAGTTGTATTACCTGAGATACTTCTATCAACTCTATGACCTTGACCTTGTCTTTTGACCTATTTTCTGGAAATGGCATATCTTATGATCTTTTTTTGGCAGTTACTTTTTTCAATATACAATTAAATAATTATGTTATGGCCAAGAATTTAAACTTCAATCCCTGTGACCTTGACATTGCTTAAATGACCAACATGCAGGGTTGTTTCACTGCCTCTGGTCATAATTAAGCAACCTTTGTATTTAGTATATATTATCATAAAATGATTATTTTATATTTTAACAAGAGGCCCAAGGGCCTTGAATTGCTCTTCTGATAAACTGCACAACCTATCACTTCTATTTGAAGCCTCTAAGTATTCTGTATATTTAAATAAACCCTTGAAATTCCAAAGGTAGGTCATCATGACTTACATTTTAGATGAAACACTCTGAGAACCCAATATGATTCTAAGCCAATTAGTACCTGAGAGTTGGTCATGGTGACCTACTTATCACTTGTCATTCTCTGAGATCCCAAGATGCATCAACTAAGTTTGATGACTCTAAGCCAATTAATACCTAAAATATTTTTAAAACTATAACCATAAAATTTCAAAAGTAAATCACAGTGACCTACTTCTCAGATGTCACACTTTGAGGACTCAAGATGCATCAACTGATAAAGTTTGATGATTCTAAGCCAATAAGTATCTCACACATTTAAATAAAACCATAAATTTCCAAAAGCAGGTCATGGTGACCTACTTTTGAGTCGACTTATTTCGAAGACCCCGAGATGCATCAACTGACAAAGTTTGATGATTCTAAGCCAATTAGTACCTGAAATATTTAATTATAGTCATATAAATTGAAGATTAGGTCACGGTGACCTACTTTTCAGTCGACCTACTGCAAGGACCCAAGATGCATCAACTGACAAATTTTGATGATTCTTAGCCAAATAGTACCCGAAATATTTAATTAAAGCCATAAATTTTCAAAAGTAGGTCACGGTTACCTACTTTTCAGTCGACCTACTCCGAAGACCCAAGATGCATCAACTGACAAAGTTTGATGAATCTAAGCCATTAGTACCTGAAATATTCAATTATAGTCATATAAATTGAAAAGTAGGTCACGGTGACCTATTTTTCAGTTGACGTTTTTTGAGGACCCAAAATGCATCAACTTACAAATTTTTATGATCATAGGCCTTAAAATGTCCAAATTATGCCTCTAAAATGCTTTGAAATCGAATGCCTGCAAAGTTCAAAAAGTAGGTCAATGTGACCTACTTTTTAATACATATGTTTTAAGGCCCCAAGATGCATCATCTTGCAAGATTTCATGATTCTAATCCTCTCAGTATTCGAATTAATGACCTTAATTGTTTTGAAAAAGATTAGCCCTAAAATTCATAAAGTAGGTCAAGGTGACCTACTTTTTAGTTGATGTACTTTGAGGACTTAAGATACATCAACTGACAAAGTTTGATGATCATAGACCTTAAATTGTTCAAAATATGCCTCTAAATCATTTTGGTCAACTTTGAAGTGACCTTGAGACCACGCCTTTTGCCCCAGGGTAATGCCTTGAACAATTTTAAATCTACAACATATCCTCATCCTTTTGTGTAAGTTTGGTGATAATCTGCCCAGTGGTTCTTGAGAAGAAGATTTTTTAGCAACCAGTACTTTTGTTTCTATTTTCCTAATTATATCCCCTTGTTTAAGGGTCACAACCCTAGTTTTAGTATAAAAGGGAGCCCTTGGGCCAAGGATACCCTGTGACAAATTTGTCAATAAATGGCCAAAGGGTTCTTGAGTTATGGCCCATATTCTAAAAAGTTTACGCACACCACACAAATGGCCATAGCATTAGCTGTTTGAGCCTTTGGCTTAGAAGAGCTTAAAACATATCTAGTTAAAATTACCCAATGTTAGACTTGGGATATACCTTAAAGTCACGGCCAAATTTTATCTCAGGTATGTCTACTGTGTTTCCATTATAGAGTTGTGATTGAAAAAATAATTTAATAAATTTGTACCCTTTTGACCTTGAACATATCTAAAATGCCCTTGGTACTCGGTCAATTCCTGTAAATTCCTGTTACCAATTAGTTCATATATAATTACAAAGTGTAGGGAAAAACAAGATGTGTTTGTGAAACACTGATGCCCCCGTATGGCAGCTTATGGATTAAAGTTTCTCAAATGCAAGTCAAACTGCAAAGTTATGAGATCAAAAAATACCCAAGCACCAACCATTCAAAAGTTATGGTCAAGGTTAATGTTTTCTAAAAGTGGGCCAAACTCCAAGGTCAAGGTCAAAATTAATGGTATTCAGGGGGAAGACCTTGTCATAAGAAATATACATGCAGAATATAAAAGCCCTAGCACCAACTGTTCAAAAGTTATGGCCAAGGTTAAAGTTTTTCAAAAGTAAGTCAAACTCAAAGGTCAAGATAAAGGTCAAAATTGTTGATATCCAAAGGAAGGTCTTGTCACAAGGAATACACCTGTGAAATTTGAAAGCCCTAGTACTAACTATTCAAAAGTTATGGCCAAAGTTAAAGTTTTTTAAAAGTGGGTCAAACTCTAAGGTCAAGGTCAAAAAGTCAAAAATATTTACACCCAAGGAAAGGTCTTGTCACAATAAATACACA